AGGCAACCGTCCACCATGGTTTGATCCTATGATTACAAAGCTCATGAAAACTAGGGACAAGGCTTGGGCATGTGCTCAGAAAAGTAATTTGGTCAAGGACTGGCTAGAAGACAGGATTTTAAGAAATAGATGCATCAAAAAAATACGGCATGCAAAAAATTACTACTTCTCTTCCACTCTCCTTGAATCTCATGGAAATGCCAGGATTTTCTGGAAAACAATCAAATGTATCGAAAAGGCATCCAAAGCAGATAATATGCCCGTTCAGCTTAACCGAAATGGGGAATATTTTTCAGATCCCCAAAAAATTGTTGACAATTTTAACCTTCATTTTTCTGAAGCTGGTACCCTATTTGATAATGTATTGGGAGTCACCCCTGCTCATGCAAATTCCTACACCCCTATCCAAACATTAAGCGATTTTAGTTTTCAGCCAATCCACGAAAGTAATGTTCTGAAACAACTGTCCTACCTCAAAGGGTCCTCCTCTACCGGAGCAGATAGTATTCCCGTCTTTGCTCTACTAACTGTTGATCACCTAATATACAAACCTATAGCCCATATTTTCAACCTGTCCATCAAAGAAGCATCAGTTCCTCTAGAATGGAAACATTCCTATGTTCGTCCGCTTCACAAAGGGGGCCCTAAAGATGATCCAAATAACTACCGACCTATCTCAATTTTGTCCCCGTTGATAAAAATTTTTGAAAAATTATTGAACTACCAAATTAGCAGTTTCCTGTCCGCCAACAATCTATTAGATCTAAAACAATCTGGGTTCCGAAAAAAATACAGCACCACATCTGCTGCATTAGACTCTCTGAATCACATTTACAGTAGCCTTGCTAATAAGCAGTACTGCGCCTGTCTTTTTCTTGACTTGTCCAAAGCTTTTGATACAGTAGACCACAACATCCTGCTTAGTAAAATAAGTTGCCTCGGTTTTTCCGAAAACGCAGTAAAATAGTAAAAAATTACCTCTTTTCTCGCACCCAAACTGTATTCACAGATGGTTGGAGGTCAAACAGTGTTAAGATAACAAAAGGGGTTCCACAGGGTTCCATTCTTGGCCCCCTCTTGTTCTCTCTTTATGTAAATGACTTGGGCACTGAACTGGATTATTCCAAGGTAAATCTTTTTGCAGATGACACGGTACTGATTACTGCTGGCCACTCTCCGGATGACGTGATTGCTAAGCTCCAGAGTGATTTCAACAAACTACAACATCAGCTAGTTGCTCTTAAACTAGTCCTAAATCCTGCCAAAACCAAGGTGCTATGCTTCTCACCAGGACTAAAGCGGGAAGTTATTTTCCCCCAATTACATTCCTTAAATAATGATCAAATAGAGCAAGTCAAGATCTATAAGTATCTTGGGGTCATCCTGGATTCAAAACTGAATTTTGAAGAGCACATTGATTATATTGGGAAAAAGACAAAAATTAAAATTGGTTTTCTATATCGACACAAGCACTGCTTCCCCCCTATGTTCCGTTTGGAATTGATAAAAGCTACCATACTGCCTCTACTTGATTACTGTGACATTGTGTATAAATCAGCCCCAAGTACTGTACTGAAAAAGCTTGACTCAATGTATCACTCGGCCTTAAGATTTGCATTGAACTGCCCATATAGGACTCACCACTGTGATCTCTACGTTGGGTCAAACTTAACATCTCTGAATGTTCGACGGCTTGTGCACCAGATCTTATTTATTCATGATTTACTTGCAAAAAAATCCGCAGATTACCTGCTGGATCTCCTCTCCCTTTCAAAGAACAAATTTGACCTAAGGTCTACACTCATTTACCAGCTTCATATTCCCTATTGCCGTACATATACTGGAGGAAGGGCCTTTGCTATTGATGCCCCCAGGGTCTGGAATGCTGTTGCCAATAAATTGAAACTTGAGTCACTACCTATGAGATCGTAACTCAAAACTGCTCTAGAGGAGTTGTACATCCCTAGCTGCCAGTGCTATTCAGTGGCCTAAAATAAAATGTTTCGCTCCGGATGATCGCTACAAAGTATGACCTGTGTTTTGATTTAGTGTGCTGATCTTAAAGGTGCATTGGAAAATTATAATTCTCCGATTGATGCTCCTGCTGTTGTGGAGTGACCAGAGGCGTAGCTAGGGGGGGCAGGGGGGTACATATGTCCCCGGGCGCCAAGGTAAAGGGGCGCCAAAATGAGGCTTACAACGTCACATTATAACTTATTGCGGCGGGCGCGGTAGCCTGAAACTACTGCACAAATCTACACCTGAACCTAAAAGTTTATATATCCCGCCACACACAGCCTACATGTCATGTTATTACATTTTGGTACGCGCGCCTATTAAGAACTTACATGGAAGAACGTCCCAAACAACAGACAGGCGCAGTGTATCAGCCTTAGTCACTGGCCTGTTTTTTGGTGGCGGAAACTATGGCGGCCTGAAACACGCTGGAGTGCACGATCAGAAACTGTTAAAGCTATCTATGAAGGACTGGATGAACTAGTAGGGCTGCTAGACAAATTATCGGAGGACGTAACTATGACGCCTGAAACCAGAAGTGATGCAGAACAGTTACAGGCATGCGTATTAAATTTTAACTTCATAGTTTTATTACATTTCTGGAATGTCATTCTTGAAAAAAATGATCGTGTTCAGAAGCGCATACAGGATCCTACTATTAATTTCAAGGAAGCAGCAACTGATCTTGAATCTTTGGAGCATGAATTTGTCAAGCTTCGTGATGATTTGAGCCAAGTTGCTGTAGAAAACGTCAAAACAAGATGCACAGCCTGGGGATCGATGTGGACAGAATAATTAGGCGACGTCGGAAGATGCCAGGAGAAATGGCAAGAGATGCAGGACTTTCAGCAGAAGAAGAAATTGTGCACGTTATGAAGAGCGTATTTTATCGACTTCAACAGATGTCAACACGGTTTTTACGACTACTTGAACACAAAATTTGGATTTCTGCTGGACGTCAAAACTCTTCTATCCGACACAGATGTCGATGCAATTCGTTGACATTGCAAAGATTTTGGAAATTTCTATGACACCGACATCAATGGCCACGAACTTTTCACAGAAATTGGAGATTGCAAAATGCTTCTCAGTAACCGGAATGAAGTTCTACCAGAAACTCCTTTGGATCTTCTTGGTTTTATTGTGTTTTATAGAGACGACATATTTCCGAATTTGCGAATTTCACTGCACATTTTATTAACAATAGCAGTTTCAATTGCAAGCTGTGAGCAGTCGTCCAGCAAATTTAAACTTATTTTGTCGTATTTGCGTACTTCAATGGGACAAGATCGTCTCAGCGATCTTGCTCTTCTTAGCGTTGAAAGAGAAACATTGGAAAAAACAGATTTTGATTACGTGATTGACCAGTTTGTGACAGTGAAATCAAGAAAAAATAATCTTTTGTAGACTATGTCAACCAGTCTACGACAGTGACTGAGTGACAGTTCGTCCCCGGGCGCAAAATATCCTAGCTATGCCTCTGGGAGTGACTCATGCAGCCAGCTATGGCTGCAGGGTTTTGGTAGTACATGTTGTTTATGCCATTTATTGTGAAAATTGGGTCACAGTTCCTATGATTGCTTTTTCATTTCTTTCATGGCTTTATTTTGGTGATTTCGAAAAGTGTATTAGTTTAGCCATGTTTGTTTGTTGTAGTACAGAGTTAGACTGATGGCCTTAATCTAAGTTGTCTTGTGATTGTTGTTGTTGTTTTGTTGTTTGACTTTCATCCCACTGGGATTTTTGCACACAGCGTTGGTGTGCGGTGTTTTTTTCTGCAATATTTTGCTGTCTTTTCTTGGATTTTCTGTTTGCACTTAGTCACATTTTCACTTTAAGATGTTTTTTGTTCATGTTTTTGTTTTTTGTTTGTTGCGGTTGCACCCGATTCAAGAGCCGAATAGCTCACAGGGCTATACCTAATAAATTAACTTGAACTTGAACGTGACTTCTAGGGTCAACCAGAGTGCCATGGCCCAGGGTAACCTTATCACATGGCTGACACTCTCACACTCCCTCCTGTAGGAGTCAGCACTACACGCCACGCATGGTGCCACTGAGCGCTATCCCAGCGCTCACCGAGCCCCCCTTGGGCTGGTACTACACCCACCTATGGGGTGTCCGCCATGACAGTGCATCGCACGCCGTGCGCCTCTAGGGCCGGCATTATACAGTTACATCCGCGATGTCACTACACTTGCATTAAAGTCGTTTCACGTCAAAGGTACATCAAGATCGAGACGTCACTGTGGCAAAAAGGCACCGCACCCCGCCAACGCATTCTACCCTCCGCCAGTCCCCCTGCAATTGCTGCGCATCAGACACGCGACCTCCGAGACCTGCCATTGACATTATCTCTCACCATCGGCTCTCAAGGCCTCCCCCCTGGTCCCTAGAATCGCAGACACCACCACTCCAATGTCTGCGTCGGCATTCAGTCCCCACCAATCCTCATGGGCACGTCCCACCCAACAACCGTTTTTTTGCAAGTATAATTGGAGTACAAATTTACTAAAATGTTTAAATTTTTACTTTTTTTCACATTTTTTGTTCACCAGGTAAGGCTCACTGAGCTATATAGCTCTGTTTCAGAAGTGACCTGGCCACAAATGACAGCTCACTGAAGTGGCTCATCGCGTGGCAATTTACAGCAGCAAAATACTTGCATGTTTCTAAATGGGGAGGGGAAAAAACCGCAGGAGAAAATTCCACGAGATCACGGGGGAGAACACACAAACTCCAAATATACAGGGGTCAGCGTCATGATCGAACCCACGAACTGTATACCAGGCGAGGTATCTGCTAATTATTGTATTGATCCTTACCTAGTACTTTCCACTTTTTAAGATTATTTCAAATGAGTATTTAGCCTAATATTTTTTTACATGTTATCTCCAATGAATACATTTCAACAGAACAATGTAGCACCATATGCCAGTGTTTGCACAATCCTCATGACGTTCTCTGATGCCCAGCACACAAGGGTTGCTTTAGATCGCATTTCAACTCCGTTCAAACAATGAGCAGCCTCTGTGTGTACAATCGTTTGTGTTGAATTGTTTTTCGCGCACCCAGAGTTGAGTCACAAGGAGGCCCATTCGTCACGTGTGACAAAAGGTAATCGCACCTGCTGTAATGCGAGTCCTGTCCCCCTGCGTCACATCCAAGGATATGGGAAGAGCAGCATCGACTACAAGCTGGTCTAGCAAGAACGGGGGGATAGGGGGGGATAGGGAAGTTTCTAGATCTGCATCTGGCGTGAACAAGTTTCTCGGAATTGTGCTGTAAGTTGCCCATGAACTACTTTTGTATTATGAGCGTACTCTTGGGTTCTTTCGGTAAAGTCACGTGGCTAGAATAAATAATAGATCACGACGTTTCGATCACGAAAGCTTAAAATCAAGACTGTATAAGCGTATTCGCTATCCGTTGAGACAGTCTACCTATCAACTAAACTTGATCATTTACCAGCTAAAGCCCACTGAGCTATTAGCTATGTTTAGAGGCGACTTGGTCACACATGCTAGCTAATCGAAGTGGATTATATCATTATATTTGGGAATTTATAGGAGTGGCCGAATGATCTGAAGACACACTTCTAAAATTGGAGGGCAAAACCCAGAGGAACCTGGAGAAAATTTCACGTGACCACCAGTAACTCTGTGGCAATATAAGAATAATACTGGAAATATAATAAGCGATGTTTTGTGCCAAGGTCCATCACGTGAACTCCAACATCATCGCAGCAGCTTGTGGCTCGTCAACGAACAAAGATGGTCACTGCGTCACGCGCTTTCAGATGCGCTTCTGCGGCCGTCTGGAACGCTCTTCCGATGTTAGGAAACCACTGGAGCTCTGGACTTTTACATTTAGATTGAAAACTCACTTCTTTTGAGCTGCTTTTGGTGTTTAAGTTGTTTTCCTCCCGGACCTCCGATTAGCACGGTTGAAAGAAGTTCAACATACAGTACAATCATAGCACATAAACAGAGGCCAGAGAAACAGAGTGCTTAATAAGATTTGGAGACTGCGCTTTACACCATGGGGCCTAATGGAAATTAAAATTTTTATGATGAGCAGTTTTTAAATATGCATCCGAATACTTATTAAACAGGAGCAATTGAGTGCCGGCCAAATCCTTCAATGATCAAAAAGTATTACTAAATCAACGCAAGTATATATTAAATGTTTTCATATAGGTAACGAAAGGGTTAGAAAATGCAATACGTTAAGTTGCTAAATGGTATTTAAGAGACTTATGTTACCAGAGTTGGCTTTGGACAGATTACATGAGATTGTATTATAGTTAATGACAATACCGAACAATTTATAAATATGTACAGATACATTGATATTTGATAACTTAAAATGTAATTGTTTTTTTATGCATTTTAATTTCAGTCGCTATTATCTTCATGAACTACTGCCAGTACCTATTATGTTAAGGAACTATTCTCAGAACTATTATCCGTGCGTAGCCATTAATATATTTAGAGTCTATAGGAGCTATGATTGTTGCGAGACACTGACACCACGGACTGTGTTTGCCAGCTTGTACACAGTATTATATCGACGTTCTTCCCCTCTCTGGCATGGGTGTGGCCACCTATTTGCACAGACCACAAACGGCTGACGTGGGAGCCGTCTTGTGTCGAGAGCATCGGGAGACTTTCAGCCGGTACAGCAGCAACAAATAAAAAACGTAGGTGTACTCTACCGGCCGGAGAAGGGAAACCAATGGATGGTGGAATAAAAACACCAAGCGCCAAGACTGTTTACGGTAAGATCCATACTTATTTTTTGTTAGCAACACTCTTGAAATGTCTACATTGTTTACATCCAACGCTCTTTGGAAAGCAAAACGTTGATATTGTTGTGTGACATTGACAAAAGAATATGACACGTTTTGTGCGTAAAAATACAATTTCTGGATGTAAACCAATGATTTTATAAAGCTATTTGAATGTACAGTATAATAAAAACATTGCAATTCATTATCTTGAAATGCATTCGAGAAACCGGTGAAGAAAAACTTTCCAATGTTTATCCTCGTATTTGACCGTGGAAATACACGGCAGTACAAACCGTATAGTGGATGTTTAGCAGTGGGGCAGTGACACGACACTATGAATCTGGCAACCTGAGTTTGATTCGTGGCCACAGCTAACGTCAGTGGCGAGTGGTATCGGACTGTGTCCCGTGCTCTCTCGCACTCACCGCGACCTGCACTGACGACGAGCCCGGTAAAGTCAAGCAATTCCATGACTGACATGCCTTGGGGAGGTCTTCTTCCAGCAGTGGATTGACAAAGATCCGTGCATTTCATTAAATATACATTTTTTTACATGACAGGCCGGAGACATATCACTGGGCTGGAAATTACTCAAAAATAACAAACCAGTAAACTTATTTGTAGACAAGAATGCTAATTACAACACAAGAGCTCCACGAGTGCGAACGGGGAAACAGTGGAGACACATACAGGGTGAGAGTAACCGGTGGTCATGCATGGACAGTGAAACACGTCTTTGAGGGCAATTATGCACTCGTGAATGCTGCATTGACTTGTTTGTTGTGTCTTGGACTCACAATTTCACTCATGCAGTGACAGAGGCGTAGCTAGGGGGGAGGGGGCAGGGGGGTACATATGTCCCCGGGCGCCAAGGTAAAGGGGCGCCAAAATCGAGGCTTACAACGTTACATGATAACTTATTGCGGCGGGCGCGGTAGCCTGAAACTACTGCACAAATCTACACCTCAACCTAAAAGTTTATATATCCCGCCACACACAGCTTACATGTCATGTTATTACATTTTGGTACGCGCGCCTATTAAGAACTTGGTGGCGGAAACTACGACGGCCTGAAACACGCTGGAGTGCACGATCAGAAACTGTTAAAGCTATCTATGAAGGACTGGATGAACTAGTAGGGCTGCTAGACAAATTATCGGAGGACGTTACTATGATGCCTGAAACCAGAAGTGATGCAGAACAGTTACAGGCATGCGTATAAAATTTTAACTTCATAGTTTTATTACATTTCTGGAATGTCATTCTTGAAAAAATTGATCGTGTTCAGAAGCGCTTACAGGATCCTACTATGAATTTCAAGGAAGCAGCAACTGATCTTGAATCTTTGGAGCATGAATTTGTCAAGCTTCGTGATGATTTGAGCCAAGTTGCTGTAGAAAACGCCAAAACAAGATGCACAGCCTGGGGGATCGATGTGGACAGAAGAATTAGGCGACGTCGGAAGATGCCAGGAGAACTGGCAAGAGATGCAGGACTTTCAGCAGAAGAAGAAATTGTGCACGTTATGAAGAGCGTATTTTATCGACATCAACAGATGTCAACACGGTTTTTACGACTAAAAGACCTGAACACAAAATTTTGATTTCTGCTGGACGTTAAAACTCTTATATCCGACACAGATGTCGATGAAATTCGTCGAAATTGCAAAGATTTTGGAAATTTCTATAACACCGACATCAATGGCCACGAACTTTTCACAGAAATTGGAGATTGCAAAATGCTTCTCAGTAACCGGAATGAAGTTCTACCAGAAACTCCTTTGGATCTTCTTGGTTTTATTGTGTTTTATGGAGACGACATATTTCCGAATTTGCGAATTTCACTGCAAATTTTATTAATAGCAGTTTCAATTGCAAGCTGTGAGCGGTCGTTCAGCAAATTGAAACTTATTTTATCGGATTTTCGTGATTCAATGGGACAAGATCGTCTCAGCGATCTTGATCTTCTTAGCGTTGAAAGAGAAACATTGGAAAAAACAGATTTTGATTACGTGATTGACTAGTTTGCGACAGTGAAATCAAGAAAAAATAATCTTTTGTAGACTATGTCAACCAGTCTACGACAGTGACTGAGTGAGCCATGTAATATAATTTCTATACATTTGCTTCTTTAAATACAATGTTAAATACAATGTTCATTAAAATAAAAATTGGTATTCCTTATTCGATGTAATAGGAAAATGTGATTAAACGGGGGGGGGGGGGGCGCCAATTTTATAGTTCGTCCCCGGGCGCAAAATATCCTAGCTACGCCTCTGTGCAGTGAATGAGTGAGGATGTGAGTCTACCACACAACAAGACGTCAATGCAATAACAAATATAGGAAACTAAACTCTTTAGTTGAACAGGTGAGGCCCACGAGCTTTTTTTCAGAAGCGACCTGCCCACGTAATGATAGTTTAATGACGTGGCTTATCATGTGGAAGTTTTTAGCAGCCAAACACTCTAAACGCGTGTTTCTAGACGTGGAGGGAGAAACTGGGGGAACCGGAGAAAAATCCACGCGATCATGGGGAGAATGAACATGCAAACCCCAAATACAGTATACATGTGTCAGGGTGGGATCGATCGAACCCACGTCCCCCTGTAGACCAGGCGAGGTAGTTAACAACTCGCCACCAGTGCGGTGCATGGGTGGAAAAAACCCGATTTTTCCAGCGGCAGGCATCGGGTTTTTTCTTTAATACAATTAAACCCGATTTCGGGGAATTAAAACCTGGTTTAATGAATACGAAACTCTGATAGGCTTAGGCTGCTTCCTCGTCGGTGCTGCTATCGTACTCGGGGGGGGGGGGGGGGGTGGGGGGCCGTCGGGCACGGGGTAGTCGTAGAATGCGGCGGGCAGGTTGGTCGTGATGAACACGAGGAGCTTCTCCTGCACAATCGTGGGCACCGCCAGTGAGTTCCTTCGCTTGGAATGGATGAAGCCCATCGTTGAGAAGTTGGCGAAGTGCGGTTCTGCAATTAGAACCAATAAAACCGGATTTCTCCAAATCTCAGATGATCGGGTTTAATATAAAAAGACAATTAAACCCGATTGTAAAAAACCCGACTGGGCCACCCTTGGTGCGGTGGCGAGTTGTGATATCTCTTTCTATATACAAGGGAAATTTGTGATTGTTTGTTCAAAATGTTTAGCGTACTTCCCGACATGCAACAAACTTGAAATTTTCCATGTGGGTACTTTCCAGACTGTACACTATGCAAAAATTATAAAAATTGCCTTTTGTAAAAACATTTTACGTCACGCTCCCCCCCCCAACCCTCCGCGTAGGCCGACTGGGGGGGGGGGGGGGTCGGTTACAAACTTTTAATTTGCCATGTGGCTAGCTCCCATACTGTATATAATGTAAAACGTATAAAAATACACTTTTGTATTTTGGGGGGGGGGGGGGGGGTGACCATGAAGTGTGTGGCGTCAACCCGCATACATGACTGGAGAATCGATACCTGTGGAACGTTTGTGGTATCGATTAAACGGGAATAGGCCGATTCTAAAGAAATCTACAACCCTCGATTCCTTTGCGCGATTTAAAGATTCGAATGTTGGCGAGCGTTGGGTTTTATTGAAATGAAGAATGAGGTGATGATCAAAGTTTTATTTTCATTTGTAAAGGTTATGTTCTTAAGTTTTGAAAAGTTTTAAAATGTATTTTTCCCTCGGGCAACGCTGGGTGCTTCCCGCTAGTCATTTATACAACACGAGGTTGTACAACTTATCTTTGCTGAATTATGACAATTTATCCTGCTGTTATTCAACACCAGTCGCCCATTATGTGGTTGTGTCGTGGTCCAAATTTTGCCAAATTCGAAAACTGCCCACAAATTTCTCAATTGAGATGACACCAAGCAAATATAATCATCGCCCCCTACTGGGTCACCCTGTGTCACGCAGGGACAACTCGAATAATTGAGATGTAAGCCGTGCGTTGCGTCTGAGGTATTCTCAGATAGCCTGGCTTAAAGTGTGCTCGATCAAAAACAAATTATGATGATTATTATTAATGTCATCATTCTGCCCAAGATGCTGTCGAAGCTCTAGAAAATTATCTGATATATTGCCACGACATCTGATACCCTCCAGACACTGGAATGGGATGGTATCCAAATTGTGGGTGATGGCGTGATGTAGGAATAGGAAACAGATATTATGGATCGGAATTCGCTGTAGCACCAGTTAAATACTGTATATATTACTTTCTTGTAGTATAGCCCAATGTATGGAATATTCATTCTACTTGTCTGTGAACACTTGTTCATTTTCTTCAAAAATCCAGAACAAAGAAAGACATATTCAACTTCGAGTAACATCCAAGAAGAAACTTCACAATACCAAGTAGAGGTAAGATGCATTCATTATGAAGATATGATTTTTTACATTACAATTAATAGTTTTGACATTTAAAACTGAATAATTATATTATATTACAGGGCCTTCTTATTCACCACCACCATTATCCCTCTATTCCCAAATCCCATGGCAGTGGAACGCCCAGGGTTGCCACCGATCCGGTTTGACCCGGATAGTGTGGAAATGGGCATCCTGTGCTCTCAGGTGGTAGAAATGTTTTTGTATCTGTAAGAAATGCGGAGTGATCCTGATCCTGCGGTGAATAAGCAACATTGAGTAAAAAAATAATTGTATTCCTAATACTCATGGAAATATGATGAATGTATTATGCAGAACAGAACCACAACTGTTATGATAGCTCACGAATAATGGGATAAATATTGCAATATTTCATGCAGTGGAATCCATTAAGAGATTCCTCACTAAAATTATAACGATAAATAATATAGCAAACACTATTTTATTTTAGAGTCTCTGCATGTCTCCCACCAATATTGATGCACTTATTTAGGTAGGGATGCAATCAACTTTACACGTAGGTTTTCGCGACCAATATTATCCATAATAGAGCCATAATACAGCCACAAATATAGCTTTCGCCTGATGATGCTAGTTGTAATTTCTGGCGAAACAAGCTGTGCTAGTAACGAAGTGGCACGTTTTGTTTACGTGACAAACCTTACTAATTGGCTGTGTCGGATGGTGGGTTTAACGACACATTTATATTTGTGCGATCTAACCCAAAAACCTCTTTTATGGATGGAATCAACTGTTGGGAAGAAAGCCAGATAGTCGTTTGAGATCAGTGGGATATCCATGAGTGGCATATCATGCAGTGCCCACTCCAATAAATATATGAAAAGTGCAGGAAGCGACCCAGACCAATCAGTGCATTACGGTAGAGTTAAGGACATTGCAGCTGCATTGGATATTTGCCACCGTACATTGCACTGAATGTTGTCTGAATTGTAATATCATTATGGAAATCCACGACAAATGTCCACAATCTGATGTCATTGTTGATTTCCAAACTTGGAGTTATATGTACCATGATTATATTATTAATTTATACACCACCTGCAGATGCCACTGCACATAATGCAATTATGGCAGAGTAGAAACTTGGCGGGAGGAGGTGGTCCACAAAAATCCCGATATTAGGAAAACCATGACATTTAACTTCTGAGGCGAAAGCCCAGGAGGTGAAGACAAATCTAGACGAATGAGACCTCTCCAACTCTGGAGGATGCTTACACTTCAACTCATAACTGTACACGCTCTCTAAGTAAAGTGGTGATACGGGGATGTAAGTAGTCTGGTCCAGACATTTTCAACTGTAGAGCATAAATAGGCGATCAGTCTTACAGTGCTGTCTGGACCTGTTGAGATAACCCTCTGTTGGCCTCGGAACATCGAAGCAACTTCACAATATTTACTTTTCAGAGGTCAGTTTTGGACAGTTAGGGCAGATAACAATGCTCATGTTGAGTATTGTGGCCCAATTCACTTTTGGCAGAAAGGCACCATGTGCACACAAAAGCACCTTCTCCTCCAACACAAAGCTTGCAGTTCCCTGAGCCGTCGGGCTAAGGGTAACTGCTACCAAAAGGGCCACATTCCAGGTGACGAACATCATGACAGTCAATGTTAGTGGCTCAAGAGGCTGACATAAAGCAAACAGGACCAGAGGAAGGTCCTAGGGGAAGTATGGCCCCTTTACAGGAGGTCTCTTAAGTAGGACACCCTTCAAAATAATTATGCACGAGTGGATTGCTCGACACAAGGGAGCTATCAAAACCGCTGTAGACAGCCGAGATGGCTGCTAGTTGGACCCCGATGATGGATGCTGCGAGGCCTTTGTGGCATTCTTCCTCAAGGAAGTCCAGAATAGTGGGAACTGGGAAACTCTTTGGTTGAACATGTCTCTCTATACAGAACCCCAGGAAAAAGTCCAATAAAGATTGTAGATCATACGGGTGGAAGGTATTCTCATAGGGAATCGTGCAACTTGGGGGAGATCGATCCACTGACGGAATGAGCGTCTGCGCTCACTCTCCATACCGCTTGTCTTTAAAGGTGAACCTCTGCGCTGAGCAAGCTGCCCTTAAACAAGAGCTCCTCCTGAAGCAGAAGCCTTCAGGGGCTGGCTACGGACAATCACAAAATGTTCAGGGTGGTGCTGATTTGCAACGTACAATTTTAACATTGGGACGCCAGAGGCATCCAAGAGTTAATGGCAATAAAGTTTGCTCGTTCATTATTGAGTCGTGACCCTCTACCTAGCTTGTGTAAAGCAGCATTTTGTCCAGTGGCATCTGCTTTTGCATAACAATGTTGAGGGCAGGATATGCTTAACAAATGTTTTATAAAATGACATTTTCCCCAAGCCTTTTCCTTCTTTAATATCGCTAGCATCTGACGACGATGGTGATGGATAAGAAGGTGGGTGTAGCATCTATAGAAGACGGCATGACTAAACTGAAACATCTTGAAAACAATGGAAAGATCTGGATCCAAGACATGCTTCTACAGGTGGACAAAAATGCAGTCTACCTGATCGACTTGGAATGCAAGGTACCCCCAACGTTTGCAAAACTCCTTCGGTAACTGGAGGCTTAATCGGACACGTGCAATTTGATATCTCAAGCAAGCTCATTTGAGTATACTAGATAAAACTTATTTGCATGTTAAGATTGTCTGCATGAACAGTAATATTCAGCTTCACTGACCTAAGATCTATGATCGGAGGAATAATGACAAATGATGTCTATAAAATGGAATGCACAGCAAATCTGTGGCAAACCAGACCCTGGAAAGCCAGAGTTTGTGTTTCCAGGGCATTGCTGCAGCTCCCTTACATCCATGTCTTCGTGCTCGTATGGGAATTCTGCTCACTAGCAGTGCCTTTTCCTCTGAAGTTTTTATTTGTACTCACTGTTAGTGTTTTACTTTTCTTTGAGGACACGATTTCGTTTACGACTTGGGGGGGAACACGCTGTAATGTTGAGTGCAGTACTTACCACCCCAACAGTACACAACACAGTACTGTGGTGTTCATGACCTCAGCACATTTGATAATATTTACAGAAGCATGATTTATAAAGTTAACTCTAGATGTGTGCGTGGGTAATGTTGGGAATAATGTAGAGTGTTGTTTGTGATATCTTACGTGGATATTTCTGTGGCAGTTTAGCCAGACTTGTCAGCTAAGCTGGACCAATGCTCACCCTTATGAGTCCAGCTCAGCGTGGTGTTACTGCAAATCTAATGATTTAACCTTTTGTAGCATTTATGTTTGAGTTATTTTCAAATAATTTCTATAAAACTCTCGCTAAAGATTGTTTTTGCACACGTAAAAAAAACCGATAGGTCCTGTACTTTGTATACCGAACTACAGAACTGGAGTCGAATAATTAAAATGTTGTCAATATTACCAGTGATCTTTCCCCTTCAGAAGAAGGATTCAGTTTAAATTAAACTGACGTAACTTGTAAACGTAGAATATTTCCAGAGGGAACAAAAAAATGTCAAGTGACAAAAAAACAATAATTGCAAATGTAACTCAGAAACTAGAATTAGCCCAAACTGAAACGGTCTGAAATGTCCACCGAACCACACTTTTTTTAATTCATCGTACGTGAAAAAAATAATCTATACCAGCGAAGGAGGAGTCCATCAGGCGCTGCGGCGATCCACGGCGGTGAACCTCCACGGGCTCCAGGGCCCACCAGACAGCTGTGGACGACAACTCTCGAGATGATTTTAGCTCTGTCATGCCCAAGCATGTTTTGTCTAAATGAGGGAAGCTCATAGGGCGGAGTTTGACTTTTATATGTGGGGGGGGGGGGGGCAGGGATTTGCTTTGTCCCTCACATTAGGACTTGTGGGTGCATATAAATAATGTATCTTTTAATCTTAATTGTAAAGGACTGAGAATAAATTAATAAAGGTGTCATGGTTTGGCAGGTACTTTGCCCCCCCCCACCCCGTGTCCCACCCCCTACCGCGGGGAAGCTACGTTAGATGTTGACGCTACGTTATTTATGGAACTAGATTCCACTCCTTCGACGTACCAAGTGTTTGTTCTCCTGTCCTGCCACAATGTACTGAACTTTGCATTGGGAGGCTGATTTATGAAAATAATACATAAAGAGGTGGCTAAACATCGTATCATATTTGCTGCAGATTAACATAATTCTAATGGCGATATCTATTTTGTTATCCTTCCCCCGCACCTCCGAATAGCACGGTGCGAAAGGAGTCCAACATAATACAGAAAAGTTATTTTTTTAAATCCATGAATTCTTAGTGGGGAAGTTTTATTTGCCATCAGCCGTAACCAATGGCGGAGCCAGTGGGGGGGGGGGGGCAGTAGTCCCCCCCAATGTTCCGATCGAAATCCCTAATTTCGATCGGATCATTGGGGTATATTAGTAATAAATCAACATTTGCCGACCCCCACTGCCACTGTGTAGCATATTATTACGTGCCAAGGACTCTGAGATGATAGGACAATAGTCTGAGTCCACAATTGGCAATAAGTAGTTGTAAGTGACTCACAGAATTGTGCGCAGTTGCGTATACAGTACACGACTTCCCTGAAGGCATTCACCTTCAGCGAGCGCGATGCCGATCACACACGGTTCGAATTCGACCCTCGATCGATGGCTGCGCCATCACCGTACACGCGTCGAATAAAAAGCAAGGGACAAGTCCTTACTTACTAACAACTCCTATAATTTTCCATTGTTGGAGGGGTTGCCCCCTACCTGAAAATACTGGCTCCACCATTGGCCATAACGACAATCGTCGTTTGCCTTTGGTAGCATTCTGATTTGCTCTGCGATGCACAACAATATTTAGTGATCAACCCATGGATCACTGCTGTTCAATACCAAAACGCATTCCGGTCGACATCCAACTCTGTGCAGGAGGCCTGCGGTCGCACAGCTTGAGTGGACTGATAGTGTTTCATATTGTTTTTCCTAAATGTGAAAAGAAATATACTGATACGTTATGCAATGTAAGATGACCCTCGTTTTAAAAGACCAAAACTGAAATTAACATGATTAGAATTTTTTTTTTTGTAATAATGATACATATTTACTCAAATTGTGATATTAGAATATTTTTTTAAATAATTATGTCGGGTATTAAAGTAAAAATAAATCTTCCAAAGAAACAAAGCGATTTCCCAATATTAGTAGATTTATATACAGTTTTAATATCTCTATCTACAGTTTCTATTTCATTGTTTTATATGTTTGGAACTTTATCTATAACTAAATGATAGAATGAAAAATCGGTTGACAGTTCTTGTTGTACATCGAGTTGGCATGGCCCAGGGATAGCGTCATCTCCACTTGGCGCAAAGGTTCACGGTTTGATGCGAGCAGCCGCTATATTTAGTTCCTGCAGATGTCTTAACGACAACAACATGGACCGTCTACTTCACAGTGGATGTTACAGATCCCACGATGTAAATAGTTTGTGCCAGGGTCATGGTTCAAATTTTGCCAAATTAGTAAATTGGGTTTACTCATAAGCAATCATCGCACTCTGCTGGCAGACTGATGCCTGTTTGCAAGCCAAGTGCTGAGTCACCTTGTGACCGCACAGGGACAGCTGCCAGTGGGGGAGTGCCCTTTAACATGTTTACAATAAGATGTGGTGTATAAGTAAAGCACTCTGAGATTCCCCAGCGAAAAGGGCGCAATATCAATAACCAAAAAAAAAATCTCAACACATTCGTGAATACCACTTTGGACTGAAAAGGATGTGTATACAATTGTCAACGTTTTTACAAATGGACCATCTTCATAGAAGAGAGACAGAGGGGATAATACGAGTTCGAGACTTCACTTTACACCATGGGGCCTGATAAAATATACTTTTAAAACCGTCATCAAACAAATAATTGTCATTCATCGTTGGAATTTTGCTGCCATTCACTTTTGCAATGTGTCTCTTTCACGCGAACAATAATTGCGCGCAGGAAGAGCTCAACAAATACCCAATGGGGTTGATTCAGGTGTGCACGTCGTTCATGGAAGAGCCGCCGTACGTGTCGGTGCTGGCCCTGGTGTGTTGGAACGAACAGCAGCGCAAGAACAACCTGCACCTGTTCCACTGCGAAGTCATCAAGGCGAGACTTTCCCACAGCAGCGCCACGATTGGACAGTAAAGCTGCCACACACCACACTCCTCTGGCTGAGATGTCCCCTTTCGCATTGTGCCACTCAAGTGTCTGCCTCTCCGTCACGTGTCCTCTCTCTTGCGCGCACGCACACACACGCGCGCCTTACCCATTACATCTACAACTCTCTCTTGTTATCCTCTCTTCCAGGGGGGGTGGGGGTGTGGGCAAACAATAACAAGACGATCCATTTTTGTTCGAATTCGGTAAAAAAAAAGGTCAAGATTTCAAGAGCCTCAACACACTATGGGAAGTGCCGGATTATCCTAGTAGCAAAAGTAGCTACATATGCTACGGGACCCGCACTTTAAATGCTTTCAAGCCATCAATTCCGGTTCAGTGATTCTGCACTTGCTCTATTACTATAGTACTATACCGCCTTCAACTTTTATGAACGACTGGGTGTTTAAGGTTAGCGATTTATCGTATTATCTGGCCGTATAGAAAATGAAAACATACAATTACTTTACTATGCAAGTAAAAAATGTGTGTTTTAATATTTACGTGCTTTTTATATTTAGGGCCCCTTTATAACATATGCTATACAGGCACTATCTTAATCCGGCACTGACTGTGGGTGAATATGAGACGGTGGTGGTCCTTAATAAATAACTATCTCGAAGCAGTTCATTAAAGAGCCACACACGGCTCCGGAGCCGCAGCTTGCCGACCCCTGCTCTAATTCCAAACTCTCCAGCCGCTCACGCTATTGTGCCATGACGTTCGTAGCATCCTCCAGCACCAACGGCCAATGTGTTGTATATACACTGCCGGATGAACGCCTCGTGATGGCCATTATCCATCTCGACTCGAGCCGATTTCGTTCCTCCGTCTCCGTGGTGGCCGTAGCCCTCGCACGCGTTTGCTCTCTTGCCTGCCGCTGCATCACCGTCAGTCACCTTATATTCGAGCGACGTGTCCTGCCCAAGCATGCACTCACTTTTATAACAGTCAATACGATGTTATCTAGTTTGCGTTTGTTCTCCGATCCACGTGTCCTTCTTGTTGTTTCTCGTTGAAACTCTCTCAGCATTATTCGTGCACCGTTTATTCTGTGTTCATTTTTGTGTGCCAGTATTCATGTGTCTGATCCTCTGTATTTCAATGGCATTATTCTCTAATTTAAAACGCAAATTTTTGGGCTGCTTTTCATAATCAAACGCAGTTTTCCAATGGCACTCCCCGCTTGTTCCCTCCTTTCTCATAATCATCTTGATCCCGGTTCTTCCCTGCTCGACAATTGCCCCAAGATATCCGCAACTCCATCGAGCGAATAACACCGTGCTGGCTGAGGCCGTGCGGATGGTTCGCCATCGAAGCGAGGTCACAATTCGCACCCTCGCGCCAATTGTAATGACGGCCACCATGGATTTTAAAATACAGTCGCCTCGCGTTTTACGCGCGTTAGCGTGACGCGATTTTGTAAATCGCGCGTTAAATGAACGCGCCCTTATTTTTGCTCTGCGCGCACTATCATTGAGATAGCGCGCTCCTCCAGCACGTTGGCCACGGTGCACGGAACTTGCTTGCGAGCTGATCGTTAGTCAGAGGGGGTTAGGGGGGGCAGGAAAGTAGAGTAGCGATGCTGGCTGAGGTGCAGCAGGGAGTACTGTCAACAACCACCACAACAGGGGCAGCAGCATCACGAGGCGCATCCCTCCTCGCGCGCCACTCTCCACTCCTCCCCTCCACCAGCCCCACAGTATAGCCGCCACACTTAATCATCTGACTACGTGTGAAAACATATTTTTGTTTAACTCGATTATTTATTTATTTAAATAGGCTGTTACTCTCTTTAATACATGTTATGGTAGAATTGTAAATGTATGTTATTGTAACCCGTGAAATATATAGACGTAAGAGTGAGGTTCGATAGCATGCTCTCACTAACCACCACCATTTCCTTTATTTCTTATGGGAAAATGATGTTTTAATTTGCGCGGTTTTGAGTTACGTGCCGTTTTTCGAGAATGCAAAACCCGTGTAAAATGAGAGGCAGCTGTAATCGATTGTGTGAAGACTTGGCGAGCGCCACCGATTGGATCCTCTACGTCCACGCGTTAACGCGTAGGCAAGCGATTTTCCAATGCACGAACTAACCCACGAACACCTTTTATCGCTTGTTGCTGCAGGCGGATTTGATCCGGAGTGACATCGAGAGTGCGATCACTGACAGGTTGTGTGGAAACGTGAAGAAGCGACCAGAAACTCTACGGTAAAGCCAAGATTTTACTCGCATTGTTGCATGAGCAAAACACAAGTCCTTCATGAATGAAAATCATGATCCTTACCATGAATGCCTTAGAGCAATGAGAATATACAGCTCGCAAATATAAATATATGTGTTAGTAACGGTAAAATTAAATCCACGAACGCCAGACATATTTTGTTTTTAAACACTTCTTTGATGGAAGTCACACTGTGTGTTTCTCTTAAATGTTTGTCTCCTCGTCCTCCTTCAGGAAGAATGCAGAGAAGCTGAACCACGTGGAGCCCTCAGGAAACTCGGAGAACAACGAAAAAATGGTGCCAGAGATAGCAGCAGCCTGTAAACAGCCTGGGATTGAAGACATGAACATACCTCAGTTGCCAGGAACACCATCCCAGAGTGAAAAGAAAAGTCGTATTGCTGCATGGACGGCCAGCGTAGCCAACCGAGGTATTGTTTTTCACACACGAAGCTAACAGTCCCCCATGCCCCCTCCATAAGGCTTTTAACAGAATATTGGGGCAAGTGCTGTTCGTGAGTAGCAGCACCTATGAAGGCCGGCAGGCACACGAAGGGGTGGGTGGCCAGCACCACGCCTCACCGTCTTTGTTTCCCCAGTGGCAATGTTTACTACACCGCACCAGGCAATCATTTGAGGCCGAGTGACCGAGGGGAGGTCCAGGACCAGTTCAAATATTCGTCACTGGTGTTGGCCGTGAGCAGGAATCGAACGCGGGTCATCGGGTTCATAGCGCAGCGTGCTAACAACTGCGCCACCGCGCACACACACATGCACAGAGTCACAGACCAATTTTGTAATTGAAATACTTTCACGAATAATTATTGAATAGAATACAAATACGCGTCTCTTATCGCTGAAGCCAAGGTTGTTCTGCTGTTAGAGTCATCCATGAATGTGCATATGATGAAAATGTGCACGGCTGAACAGGGACACTGCATTTTATAAGTGGAAGAAATAATTTTGGTTATTCATGATCACACTCTCAATGCAAAACATGCGCGTGGCCCCGAGTGTGCATCGGCGTAGTCACCTGCTGACGAGTGGATGATGTTGGAGCGGTGACTTGGTCTAGCTGTAGCACGTTCGCCGCTCGTTGCAGAGCTTCACGGGCCAAATTTATGCGAATGCTGCGGAGTTGAGAATACAATTCGTATTTTAACAACATAAAAATTACCTTTATGTTCGCTTGAAATGCGATTAGCTGGAAACATTCTCTATGTTGCATCCAAAGGGGTTCAAAGAGGCAATTGTTTCACCCGAGGAGCAGATTACAGGTTCTGAAGCTACCTGGAACATTTGAGAAGAATGTACACACAGATAATGAAACGGACGGTGTTGAATAGCAACATGAATGGTGCTTTAGGTGAATCCCACCCGATTAAAATGTCCAGCGACTGGTTGCAAAGCACATTGATGATGGGTATTACATTTTTTAAAGTGATTGAAACCAGTTCTAAATATTGACCCAGCAATAACTGGGAGAGAGATATTTATTTACATGCAGGATCTTTGTTTGGCCACTGAAGAAAATATGTGGATTTTGTTATCCGGTGGCAAAGCGAGAACATTGGTGTTTGAACAGAGAGGCAGTGTGTATTGGTTTTGAATTACAAGGATAATAATTTGATTAAAAGGCTGCTGTAAGGAGTGCTCAAGACTGAGAACGGAGAGCAAATGCAATACTGGCTGGACTGTGAGCTTCTCGACTGGAAATACGACGTAAGAGATGCATTGCATGCTGTACATATCATAGATTTAGAATAGAGCCGTGTTCATTTAGCCATTGACTTGATAGCGATGGTGGTAAATAGTTTACAACATTACAAGCAGTGTGCAAACATCACGAATATTTTTTTCATGAAATTGTCACAAAGCTCGTTGAACTGCTCAGTCAATCTGTTTCTTATCCGTTTGCCTGGATGAATCACAACTTCTGTGTCTATGTCCAGATTAGTCAGCCAGGAAATGTCTTCAGTAACTGTGTGGTGGATCGCTTCAATGCATCTGTTGAATGTTTTGAGTTCTCAGTTTTTGTACTCTGCATTCTATGATGTGGCTGGCGTTCATGTGATGGCATGCTGGGCTTTATTTAATTTTCGACGTGTAAAAGTACCACTGATAAGCCTCCATTGTGGCGTTTAAGACTCCATTGTGGCGTTTAAGATGCTATCCAGTTGTTTAGTGTTCAAATCGTCTGGATAGTAAGATACGTTTTTAATTGTATTTCGCCAGCTCAGGCCCACTGAGCTGTAAAGCTCTTTTTTCAGAAACGACCTTGCTACAAATGATAGCTCAATGAAGTGGCTTATCATGTGGAAATGTATAGCAGCCAAATACTGGAAACGCATGCTTCTAAATATGGAGGGAAAAATTCCATGCGTCCACAGGGATAATACGCAAACTCACAATATGCATACGCTTAGGTTCTTTCGGTAAGGTCACGTATGGAGAAAAATAAAGTAAAATAAAAAATAATATATCACGACGTTTCGATCGCGACACAAGCGGTCGTTTTCAGGCGGAAAAATAAAATCCAGCAGTGGAACTACTGAACCAGCGAGAGAGCTGTTACAACAAGGTTATATATGTGGTGAAGGGCAAGCAAGCAGGGTCTGAGCTGGAAAGGAATTCCATCCCCGAACGCAAGCATGTCAGTTGTTAATGGGGGAGATTAGGGAGAGAGAGATTAGGGACAGAGATTAGCATGAAATGAGCTTCCGTCGCCGCACAAGAGCACCGTCCCCGCATATGCGCACAACAGCAGTGTTAATGGGAGATTAGCACTATGTTGATGGGAGAGATTAGGCAGAGAGATTAGGGGGATTAGCAAGTTAATGTCATGTCTATGTATAACACAAGCTGCGGCGCTGCCAACTGCGCTGTGAGAGGCAAGCGCGCCCACGCAAGAGAACCACCGCAACGGTGGTCGCGCCAGTGAGACACACAGCCCATCACACAGCCAGAACCATCGGTACATCGAGGCTAAGGGAGCAGAAGTGGCCATGTTAGTGAGACCCCAGCCCGTTAATGCAGAGGCACCTAACCGGGCAATACAACTCAGAGAGTCGGAGATAACAGCCAAACGGCAGGGAAGAATGGAAGCACAACAGCAAGTTACGACTTTGCTTGGTTAATAACGTCCTTCCAATGATTGCTCAGCTTATACCCATCTTATCGGTTGAAATTGTCTCCGTGTTTATATATCTGGATGGCTTCATGGACAAATCAAATATACAGGCGTCAGAGTCGGGATAGAACTCAAGATCTCCTGCGTACCAGGCGAGGGAGATAAAATCTCGCCACCACGGCGCCCCTTAGCCAAGCAATAGCAACACCTTGGCTAAGGCAGTCAAATAATATCTCTCTATATTAGGAATTCAATCATTATCCTAATTAAATTTCAGATTCCACTTGTGTGAAAACTGTGGACATTGTGGTATTTTAAATCAGTTTCATTACAAATAATTGTCATTTAAGTAATGTATTTTTATGTCAGTTCCATTACAGATTATTTTCATGTAAGTCATGAATCAATAATTCAGCTCATATAACAGTGACTGAAATGCATCAATGTGTAGAAGAGGTTTGCGACATGACAATGGCTCAAAACTATTCGGAATGCCTCACTGCCTTCGAAATGTCATTTGCATGAATGTAGCATAAACATGCGGAGAATGGCATTCACTAAATGTACAAAATCTGTATGTCCCACAGAGTTCGACCTGACAAGTGGCTCATCCATGGAAGCAGAGGACAACCAGGACATAGACGCCAGGAAAAGGGAGCGCGATATGGTACACGTGACGTGCTGAGCCACCGCAGTGAAGATCTGATATAATTTTGTTGTCAGCTTGGCATCTTTATATTTTATGTAAAGTTACATTAACTTGCTTGAATTTTGATTACGCACTTAGCTAAGTATATTTTTTTTCGCAAAAACAATATTTTAGAGATATTTTAAGAGATGCTGGCGTCAGTGATTTCAGATTAATTTTGTTTTGTATTTTTCAGGATATATTAACACAACTAATGGAAGAAATGCAAATTTTCGTGTCGAAACTGGACAAAGATGCAGGTGCTGTGTTTTTGTTGTGTTAATCACTGTGACTACTCTAAGATAAACTATTTTTATTTGATACTCTTTGGTTCTTTCGGTAAAGTCACGTAGATTTTTTTTAGACGTGATTTGGCCACAAATGATAGTTCAGCGAAGTGGGCTTATCATGTGGAAATGTGTTTATAAAAGTGGAGGGAAAAAAACCCAGGTCCCGGAGGAAAATCCACATGATCACGGGGAGAACATGCAAACTCCAAATATACAGGAGGCATCGGGGTCAGGATCAAACCCACGACCCCCTGTATACCAGGCGAGGTAGTTAACATCTCGCCACTGTGGCGCCAGTGGTAGTACTCAACAAGTGTTTTATACTTCAATTATAATCATACACAGGTTGAAGCTTGAAATGGGAATTACAAGATGGAACCAGGCTCTTATAACAGAAAATAGACGACACTGTATGCACTCGCAAATGGTGGAACGTCTTCCAACAACTAAACTATGTCGTGTTATTGTTGCTATAGTTTATAAATGTTAGCGATGGAGTGATTAATATATACATGTGCATAAACAACATTTCTTTGACTCATGATATTACCATGATTATGTTGTTCCATAGACTATATGCCAGTGCTAGGCTATGCATACTTTGCGTTTTTACTGTATACAGGGACTCCTCTACTTACGAACGAGTTAAGTTCCAGAGGTCTAAACTAGATTCGAAGCTTTTGTGACTGCAAGAATTCCAGAGGTTTGTTCGTAAGTCGATTTGTTAGTAAGTCCAACTTTACTCCTGTTGATTCCAAACATGTTGTACGGCATGTTCACTAAACACAGGGAATGGCTTTAAAAGTTGTATAATCTCCTGCATATGTAGATGCCACCGCCACCATCTATTGATCGGTGGTTGAACTTACAATTCTCGGTCCGAACAGGCAACTGGACATACGGACAGGTTTGTTCATATCTCTGAAATGTCGTAAGTCAAGTGTTCATAAGTAGCGGAGTCCCTGTACATGTCAGTACAGCACAGTGTTGTACAACTGCAAAACATATGGCAATGGCCCTTTGTATGCATGCTGACCTTCTTTCGCATCGTACATAGCCAACCCTGCAAATAGTATAATGCTACTGTAATCATTGTTGTTCTTATTAAAGTGAGTACCTGATGATATTTCTCTGCAGACACTGGTCCTACTGCGAACAGCGATCTGCCTTCCCAGGAGGAGTTTTTTGACATCTTTCAAAAGTCTAAGCTCGCCCTCACACTCGTGGTAGGAAACACTGGTTCGATGTCATGCATATCACATGGCCCACGGCAGCGGGTCAATCTTGACTTTTGCAAATAAAATGAGAAATGTCGTAAAAATTATCGAGTAGACTTTTCTTTCATATTCTACAGTTCTCCTTGTTATTCGCGAGGGATACGTTCCGAAGATGCTCGGGAATTGCAAATTTCGCGGATGATACTGGCCTATGAAACCCTATCTTTTATCTCATCATTATATCTCATCACTTTATTTAATAACTTCTCGCATCACATTCTCTCTCATCACTTTGTCTCATCAGTTCCTTTATTATTAAATCCTTTATATTAAGTTCACTTGCTTGCTTGTTTGCTTGCGCGCTTGCTTGCGTGCTTGCGCGCTTACGACCGTGCAAATCTTACGGTCGGTTTTTTAACCCACTTCCCGTGATCCAATCGAGCTGACATTTTCTACACAGACTCGTTGTGCGTGACAATTAATTTTCGTGAATTTTTTTTCTCCAAAATTTTACACTTTTTAGGAATTTGTTTTTATATTTAATTACCAGTTTCTTAATGGTGCCAGGCAATCATCTGACCCATAGGTGGCAGCCATCTCAAGCCAGAGGACGAGAGGAGTCTAGCCGCCACGCATATAAAGGATTTATAGTGAAAAACTTAGTTTTTACGGGTTAATTTTTTCTCTCTCGATGCAGTCGTGTAGAGTTCCAGATGCGATTCGCAGATAGCCAAAATCGTGAACAGGACGTTCCTGAATAACGAGGGAATACTGCATAAAGCAGCTGTGGTGCATTCAATGAAGTAGAGCGTTCCGATGCGGTTTGCAATTGGACGATCTGGTGAGCCCAGAGCGTGTCGTAACAGGAGCTAACGGTCTGAGGAGTGGCCCTGCTGAACATTTGGTGTGCATTTAAAAATCCGGCCAAACGCAAAGTAAAAAAACTAAGGGGCAGGGAGGAAGCTTCTCAATAAACATGGAACCCATTCACTACCTCTGCTCCAGTGCGCATTGACTCTTAAGAGCATTCATGAGAGCATTTAGGCACTCTCCCTTTCCCACCCCATTTTTTTCTACAGAGGTATGAGAGCTTAGGAAGACACCAGGAGGTTGTAGAGTTTATTGAAACATGCAGTTTAGACAGGTTTGCATTGCATTCTAATCATTAATGTGTGGGTTGCGCTGGTATCAACCCACTTTCATATGCTCTGTTTTGTGTGTACCTGATATCATCTTGTTAATAAAATACTTTTGGGCAGAAAAATTCCCGTCAATTGGAGGCGCCGTAACTTCCTACGAATTCTCCGCTCGCGTACACAAGGCTCATTGGCTGAGTGGGAGCGTGACGTCACCCGCCCCTACTGGACATCGGCGAAAAAAAGATTTATAGCTCATCTGATTCCTCAAGTTTAAATAAATATTCTGATAATGCACCGCTTAATAATAGCTGAAGTCCACCTTGTTACGACAAAACAGAGCGCTTCTCCGCCCATTGAATGCACCCCCGAATTACTGCGTTTAATATTTTTTTGCGTTATGCTTGGCAAGAATGTGACCCACTGGGGTTAGCCATAGTCGCGTTGTGTATTTTTTGTGGTTGCATAGCTTGAGCAGCACAATATATAGTTCATGTCTTCAGGGATCAGACGGAAGAGTTTCCACGGCAAATTCATCCTGTTGCAACACTGATACTCTCTGTGTTCAACGCAGAGCCAGATGTGTTGACACAACAGCAAGTGAACTCATGAATATGTGTGTCTCGGTCTGTAGCTGATTGAAGAAGTTTTTCTTCCTAGGCAGTGTGCTTATGACTAACTACAATTGGGCAGCGGAGGTCTCACTCAGAATCAGTCGAGCAGCAGTATATTTTCATCAACTGCGTAATGATATATGGAAGCTACCTAGCCTTCCGCTCTATATGAAGCTCCGGGTCTTCTCGGCCATAGTTATGCCCTCCCTTCTCTATGCCTGAGAAATGTGGAACCATTTTAAGGAATATCCGCTCCAGTTTGAAACAGTCAGGCTGACCTGCCTACGATCCATCCTGGGGTTAATCAGACTGGATTGTGTGATGAGCTCACATATCCTTGAAAGATCTGGACACAGTCCGATTGGTGAACCCCTCCAGCAGGCAAGGCTGTGTGGCTGGGTCGTGTAGCCTGCATGCCTAGCCACTGCATGCCTAGCCACTGCATGCCTAGCCACTGCATGCTTAGCCACTGCATGCCTAGCCACTGCATGCCCAAACAGCCTCTGTTTGACTGGAGAGAGGAGGCAAACCGGGCATGGCATAGGCTAGAGAAGAGATGGACTGATGCCGTACGGAAATATGTAGAGCTGATTGGAATGGTGGTTATTGTTATCCGCGTGTCTGTGCCTCTGTGGGTGAGGTTGAGAGGAAGAGACGAGTCAGTGTGGCTGGGTAAACGTGGGCGATGCTGGGGATTCCAGCTCGCCATGTCCTGGTTGATCCTCCCAGAAATTTGGTATCCTTCGAGTACAATGGATCGATGCACTGCCCTGTGCTCCACACCACGTAGCCCCTCAGCCTATAACGTATTGGAGATGGTGGTTGCCCGCATCAGTACTCTCCAGGCCGAACCCTCTGCTTAGCTTCCGACAACTGTTGAGATCAGGCACATTCCAGGTGATTTATTAATTTAAAGTAAGTAATGTCACTGTATTCATTCGCATTGCATTGTCTAATGCGTGCATGACAGTAAGCGACGTTTCTCCGTGGTTGCTGCAGGCCAATCAAAAGAATCAACTCCAAAATCCGTCGGCCAAGGAGCTGGTTCACTCAATATTCACCAGCCTAGATAAGGTACGGTGATATTGTCCTTTGTCGCGGTGAGTCCCATCCATCCTCTGTCACTACGCATCATTCAAAGTAGGAGGATTGTCCGATTGATTGGCAACTCAAACAATTTTCCAGCCCACACTAAGGGATATGCGTTACGGGTGTTGTATTTAAAATGAATGTGCCAAAGGCAAGTTTGCGACACACCAACGTGTAACGCGAGCAATAAAGTGTAGTTGCCGTATGTTTCTATTTTACCGATGGAAGTGAGGACTGAATGTGTTTATGTCCAAACAAATTGCGTTTATGAAAACATTTCTGGGGAGGTTAATTTTATATTCCTGACGCCTTTCCACACCCTACCGTCATCACGCACATTTTTCCCCCGATGGCATAGATGTTTCCCTTGATATTATAGTTAAACCTCGTTCTGACAAGTATCGCAAACCCTCATCCACTTTACACCCTTCCCGGCAGTTGGAGACGCCTGCTTCGAACACGCACGGACGTTTAAAGTTTTCTACTTTTACGCACTGCTGGATAATGACCTCATGCCATTGCCATATTTCATGGTTTTTGCGATGGAATACTTCTGCTGCCTTCTGCGAGCTGATCTCATTGCTTCATGTCCCCGATGACCTTAACGCCTGCTCTTAACAAGTGCTCGTCGTTTGTATTTCAGTTCATGACAATGTTTCAACAAACACTCAATTTGGCATCCATCAATCAATACATACATAAGTTACATGGAATTTGCCGTCATGCATCCTGGACTACGCTTTTGGCTGAAAAATGTACAGCTTTGCATTACTCATAATGAAAACTAAACTAAACTTTTTATTTTACCAGGTAAGGCCCACTGAGCTATATAACAGCTCTTTTTAAGAAGCGACCTGTCCACAAATGATAGCTCAACGAAGTGGCTTATCATGTGGAAATTTATAGCAAACAATAATTTAAACGCAAGTTTCTAAATGTGGAGGGGAAAAATCAGAGGACCCAGAGAAAAATCCACACGACCACGGGGAAAGAGACACGCATACTCCAAATATACAGGCATGAGGGTCGGGATCGAACCCACGCCCTCCTGTATACCAGGCGAGGTAGTTAACATTGAAATGAGATTGGTTAGAATAGCAATATGGAGTGTACGTGGGTGCCAGGGCTTAATTACATTTATAACTGCATCGGGAACATGTGGTGCTGATTTCTGTTTGTCCCTTGCCAAAAGCTACCTCCCACCCCACTTCAACACTGCATCTCGTGGCCAACTAAACATGTACATGATATCATCTTTGAAAACCATGTTACATACATCCCGCAACGTGTCATCTTCCTTGAGCTGCATATTCGGTGCACATTGTCACCCCGCAGCTCGTGAAGCAAACGGGAGGTCCAGAGTTAGCGAGCAGCGTCATCAGCCCACTGCTCACTCAGGAGACGAGAGATCTGCTGGAGGATCACGTGACCGAGGCAGAACGATTGCTCTGGGTGTCCCTTGGCAATGCCTGGAAAGCGTCAAGGTAATTTTATCCAAGACAGAGCACAAACCATAACATTACACGAGCTTAAACACTCATTAAAGTTGCAACACAACGCGTTTTGCCATTTCAGATGAATTTAATGCGGCATGGGCTTTCGCGACCGATGTTACGATTTGCAATAGGTTTTCGGGTCAGATCGCGAGAGTGCAATGCGTGCCGTCAACCCAGTTGTACAGGGAGGAACAATGTTCCACACTGCCCACCAGGGATTATTTAGCTGTCTGTCTGTCTGACTGTCTGTCTGTCGTGCATAAATAAATATATAATACACACAGCTCTTTGATTGGTGGAGACCTTACAAACAGCTCTTTGATTGGTGGAGACCTACTGCCGGGTACGGAGAGGGGAGGTGCCTAAGGGAGGAGGGTCAGGGGAGGGGCCTAAGGAAGGGGGAAGTCAGGAGAGGGGCCTGAGGGGGGGGGGTGCAGGGGAGGGGCCTGAGGGGGGGTCAGCGGAGGGGCCTGAGGGAGGGGGGGGTCAGGGGAGGGGCCTAAGGATATGGGGGGGGGGTGCTCAGGGGAGGGGCCTAACAGAAGGGGGGGTCAGGGGAGGGGCCTAAGGGAAGGGGGGTCAGGGGAGGGGCCTGAGGATATGGGGGGGGGGTCAGGGGAGGGGCCTAAGGGAAAGGGGGTCAGGGGAGGGGCCTAAGGGGGGAGGGGCCTAAGGGAGGGGGGGGGCGATAGTTAAGGGGGCTGTCTGCCTGGCTACCTAAAGTCAAGTTATCTTTTATACATACAGGTAGGAACAACAGGTTCCACACTGCCCACCAGGGATTATTTGTCTGTCTGTCGTGCACGAATGCGCTGTCCAACCAAGTTCCTACCTGCCCACTCCGAAGGAACGTGTTTAAACGTTCTGGTTCGCTGTGCGACTTTGACTAGCGGTGCTGCTGAAGCGGTGCTAAGTTGACACGTTGGTTCATCGCGCGACGGCTTTGTTGGTCGGCTCTGTCGGGTGGAGGAGAGTTCATGACACACGTTTTGCTTGCGCGATCTGAACCAAAATATAAATTACGAATCGCCGCGTCAAATAATTCGCGTTGGTGAGTTAAAAAATATATAATACACTCCAGGTGACGACCTCGACCTTATTTTGGCCCCTCCCACCCCTCTGATGCGGCCTCCTGAGCCCGACCCGGCACAGCGAGGCCTGCGTCTGTTGTTGGGTTGACAATGTCGAGAATGCTTTGCATTGGTAAATGACTGAACATCCTCGATGAAACTACAAATGTGTTTAAAGTTGATAGTAACTCTACGGTATTTTGTGCATGTAAATTCAAATACGTTAAGCTCGGTGTTGCTCTATGCACGTTGAACTTCTTTTGCGCCAACCGTACTAACCGGAGGTGTGGGGGAAGGACCACAAAATAAAGTCTAAGAGCAGTTCTTCGAGAAATGAGTGATCAATCTAGATAATTTAAAAGTGCATAGCTCCAGTGGCTTCCGAACATAGGAAGGGAGAGCGTTCCAGACGGCCCCAAACGTTCCAGACGGTGGGATTTGCGTGCCTGGGTGTTTGCTGCCTGAAGTCGAGGTCACGCTGGTGTATTTATGGCAGGGAGGAGTGGCCACAGGATCAGGCGGTGCAAGAGTACACTCCGAAGTTCAAAAACGGCTGGGAACCTCCAGCTTTGCTCGCCTATGAGGATGATTACAACGAGCTGTGCAGCCCTTCAGATTCGGTCAGTGTGGTTGAGCAGAAGAGGCAACAGCAGAAGCAGCGGACATCCACAAAGGTTTGACGGCGATATCATTAAACGTTCCCTCGGTTTACCCTCTGACTCCAGTTGCACAAATGGATATTTTTTTTGCAAATAAACAGATCGTAAGCAGACGTGAGCCGTCGCTTCGCGATACCCCTCCATGACCACCTCCAACATCGCCCCCCCCCACGGGTGTCCCCACCCCTACTCGCGCACCCCCCTCCATCCCGTACCTCTCCTCCCTCCCGCACGACCCCCCCTCCCACCCCTCTCATTCCCGCACCCTTTCCTGAATTGAATCCACGCCGTTTATTTGTTAAAAGTTTAGTGTACATCTCTGCCATTAATATGCAGGAGAGATGACATAGCGATGGGTATAATATATTTTTGCGCAGGGTATATCAACTGTACAATGGAAAATAAGTAATAGGTAAAATGTTTAAATATTAGAGGAAGCGCAATTCTGAAATAAATGTATCATGTTTTTTTTTAACTCAACACCCTCATCAACAACACTGCTTTAGAAGAAATATACATCTATAACTTCCGACGTTTCGGATACTGGGGCCCCTTGTGCACCACTGACCAATGCTGCATTGCCACATCATTGATCAAATACGGAAAACAATGTACACGCATCGAATTTTCCAAATATTTTTTTACCAAATAATAATTTGTTTCAAAAGTCACCAGTGGGTATGGTAAAACGTCGCCATGACGACCACGGCAGCCCGGTGTGGCCGGGTTGTAGTCGGTGAGTCCAGCCAGCGGAATCATTTGGGGAGTTCTGCATTGGCTCTTGCTTGTTACGGCAAGTGCAGTTGGTTCACTGACGCATTAGATCAGACTCAAAATCAGATTCTTTATTTTTACTGGAGGAATCCAATGAGCTATGATGCTCTTTTCACAGATGTCCAGTATGGAAACGGGGTGAGCATTTTACAACAACAAACACGATAGGAGTGCAAACTATAGGAAATGTAAACAAATCATTTTATTAAATATATACAAATAAAACTATTTTTTTTATGATCTTACCAGGTAAGGCCCACTGAGCCATTAGTTTATTTTTCAGAAGCGACCTGGCCACATATGAGAGCTCAGCGAAGTGGCTTATCGTCATGTGGAAATCCACAGCAGCGGAAATAATCTAACAAACAAGCCGTGCTGCCGTTCCAGTGAATGAGTCATCCCATAGCTGTACTTTATACACCGTGTGCCATTACGTTTTGCACAGAGTGCTTTGTATTCAGCCGGTCAAAGTGCATTATTTCTAACCTCAGCTGTTGTTGGATTTTAGGAATCGCCGGAAGACGAAATATCGCTGGACAGCAACACGTGAGAGCAACATATACACGGATAACTGCGTTGTGATTTTTGTATCATTCATACATAATAAAGTTTTTTTTGGGTTAGATCGCATAAATAGAAAAATGTGTCATTGAACCCACCACCACCCGACACAGTCAATTAGTAAGGTTTGTCACATAAACAAAACGTGCCAATTGGTTACAAGTTCAGCACACCAGTGCGATGGAGAGTAAGCCCACTACAACATTTACAAATGAGTAAGATGTACTCGGTGTGTTGGAGAGGAAAATATGTTACAGTTTACATTTATTGCCTGTACAATTGTGGAAATGAAATGTATGGTAACTCTTGACTTAAAGCTTTCGCAACTGCAGGAATTCATATTCTTTGGGTCTTTCGGTAAAGCCATGTAGATAGAAAAATTATAAAACATATCACGACGTTTCGATCGCAACACAAGCAATCGTCATCATGCAAGAGAGCTAAAAGGTTGAATTTCGCAGTCACCCCTAAATACATCCCAGTTGATGATACCATTTCCCAGGTCGATGGAGCCCTTAAGGGTTTGGGACACATTCCTGCAGACGTGGCAAGATCAGAAATTGCTGCAATCCTCAAAAACGCTAAGACACCTATTAGCAACATCAGTAAAGATGAGCGCTTTGAGCTTTCTCAACTAAAAAAGAGACATGACATAGTCATCCTCTCAGCCGACAAGGGCAATGCTACTGTCATCATGGACAAAACCACATACAACAAAATACTTCAGGACCTACTTAATGATGGGAGCTATACCAAAATCAATAGAGATCCCACCAACGGCCAGGTTACGAAAACCAACAATATCATCACTGATTCGACATCTTTAATCGAACCAACCAAGCGGCTTTACTTAAAACTCTCTGCTATGAGACCACCCAGATTTTATGGCTTACCAAAAATCCAAACAAGGTACACCACTTCGGCCGAACGTCTCCACCAACGACTCACCCAACTACAAACTGGCCCGATTTCAGTCTGAGACCTTACAACCATTTACTGGTAAGACCACCTCAGCTGGACTTAACTCAGCTCACTTGGTCTCATTAATTAAGGACATCTCACTATCTCCAGGCGATTTGCTTGTCAGTTTCGATGGAGTATCTTTGTTTACCAAAATTTCTGTTCCTGACACCATTTGGTCCGGCCCTGGTTAGACACTGCCTCACCAACACTTACTTCACCTGGAATGGAACATTATACAAACGAGTTGGAGGTACCCCAATGGATTCTCCCTTATCTCCAGTTGCAGCCAATGTTGTCACGGAAAATTTTGAGACAGATCCCATCCAGGCATCCACCCTACGTCCTACCTTTTGGAAGAGGTACATAGATGACACGTTCGTCATCTGGCCACATGGACTACCAGATCTGGACCAATTCTTCAACCACATAAATTCCATACACCCAGCCATCAAATTCACCATGGAGGTGGAAAATGATGGCAAGTTACCATTCTTGGATGTTTTAATCAAAAAGAGACCAGATGGCTCAATGGGACACTTTGTCTACAGGAAAGCCACCCATATGGATGCCTACATAAAACCTGACTCCTACCACCATCTGTCCCAGAAGAATTCCCTCATCAAAACTCTAGACCATAGAGCTCTATGTATTTTTGACCATCACCACCTAGCCAGTGAACTGGAACACATACAGCAAGCCCTCAAGATTAATGGATATTCAGACTACACAATCCGTAAAGCTATCACCCCAACCGTTGGGAAAGAACCATCTGAGTAACCAATCAAAACCATCACCTTGCCATACACAGCGGGGGTCACCAAAAAGATTTCCAAAATCATGAGCAAACACAAGATCCAGGTTCGATTTAACACAATACATGAAATTCATGATCTGATCCCATCTGTGAAGGATGTGATCTCTGGCATGCAATACCCCGGCGTCTACAAACTAAGCTGTGTCTGCAGCAGTAGTTGCATTGGGGAAACTAAGCGACATGTCTCGGACCGTGTTCGTGAACATAAGGCAGATTTGAAACAGGGTAGGATGAATACATCAGCCATGGCTGATCGTTGTTTTAACGCTGTGGGCTCACACGAAATAGATTTTTACAAGACGAAGGTACTCTGCAAACCCACTGGCTATCAGCAAAGATTCGTTCATGAAGCCATCCAGATATATACACAATTTCAACCGAGAAGATGGGTACAAACTGTGCAATCATTGGAAGGACGTTATTAACCAGGTTAAGTCATAACTGGCTGTGATGTTTAGTAGTTATTTTCGACTCTCTGGTGTTACATTAACAGGTTAAATGTCTTTACATTAACAGATTAAATGTCTCACTAACACAGCCACCGTTGCTCGTTTTCCTTGATGTGGCGGTGGCTCTACGATCTTACATTGACATGCTAATCTCTCACAATACAATAGCCGCCTCCGCAGCTTCATTGTCGTGAAGGTAGCTCAGCTCTCCGATCTTACATTTACATGCAAATTTATTCACTAGCCCCGCCCACTTCGCTTATAACTCTTGGGCTCCACCCAACTCAAACCTTTATAACATCCTGCCTCAGCAGCTCTCTCGCTATTTTTTCACCTGATGACGATTGCTTGTGTTGCGATCGAAACGTAATATTTTTTAAAATAATTTTTCTATCTACGTTGCTTTACCAAAAGACCCAAAGAACATGTATGGTAACTGTTTCGCCATGCATTCATGATATGGTCAATGGCTCTGAAAGCTGGAACTCAGTGAGGGGGAGAGAGCCTGTCTGGTCATGCGGATGTCCATGGTACAGCAACTGTGAAACTAATTTGCTTTAATTACGCTTACACATCACGCATTTAATATCTCACTGGGTGAAATTTACTAACACTTAATAGCGTAATTACAGTTAACAAAATAATTACAATTTTACATTTACAATTAATAACATGCCCACCATCTGCTGTGCATGGTTTTATCTGAGCCCAAATCACCATGGATGGCTGAGGTGTCACTAAGGAGAATAAGTTAATGAAATGTTATTCGTAATATATTTTTAGCAATGAAAGTCTTTGTACTAAGTCATTAACAACTCTATCTACAGCAGTTTATTTGCTATAATTAAATATAATGGATAATTGGATGTAAAAAAAAACATGAGAGCATTAGTCCACCATGTGGTCTGGTGATAATAACCTTGCACGCTCCTTTTTAATGAATATATTTTTTTATCAAATACAATTAAAACATAGACATTTTGTTTATTTCGTTTGTAATGGTATCTCTCTTCATGTGGATTAGCTGCAGAACATTGTCTTTCAACGAGAGCTTTATTAGCAGGTGAAAAGCATTCGTCGTTGGAGTTTTTTTAATGTAATATTTAACATTTTATTTGTAGCCTCTCTGGCAAAAACAACCCCGCGTCCAGCTTTGGAGAGGTTTTACTGTATCTTAAATAAATTCATACTCAATCACTGTTAAGTGCAGTGCAATTACCCACACCTCATGGTTGGCGACTTACGGTGCGAAAGAAGTTCAACATACATTCCTTAAAATAGAGTTGTACGGGGGAGAGCTGTTTTCCTTGGGTTAACACACAGATGATGTATTGGGTGAATGCAAGCCTTGAGATTTGGCCACCTACTGGAAGCGAACTGGAGTGACTAATGACTCTGGAGCTAGTGTAAAAAATAGTGTCCTCTTTTGCAGATGCGACGATGAAGTCAAGGTACTCGCCATTGCATTAAACCGATTTGCTGCAAGAAACAAAACTGAGCTGTCCATCCAGAAAGACGACATTGTTTTGGTGAGCCTCTCACTCGACGGACACCTCGTGTTGTATCGCCCTGAGATCGCACTGCGAGATGCGATTATCTCTTTTACGAGGGACATTTGCGAGCATTGGAACACCACTGATAACAGAGTACATTTTTAAACAGCATATATGTTGTGTAGAATACATATGCTGAAAATATACGTTTGTAAAATGAGACCAGTATGTAAAGTAGTTTGCAAATTGAGATCACCTCCTTCTAATAGTTCCAATACAACTGAGCAAATCTGTTGTTTAGGTTGGACCGTACCAAATAGATAAAAATCCAGGTAATTAAAATAATTAATATAGGTTAAGCAATTTCAATTACACTGCATGCAACGTTGTTCATCAACAACCCACGCTGAAGAGTACACCACGTATTGTGGCTGTGCCGGGGGCTTATTGCGTCCTCCACAGGGAACTTCTGTGTACCATTTGCCTCCAGCTCGACGCCTCACTGCCCAGGACTTGACGCATTACACCCAGATCTTCATGGAAACATGTAGAGTAACGCCATCGCCGGCATAGCTGAGAGATATTTCTCAACGAGCGAGGCATTCTGATGTGCCTTGTGGTGGCTAGAACATGCCGTACGCGAATTGCATATTAAAACACGTTCCTTCGGAGTGGGCAGGTAGGAACTTGGTTGGACAGCGCATTCGTGCACGACAGCCAGACAAATAATCCCTGGTGGGCAGTGTGGAAGCTGTTACTACCTATATAAGTGTAGTGTATAGTGTAGTGTGTAGGTTAAACGTTGAGTTTTATAAGGGCACCACGGAGTGATCCATCCAGCCCCACCCTCCCCACCCAGCCCCACCGTCCCCACCCAACCCCACCCTCTCCACCCAGCCCCACCATCACCACCCTCACCCTCCCCACCCAGCCCCACCCTCACCCTCCCCACCCAGCCCCACCCTCACCCTCCCCACCCAGCCCCAGCCTCATCCTCCCCACCCAACTCCACCCTCACCCTCCCAGCCCCACCCAGCCCCATCCTCCCCACCCTCCCCACCAACCCCACCCTCCCCACCCAGCCCCACCCTCACCACCCAGCCCCACCCTCACCCTCCCCACCCAGCTCCACCTCACCCTCCCCACCCAGCCCCACCTTCACTCTCCCCACCCAGCCCCACCCTCACCTTCCCCACCCAGCCCCACCCTCACCCACCCCACCCAGCTCCACCCTCACCCTCCCTACCCAGCCCAACCCTCCCCACCCAGCCCCACCCTCCCCACCCAGTCCCTCTCCACCTAGCCCCTCTCCACCCAGCCCCACCCCTCCCACCTCCAACTGAAACACCTTAAGGCTGGGAATGTTGAAAGAAACACGAGGCAAAAAGATCCGCTTTTTTCTTTTCAAGGCTTCCATTTTATGAATGGAGCCACCCTCCCCCAGTTCCATTTTGTGAATGAAACATCGCCCGCCTCCTCATTGGCCTGAGTCGCGGCGGTGCCACCCCCCCCCCACCACTAACCCCCCCCCACCACTAACCCCCCCCCCCACCAATGGGAGGGCTCTGGTAGGGCGGGGCCATGCACGACAGACAGACAGACAAATAATCCCTGGTGGGCAGTGTGGAACTGTTGTTCCTACCTGTATAATAATGTATTTTATTTGTTATACTATATATTAAAACACCTGGCAATTTTATAGAATAATGCAAGGCTTGATATTATATTAAATATGTATCCGTTCTTATGTATATTTAACTTACAGGTACACGATCACAGCAAGAAATGGTGGAAAGTAACCAAACAAGATGGAAAAAAAGGCTTTGTGCCTCACAACATCATGGAAATCATAGAGAGCCCAGACGAAATGCAAGAAGCATTATTTGCTTAAACGGAATCACACAGTGATAAAACTGGAGTTTCCCACTTTAGTCATATCTCCTCTGAAATCCATGCAGCGAACGATTGTCTTTCAACATAGCAAATCACAAAATAATAACTACTTACCCTGAACGTTAACAACGAAGAACCATCGATCATCATGATCTCCAAACCTATAAGGGAAAAAACCCCGACGAATCTTCATTTTCGAGGCAAAACATGTTATAGCTTAGAAGGATGCACAAAACAAAGAATGAACATGTTCTATTTCAAAGTCAGCCCACAGCACAGACAACATCTGCTTAATGACTGTGCACCACGCCAGAAATCTGTGGCATTCTGAGGACTTTTGGTGATGGGGTTCAAACAAAAAAAATATCCCCTCACCGTTCAGGCAGTGTGTCATTGTAGGGTCATGGAAGCCGTTCAGGCTTTACTCATGCACCAGTGCAGGACTGGTTGGATTTTTACTTGTAAAAAGTTATTGTCTGACCCACAGGTTTTGTTGTTGAGGGACTATCCACACTCTTGCATTGGACTTTATTTCTGTCGGTCCTAATTTTCAACTCCGCGGTAGCCTATGCCATACATTTCCTCGACTATAATTTGTTTTAAATGGATACATATTTTACATGTTATATCTATGTGACCTTTTTGCCAGTATCCAAAATGATGAAATATAAGAATAGGTTTTTCCCATATATGTCTTTGGTGTAGGCCAACCAGTTTCAAAGACAATGCATACATTATCGGAGCATGTTTAATTGCATGTTTTGCCACAAGTATGTGTGGTTAATGTACACTTGATACCTTGCAAAAGTCATCTGTTTGGTGTTTGAACATCTTAGCAACTGTTTTATTGCCAGAAAGGGTAAAGCCTATTGTTATTTTACATGTTGTTCAAACACAATACACATCACTGTGTCAACTCCAAATCTGCAGATATGGTGCAATCACATAGTGCATCACTGCAGTTAAATGGAGCAGTTATTCATTTGGTGTGATACGATTTCTCATCCTTGTCACCATTTGGTGGAAAGAGCAACGGCAGGCAGTGTAGTCCCTCATCATAGTATCCCATGTTTACATCCACATTACGGTACTTGGCATATGGAGCAGGATTTATTTCCTTTAATTCTGCTATTCTAAATAATTTTACTCCTAACTGGAATAATACCATGGTAATGGTTAGCAACACTGGACTTGCAATCCAGGGGTCGTGGGGTTCAATTCCATCTGCCGGTATGGAAGTTGAAACAATGGAAATGTTTCTTAAACCCCCCTGCTTATGTCCAACCAGCGGTGACCTGACCATCCCGTCGATGGTCAGGTCACGTGCGGTGGAATAAAGTCTGCTTACTCCCACCTCTTCCGAGACGTCTGTTCACCGTGGAAGAGGAGGCCCAAATATTCACGAGGTAGGGCCCTTTCGTACTCCCTCGAGTCAAGGTCCTTCTGCCAGCAGTGGCATGAGCAAGTAATTGCAGGGCTGCATCTTGACCTTTATTTAAATTCTAACTACAGTAATGGAAGTGTCAAGTACAGAGAATGTGCCGTCTTTGGTCAGCTGAATGCAGCAGCTGGAGGATATTTACGTGACGTGCTGTGAAGCTGCTGCACAAACAGAGGGTACATTTCTCGTGGTTTGTATTGTGAAAATAAGAGTCAACTTTTTAAAATATATATTTCATGCACACGTGCACCAAAATGAAATTGCACTGAATGCAATTATAATATTAATACTATTCTGTGGGTATTTCGGTAAAGCAACGTAGATAGAAAAATAATAAACAATATCACAACTTTTCGATCACAACACAAGCATTCAGGCGATTGCTTGTGTTGTGATCGAAACGTCGTGATTTTTTCTTATCTACGTGGCTTAACCGAAAGACCCATCTAATATGTATTCCTGCAGTCACGAATCCTTTAAGTCAATATTAATAATGATGAAAAAATATTAAAAGTGATTTCCTGCTCAAGAGAGCATTGAGGCGGTGATCATCGCCTGTTTACAGCCATGAGCCAGTGGTTAAAATTCCACATTCCTATGATGGGGGCAAGTCTATTCATATGACAGCCGCTGCTGGCTTCTCCCCATAGCGGTACTCATTATATTGACCCTAAAGGGATGATGGGGCTGAGTCAACCCCCGATCAGGATTTCAACTCACAACCTTCTGATTGTGGGTTACTCACTCTACCAGATCAATATAAATTAAATATCCAAAATACCAACCAAACACGAACACCCCGACACCAAAACATGATCAGTCTGCATCAGCAGGCTAACCTGTGTGTCCAATGGAAAAATCTTACACCGGTAGTACTCAATTGTGCTCAGTCAGGTAAACACACACACAATGCTTAATGCACCCTGCGTTAATGTATACATTTATGAAAATAAGATATCAGTTCTCCCGCCGGTTCCCGACATTAGCTCCCACTCGCTGTGTGCAGGGCCGGATTCAGATTTTGTAGGCCCCTGGGCGACAGGTACTGTGAGGCCCCCAGTAATATTTTCAAAAGGAAAACAAAGTTAAAGAAAAAATACATTTATTTTTACAAGGTCAACAACAAATAAAATTCTGCATTCACAAATGAAAATATATTTTCACTTCATCTCTGGAGGTCCTCCAGCTGGCAGAGGCCGCTGGGTTGCAGCCCCTAAAGCCCCCACGCCTTGATCCGGCTCTGGCTGTGTGGGTCTCCGGCCGGTCCCCAACTTCAGCTCCCACTCGCTGTGTGGGTCTCCGGCCGGTCCCCGACCTGAGCTCCCACTCGCTGTGTGGGTCTCCGGCCGGTCCCCGACCTGAGCTCCCACTCGCTGTGTGGGTCTCCGGCCGGTCCCCGACCTGAGCTCCCACTCGCTGTGTGGGTCTCCGGCCGGTCCCCGACCTGAGCTCCCACTCGCTGTGTGGGTCTCCGGCCGGTCCCCGACCTGAGCTCCCACTCGCTGTGTGGGTCTCCGGCCGGTCCCCGACCTGAGCTCCCACTCGCTGTGAGGGTCTCCGGCCAGTCCCCGACCTGAGCTCCCACTCGCTGTGAGGGTCTCCGGCCGGTTCCTGACCCAACCCAGGGCTCTACCACGGGTAAAGCGTGCGCGCCGATGTTTCGTGACTGCCCTCGTTTAAAGCAGTCATCGTGGTGGCGAGAAGTTTTCTCCCTCGCCTGGTACGCAGGAGGGCCTTGGGTTCGATCCCTGAGCCTGATGATGATGCCTGTTGTATATTTGGAGTCTGCATGTTTTCCACGGAGTGGTCGTGTGGATTGTCCCTCTGATGCTGCCCTCCACGTTTGCAAAACCTGCACGAAGATTATTTGGCCGCTGCTGTAAATTCTGACGTGTGGCACAAGCCACTGTGATGAGCGATCATGCGTGGACACGTCGCCTCGGACAAAGAGCTCGTAACTCAGTGGGCTTCACCTGGTGAAATAAAATAGGTGAGCCGTATTATGGATTATTATAATGCCTATCATAAACCTTGGCAATGCAAAAGCAGTTATTTCTCCATCATAATTTGTGCAAATTGTGTTAATAAACGATATGCTATATAGTACAATATTGCATTTAAAAAAATATTCGCTGGTGTCAGGGCAGGGAGTGGCGGAACAACACAATGGAACGAGCTGACTGACGGTCGATGTCAGGACACTTCATTTGCACACGAGGAATTCCTCAGGTGGCGAGGCGGGGCCTGCTATCCCACTCGTCACAGTCCAGGCGATGTCCGAGCCACCGTGGTCAATGTTGGAGCTCATGTCCCACTGAGCGGTAGCCATTCTCGAGACTCTCTGTGTAAAGGGCACCACGGTGGCGAAATGTTAACTACCTCGACTGGTATACCGGAGGTTGTGGGTTCGATCACGACTGTGACGCCTGCTGTATATTTAGAGTTTACATGTAGTCGTGTGGATTTTTCTCTGGGTTCTTCGGGTTTTCTCTCCACATTTATAAGCATGCGTTTAGAGTATTTGGCTGCTATTAGTTTCTACGTGAACAGCCACTTCGTTCAGCTATCATTTGTGATCGGTCGCTTCTGAAAACGAGCTATAGAGAGCTCAGTGTGCCTTACCTGGTAAAAAAAAATATATTATCCCATTTTTTGTGATAATGCGTTGGCATTGGTACACAAACGATACAAACGCAACACATTTGTGAATAACACTGCCCTAAAAGGGAAAACAAAATATAATAGGTGACATTTGGGGATATGGCCGAAAGGCTAATAGCCAAAACATCACCCATGTTAGAGCGGTATTATTGAAGAATATGTAGAATTATCCAAAGCTCTATTGAAGGTACCATTCAGCTAATGGGAGGCTCAGCTGCCTTCAGCGACTGCACTACACTAGCGGTGTCATAGCGTGCGCAAGTCGGGAGCCTCCTCCTCACAACTATCAATGACTCCAAACTCATGCTGTCCATTTCTTTCAATGAGTACGGGTGGGGGGGGGAGTTTACATTAGCCATGAAGACCAACACATTTTAGGTCTAACAAACACACACGCGCCAATGTGGATGGAGTGTACATAATCTCTCGGCTTCGTCCAGACCACCAGCTTAAGAAGAAGTGAACGTGTTGACTTTATTTCATTTAGACCACGAGCCGACATGAAGCTGAGGAAATGTGGCCGTCCTAACAGGCAGCGGTGGAGACAGGCACAGCTGTTAGATCGGTTGAGTCCTCAGGATTAATCATTCGAACATAGTCATCAGTTTTCCGCTGCTACATGCCTCTGGGAGCCCAACATATGGAGATGACTGTATGACCGCTCCGTGGAACCATTACCACTTGCCTAAATACGACAATAACTAAACCTGTAATGGACAACAAATCACATCACAGGAAAACAAACAGAGTTAACAGCACACAATGATGTATGTACGTTGAGCTTCTTTCGCGATGTGCTTGGAATATACAAATAAGACCCTTCAGTACATGATTAATCAATATTCTCTGCTGTCACATTTTCTCAACTCTTTGATTCGGTGGTGTAAGTCACAATGGACAGTCTGGATGAGGCTGAGAGGTTTGTGCATGCAGTGTACATCTTTCTGTGTTGTTACATCTGTAGTGACATTGCGGATTTCACTGTGGTGCCGGCCCTAGCGAGGCAGGGCGTGCGATGTATTGCCATCGCGGACACCCCTTACATGAGGGTGTAGTGCCAGCCCTAGAGGGGCTCGGTGAGCACTGACGGAGAGCGCTGAGTGGCACCACGCTCGGTGTGCAGTGCTGTCCCCTATAGGAGGGGGTGTGAGGGTGCCGGCCATGACTGGGGTTACTAAGGGCCATGGCACTCTAGTTGACCCTGGAAGGCACGTGACGAGTAAGATCTACACAGGGGCCCCAAGTGGGGGCTAGGGGTGGTCACGTGTCGGGGCGAGATCCTGCTAGAGGGTTCGAGAAGGTGGTCGTGGCCAAGAGCGGAGCCAGCCACGACCAGTGATGATATAAACCGGGTCCCCAGAGGGACCGGGGTTCAGCGTTGCTATTGTTATCCTGAAGATGTAAGTTCTACGTCCCAGAAGAGTCACCAACACGTGGACCTGGACCCAAGCCGGGTCCTGTCTGATTAATTAGCCTGGTGGTCCACCACCATAGGGTAAAGGGGCAGTTACCCATTTGTGGTGGTATCAATAAATGTGTTGCCTCCAAAGAGTATGTCTGCGACTCCACTACACATCTGTTATTATTTTTGTCCAGCCTGTAGCCAATTTTTTTGTTGTAATGCATGAGGTTTTCTTATGACTCTGCAGTGAATATTCCATTTCACCCTCCAGAACCCTGTTGTTTTCTCTATTCATTTCGCTTCATATTTGTTGTGGAATTAAAATTTCACATCAGTGAAAGGGTAGTAAACCAAACAAACTCCAAGACAACGCAATAGGCATTCATGTGTTTTTATTATACCCATTACGACATGAATGTGAGACACACACACACACAGGTGGCAGATATAATCTCCCTTGTAAAGTCCAGGCTGTGTGACATTGTCATCAGCAGGAACAGCATGCGTGGCGTTAAGAGAATGAGCAACCCATGCACTCACAAGTCACAACCTCGACAATGATGACACAAAAAGCTACGTCACGCTGCGCTTCACAATGTCCTACAGGTTCACATGATGCTGCACGTGATGCGTCGTGTGTTTTTTTTCCATCAGTCCGATAACTCGTTGCAGTATTTTACAATTCCGTATTCTTTCCGTAGCTTATTCCCTCCGTATCTTCGTGAAGTTGGCTGTTGAGATTATGTGGCAGGAATGCGATTTAGGGTATACATTGGCTGAGTGTTTTAAATCACTGCGGAGTTCAATTTGGATACTGTATTAAAAGCTAAATAACACTTCGTGTAGAACGTCAACCCAGACATATTTTAAGATGATTCCAAATCACTTAAAAAAGTAAAATTCAAAAACACACTTTAAATTATTATCGCCATTTTATATTCGTATTAGAAAAAAAACATGCCCCACCAATGAAACTTAGTAAAAATATTGAGTTTGACGTCCTGCATTTAGGCAATTCTTTCGCTCACTGTGTGGCGGCTGATTTGACTGGGGCACAACCGAATCAAACATGAGAGTGCTTTGGGATATGTCCGTGTATGGGAGTTCATAGGTCAGGTTGCACAACTGTTCACCCGTGAACGTGTTTTGTCTGCGAATGCCTTACATTCTCTGCCGCATGTCCACCGAGTGCAACACACCACGTGATTTACTCTGTAAGTCTGCCAACCCCGGACCTTGCAGTATACCCAGCCACATTTCGCAATGCCATTGTGCACAACGGAGTACGTCAATATCCATCAATAGCTCTGTATCGGGCACATGTTAAATAAATCATACTCGTAAAAACACATTCCAAAATGAAAACTGTAAATCAAATAACGGGACGACTTTACTTGACACCGCTGAGAAAGTGTCTTCGTTCAAAGTTAGAGAACGCATGCCGGTTTGTGTCGTCGCGATTTTATAAAAAAAAACTAAACTGATTTTATTTTTTAAATTACCGGGAATTTGATCAGCGTGGCGCCACACCACGGAGGTGAGGTTTGAATGGACATCTCATGGGCGAGCTGTGTTCAGCGAAAGCACCGACGATTGCTCATGTTCAATGCTTTTGAAAAAAATGCATGACATAATCCTGAAGTTATTCAACGAAAAAATTATTGTTACATTTTTTGTAGCTTCCTTGAAGGCAGCTGTATTTAAAACTCGTTCCTTTACAGATGTTTTTTTTAAATTAGATATGCATAATATTTGGGAAACAGAGTGATTATATCAAATTATTGCAGGACAGAAATACTGTACCATGCGAAGTGAAATAAATTCGGTATATTAATTTGAGAATAATTATCTGCACCAGGGTTCAGGATTCGGGAGCATTACCTATCAACCTTGAATGCATCGACATTATTGATATTGTGTGTGTAATTCTTAAAATGATCACCCAAATATCCATTATGTTATTTTAATAGCAAGACATTTACTTTTTAAATATTAAATATTTAATATATTACATTTAATACTGACTTGCTGTAATTAGGTATATATGTACAATGTGTAGACCATACTATTGTTAATAGCATTACATTGTGATATATGTGTTATATAAATTTACTATTATTCATTATTTAGTTTTTCAACAATGTCTGTAATGTTGAATATGCTTAAGTAAAACATTTACTGTGTAAGGCATTTTAAACGTTTGAGTCTTAAAATGTATCGCTTGCCACAGCGGTGGGCAAAGTGAAACAGGGATTGGTGACAGTGGATTCCTTTAAAATCCAGCCAGCATGGACATCGATCCCTCAAGAAAACTTCTCAAGTAGAAACCATATCTAAAAGAGTTGCACACGTCAACACGAGCTGATGAGCAGTAGAGCTCACAAAACACGTGGGGACGATGTGACGGTAGACTCAAAAGATTCGTTTTGGAGTTGCACGGTACTTGAGTTCACACTTATAAATCTTGACTTAAAGCTTTCGTGACTGCAGGAATTCATATTATTATTAATTATATCTTTCGGTAAAGTCACGTAGATAGGTTATTTGTTTGAACCTATCTACGTGACTTTACCGAAAGACCCAATAATATTCACACTTATAGTTTACATTTATTTCGCAAGTCACCAACTGTTGCTACCGTGCTGATATATTGTCAAGATGTGAGATTGATTGTACATTAGGTGACCGAGCTAAAGCAATTACAGTGGTCCAACGAGAAAGTAACGTCGTGTTGTTACACTTAGCAGCTCATGGAGTTGTTAAACACATTTGTATCTGCAACGTTGTCCTTATACTGTCGTGAAAATCATGACGCAGTCCATCGACTGGGGCCACAATAACAATGGCGGTACGTTGTCACTTCGCTTCGACGAACAGCCAGACTGAGCTTTCCTCAACTCCGCAATATATGCCCCTTCATAGTCTCATATGCTTGAGTAACACTTTCGAGCGGTGTCCATGTAATTGAATAGCAGTGCAAATAGACTTTGGTTACATCTCATGAATTCATAAACATTCATATACACGTGTGTGTGTAGGGCCAGGTTCACGTAATGGTGCGTCTTCTTATCAATCGAATTTCTGGGCAAATTTTTTTTTCTCCATAAACAGGCATCAGGACAAGTCACCAACAACAATGCGGTTTAGGCCATATCGTCAATATTTGTATCTGGTCCACACACATAGAGCAGCTCTGGAAGTGCTTACAAATAAGTCTTTCGTAAAATGTTATGCTGGATAAATGGCCTAGAGTGTGTTTGGAGTAAGATAGTTGAAGCAAAATCTGAAAATGTATTTTCTTCCAAGATTGCATTCTTGTTTCATTGTTGGTTCAATTGACGCTTGATGACTCAAGTAAACAAAATAGGGAACAATTTTTATCCGTAGGCTTTCACAAACCAATTTGGTTCTGTTGGGTTAGATCGTCGTGTAGGCATTGTACATTACTAACTGTAACCTTCCACTACCCCACACAGCCAATCAAATGAGGCTGTCACGTGGGCAAATATAGCAATCGTTTTGATTTATTAGCGAAACTGAATGTTGAAATGTGAGAAAAATGTTGACAAATTTTACATAAAAAAAAAATCTACTCTGCTGATAGCACCACATGAGCATTTAATTTGATTGGCTCTGTTGGGTACGCAGTGTATTATAGTGCAAATTTTACCTACTTACACGATCTGATAAAATAATAATTAAGATTTAAAAGAATGAACACACAATGATAACTATTCAACTCGAGGTGGCTTCACCTTTGACAGGCAAAGCTAGATGCAGCATTATAAGGCAGAGTGAAAAGAAGATGCGGGACAGAACTGGTGCCGCCACTCTCTCCTCCAATCCGAATTACTGTGCTGAGGCTGCCTGGGGCTCTGTTCGTCGCACATTTGGAAGCCGTTTGGATGAACTACGTGAAATTGGGAAACATTTTCGCCAGGATTCACCAATTAGGCCCAAGGTCCTGAAGATAGTCACCAAGGCATAATTACTCACCGTGACGACAGCATTTGGTAATTACTTAAGTGACTTCTCCCGTGACTGCCGTTGTGTATTTGAAAGAAAAACAGTGACTGGGGGAGGAATAATTTAACGGAGTAACGAGGAAGTAAAGTTATCCTTGAGTTGATATGCAGGCAATGGAAAGCCAGCACGAAAGGCCTATGGTATCAAACGCATGTGAATTCATTTAAAATTTAAGTGAACATCCTAATGGCGGTATGAAAAACGAAAATGTTGGTTCTGAATTCCACAAAGGACACAGGGGCACGTGATTAATGTGGAATATACAATAAGAAAAAATGGGTTCCACTACTGGAACGAATGGTAGAAACAGGGAGATATATTTCAGATGAACAAAACATATTTGGAAAGTGGATTCGCGGCAAGGGAAACACCGATTCTGACAAAAATTACCTCAGCCTCGCCTACTCTGCTCGGGCAATCACAGAGGCCTTTGTAAATATATGCAAACTGTTTGTGTAGTCCCACCAGGACGGTATACAGGCAGGCCTGCTCGTATGAATGCTGACATGTTTTGTGAGTTGGTTGTCGATGTTCTAGCACAAGGAGTTCAATTTCACGTAGAAAAGTTTGGTAGCCACAATTTGGACACATCTGTGTAGATTGTAGAAGCTATAGCCATGACAAATTATATTCACAGGCAGATGAACTCTTCTACCTCCACAATGCATCCTCAATCACAATATGCAGACGTTATGGGAAATATGGAGCCACTCACCCAGCTCTTTTGTAACCACCTCTTCGTGCCCATGTTCTGTGCAAGGAACAGAGCCTATACATCCTCGTAAGGAAGGGGTTTAAGCTTCTAGCGCAGACACAATAGCTCAAATCCATCCAATGAGTTGTGTCCGCATATTCATCAGTTTATTATTTATATTTTACCAGCGTTAAATGTATGCATGTGTGGATCAGGGAGCCCGCTCAAAATCTACGACTCAAAAGGAATAAGAAGTAGATCGAGTAGACAATGCTAGTCACCCCCATTGTTGGAGAGTGAATGGATATAACTCCTCAGCACGAAGTTACACGTGTGCTTTCCCACCATGATAATGAGCACAATACACGCGATCGCAGCACTGAATTGGATCGCATGACACCGCCACGGTCTTATTGGCATCGTGGGTATAATCAACTCGATTTGGTGGGTGTCACTAAACACAAAAGATTGGTATCACTCCGTATCACCTGGGTGAACTGGGCAATGATGGACGCAAACTCCACATCGGCATCACTGTTCACTTTCAATGGGAAATTAATAAAAGCATCGTGATCCGCCTTCTGAAAATTATTTTCCAATACGAGGCATTGAGTCATACTACGTGATAAGCAATTTATAATAGCAATGTTGTTATGTCATAGTAGCAAACCAATGTATTGTTAGCGGTATTGCAGATACATTGAAAAGGCTTGCGATAAGCGATTTGTAACGTCAATATTGACACAAGTGACCTTGGTGAGACACGGACCATGGAACCTCTCTTGAGTTTGTCGGCTCTTGGGGGAGCCGTGCACCATGCGTGCCTCACCAGGGCAACAGATTGGACCACATCACCACCACCATCATCATCACCACCACCACCATCATCATCATTACACCACCATCATCAACAACAACAACCGCCATTCACGACTAAGTGGTGGTGAGGTCACCACGGCGCTTGTGCCAGGCTATGTGCACGTTGAGGTTACGTGAAGTGTCGAACGCCCACTGGCATGAGGTCACGGGGCAGACTGAATAACATGACTGGCCAATGCAGCACCTGTGCCCCCTACTGTGCCAACTTTCTGTGCTTTATCCACCCGGCGCTCCGCTCGTTGTTGTGAGCATCGCTCCTCTGCCCTCCATTGTTGTTGCAGGGCGACTGCCTCTAGCTGTCCAGTAGTGTCCTTCATGAGCTTCCTCCACAGAGGCCGATCTTGATACCGCTGGCACCAGTTATCGGCAAGTCCACTCAGCTCCACATCCTCTTGTGCCACATCACTTAATTTCTTCTCTAGCTCGTGCCGCGCCCGTTAAGCCCCCTCTATCCAGCTGAACAAAAGCTGTTTAGGGTGGCTGGGTATGCGGGCTACATGACCCAGCCAACGCAGCCTTGCCTGCCAGAGGAGCTCACCGATGGGACTTTGTCCAGATCTTTCAAGGATTTGTGAGCTCCTCACACAATACAGCCTGGTTATATCCAGGATAGATTGTAGGCGGGTCATATCACATTCGGCAAAGGCTGTCATCATTACCACCACCATCATCATTACCACCACCATTACCACCATCAGCACCATCATCACCATCATCACCACCATCATCATCATTACCACCACCACCATCATAACCACCATGCACCCAGAACTGGTCAAACATATGACTGTGGTGGTCGGACACGAGAAAAATATATTTTTGAGTAATAATAACTAAACTATAAAGTATTTTTTTTCACCAGGCAAGGCCCACTGAGCTATGAAGCTCTTTTTCAGAAGCGATCTGGCCACAAGCGATCTGGCCACAAATGATAGCTCAACGAAGTGGCTTATCATGTGGACATTTATAGCAGCAGCTGAATACTCTAATTGTATGTATCTAAATGTGGAGGGAAAAACTGGAGGATCCGGAGAAAAATCCACGCGACCATGGGGAGAGAGACATGCGAACTCCAAATATACAGCGGGTGTCAGGGTCAGAATCGAACCCACAGCCTCCTGTATACCAGGCGAGGTAGTTAACATCTCGCCACCGTGGCGCCCAAAATAATGTACTGGTAGTGGTAGTATATATATTACAGGGTGGGAGGTTGTTGTTTTGCATGCCATGATTGTGGCAGGTAACAATGGTTTATGCCATGTGTACGCGATTGCTATTATAAATATATTAAGAGCACTTCGGGGATCACTATGCTGGTATTGCAATATCTGCAGTCGTCGGCAGGCCTTGTGCACATGACACCTGGCAGAGACACCTGCAGGTATTGCTGAGGCCCACTGCATAGGTCACCAAAGGCACAATGGAACGTCTGCAACATGGGTCAATTGATGATGTCACAGGCCTTGACCAAGTACACGTCACAGATATACGTCTCGTATTGAAAACACCTGCACCTGTCGCAGTAAACGGATGGAAAACATGGAATTTGTGTAAAGTTAACCCTCGACTGAACCCACGTTGGGGTTGTATGCACCCTTCCTCAGCATGCATCGCCAGGTGATGCTGTACAACTGTTGACAATAGAATGCTGAGGAGTGATGCCTCTGTGACCCTCTTGTTAAGAAAATAAATCAGTTTTCACGTCTAATGGAACTCTTCCTTTGGTGGAGGCTGTTGCGATGATGCTATGCCAGGTGACCTTCACAGAACACCCCCCAACCCACTCCCTCAGTCATACACTTGAGAATCATTGCCTCTTGACAATGGCGGAGCCAGGATTTTCAGGTAGGGGGGGCAACCCCTCCAGCAATGGAAAATGATAGAGATTAGTTGTTAGTAAGTAAGGACTTGTCCCTTGATTTTTATTCGACGCATGTGTGGCGATGGCGCAGCCATCAACTGAGGATCGAATTCGAACCGTGTGTGATCGGCATCACGCTCACTGAAGGTGTTTGCCTTCAGGGAAGTCGTGTACTGTAAATGTAACTGCGCACAATTATGTGAGTCACTTATAACTGCTTTGCCGTTACTTATTGCCAATTATGGACTCAGACTATTGTCCTATCATCTCATAGAGTCCCTGGCACGTAATAATATGCTACATAGTGGCAGTGGGGGTCGCAAAATGCCGATTTATTACTAATAAACCCCAATGATGGGGGAACACGTGCAACCCCACCCCCACCACTGGCTCTGCCAGTGCCTCCTGACACTCTTCTTGATCATATGCTCTGTAGACACACACGCACAGTCCTAACTGATTTCCTGTTGATTCAGTGGAATATTACTACAACCATCTACAACGATATACAACTCTTGTCTAAACTTTACTGGGCTAGTACGGGAGTAACGAGCTACGAGGACACAACAATCACGCCTCTCATCCTCGCGTGGTCGTTCCACCCGCGGCGAATCCATATTTTACATTCTATTAACGGCCGCATGCTTACCGACACAATAACAAATGCGATTACCAAGTCGCAGCAATAATGGTGGCTGTGAGTGCTTCGTAAGGTAACGAGGCTGTTTCCTCTAAGTCCTGGCACGTTGGGGGACCATCTGTGTGGATAGTTTTAGTTTTATGTCTGAGCCAGCTGCTTCTGTGGATTTGGAACTCTAGCTGTGGTCACGATGTACTTTTGGCATCACGGCGAGGAATCCATGCAGCCCGGCCTACTGGCGCGGCCGCTGCCCGGCGGCTCAGAGCTCATGTTCTCGAACACGATGGCGTAGGAGGGCTCCTGCCACTTGCGCTCCCTCCACATGGCCAGCACGCACTTGTGCAAAAACAGATACTGGTCCTAAAAACGACAAAAAAAAGAACGCAACACAAACACGCACGCGTACCGGTCACTCTGGTGTCGGTGATAATCGAGAAGTCAACGACAACTTTGGTTCATGTGTCCCAGGAGACGGCACTGATGGGGCACGCACTGTGCTCCCAATGCAGCGACTACGGTTTGCATTCTCCCTCTGCGCGGGGTTGATTTGGGCTCCGTCTCGGGTGTGCATATAAATAAAGGCGATAGGATGGGGTGTGAACATTTTCTTGTACACTTTGCCAACGTTAACAATTGTGGATTGTTGGAGCTTTCGGCACTGAAGGCCAGTGAAAACTGAAAGACACACCTTTGAGATAGGTCAATAAAATTTCCAGCCATACTGACCACATCTGCCATATCACCTTCGGCAAAGGGTGTCTAAAGGGCCGGGCGTGGTCCGTGACCTCTCGTTTATAATGCTCAACTTGTACCTTCTGTCACTTTTACCTTTTCCTCGACAATACTCCTACTCTCAGTTCCCTGTTATCTAAACAAGTGGTATATTCAACCTTTGTTTGGCTCCTACTCTACCTCCCTTCTTGGATTTTGTTTCAACCGAGCAACCTCCCTTGCCTGACCCAACACGGTTCTGAGAAAACAAGTATAAATAATGAACACATCAATATTTTAACCAATTGTCCATATTCTGAGGTAATCCTAACTAGCTGGTAACTGCAAGCAAATACAAAAAAATCAACGAACGCTCTGCATGCATGACATGATTTGTTCGCGCTCGCTGGTTACTCTTGTAAACCGCATTGTTTATATACGAATTGCCTTTACCCTTTCTAGCAATAAAACAGCTGTGTTAAGATGTTAAAACGCCAAACAGAAACCTTTTGCAAGGAATCGTGTCTGCTATTAACCACATACTTGTGGTGAACATACAAACAAAAACATGTTTGAATGTTCACCACAAGTTCACGGCAAGTATGTGTGGTTAATGCAGACGTGAATCCTTGCAAAAAGTTTGTCTTTGGTGTTTTAACATCTTAACACAGCTGTTTTATTGGCAAAAAGGGTAAAACCAATTCTCATATTTTGATACTGGCAAGAAAGGTCTGATGATGCATTGTTTATAATCAATGAGTTTAGAAAGGTATTTTACATGGTTCTAGGTTACAGATTTTAATGTTATCGTAGTAAATTTATATTGGCAAATGCATACATGACTATTCTCCAACGGCTCTCACGTACAATATAATTTCACACATTTATAAATCACCTCACGTAACCCCTGGGACAATGCCACGTGCCCCCAGGGATCCGCATTCCTGTCAACCCATATGGTTTACCCCGTATTCTTGTACAGGAAAATTGAGTTTTCAGGTTCATTCGGCATACAGCCATTTCAATACGGGCATTTTTTTTTCAATTTGTTTGTGTTTCTCCTTTGTGATGGAACTTTGAGGGATGAACGTTGAGATTTAAGGGCACGAGGTGACCAATAAGGTCACAAAGAGACAGAGTTGACAGGTGAGGATCCGCGTACCTCCAGTTGAGAACCACTGATCTAAACTAGGCCTCATGTTCTTGGTTCTTTCGGTAAAGTCGCGTAGAATGGAAATGCGTCTCCCTCGAGAAGTATTGAAATCATTGTGCTCTGTAGTTACATTAAGCCCCACGAGGATACTCCTCACTCTAACCCACTCAGCAGCCACCCTCTTTATGCTCAAGACGCAGAAGTCTTGTTGGCCCTGTCACTCCCGGCGTCAAAGCCTTCTCTTCTCCCATAGTTATTTCATACCTCGCCAAGGGAATACGAAAAGATAGAGACGAGCTCCAGTCCGACCGTGTCAACATACCCCAGTACACTGACTCTGGGGAACACTCCATGCCAGCGCCACCCAGTACTTCACCTATCCTCTCTAGTATATTCAAGACAGTCTCTCTAACTCTAAACTACAACTCTCCTGAAAAACACAATTTTCCCGAAACAGATATGTTTCCTGTCAGCTGTATATTTATCAGTATGCTGTCTCAAGAACAACAATTCAATGGCTGTAAAACTCCAACGTATATAACCTCATATAATCATTACCCTACTTATTCTGTGCATCAGACAGTGGCACGTAAACCTTCATATAGGCTAAACTTTATATCAAATATAGAAAATCACCAACCCCCACCTGCTCTAGGCTGTTATATCTGGAACAGGAGTACATCACTCCAGCTGTGATGGTGTCTCTAACCCTTAATATTAATTGCAGGAACTAATACATTTATATATTCCATCAAGGTCCTTAAGATCTTCTGATCTTCAACTGGTCAGCACTCCCAGGTCTAGGTTGCGCTCTTTTGGCGATCAGTGCTTTTTTTAGCGTGACACTAAAGCTATGGAACGCTTTGCCACTTGAAATCTGGAAATCCGAGTCTATTTAAAGTGGCCTTCCATCTCTAGTTTGGTTGGTTGCCCTGGTTGTGTTCTTGTTTCCTGCTTTCCATGCATTGTGCATTGGGATCCTAGGATGGAATGCGCATCATTATACATTTGAATTATTATTAACACTTCCTCCTATAACCGGGTTGCCACGACTTCCTCAAACTGTACCCTGACATATTTTTCAAGTCAGCCATGGGTCTATCGAAACTGCAATAAAGTTCACCGGAACAGCAGTACCAGATTTCGTGAGAAATCAATTCCCGTCCACTCAAACCTGGAACCCAGTTCCCGGATTGCCCAGGTCAAATGCAGACGGGTGGCATCCTGTACTCGAGATTTGCTGCAAATGACCTTCTACGGAGATTCATGCACTACTCTGGATGCCTTTCGGCCACAACGGTGGGAAATGGAGGGGTTGATGAGCGGCGGCGACGACGTTCACCTCCGTTTGCACCATGGCTGGACGGTGTCGCCGCATGTCCGCCACCAGGCCCAGGATGTCCACAAACTCGTGCTTCCGGACGTGCTGGATCAAGCGGTGCAGGGCGATGAAGGTGCCCGTCCTGCCCACGCCGGCGCTGCGAAACAAAGTTGCGGCCTAAAAACGTGCCTGGGACTGGCATGACTCAGGTGACTTCAGAGAAATGTAGATATCGCCATTTAGAATAAGAAGAAAAATAAAACACCCTGGTATTTTTTGTCAACTGCGGACAATATATGTGGGTCACAAACCCTAGATGAGGGAATTGTGAAGGGACAAAACCCATAGCATTTTCTAAAATAAAAATTTTAAAGGGGTGATTGATGCTGCATTCCTCTTGTTGTGTGTCACGCCCATGCCTTGTGGTGTGACATGAGTGTGACTCGTGGTGTCAGAGACACTCGTGTGTCCCTTGGTGTGAGTGACACACCGCGTGAGTCCCTTGGTGTGAGTGACATCACACGCGTCTCATGCAGTGGGTGAGCAGACGGAACCTGCAGTGCACCACGAGAGGACGGACGACGGGCTCCGATTGGCTGCCGCGGACCAGACGCACAAACTGCAGCAACCCCGCGATGCTCTTGTCAGTGGGCACGCCGTGGTCAGGCCACGCCGTGTAGTTGTAGTGGGTGATCTCACGAGTTTCCTCCTCCTCCTGCTGCGGGATCGCAAAACGTGAACACAGAATGGTGAAAAATGAGAATAGGTTTTACCCCTTTGTGGCAATGAAACAGGAGTCTTGTTAAGATGTTCAAACACCAAATAGGTATCTTTTTCAAGGCATCGAGTCTGCATTAGCTATACATAATTGTGGCAAAAACATGCAAACAAACATTTTCTGATAATGTATGCATTGTCTTTGAAACTGATTGGCCTACACCAGAGACAGCCTTCTTTATGGCCTTGTCTCACCAGTATCAGACTAGAGAACGCCAAAAGGCAACAGTACAAAGGCAATGCAAGTATCAGGACACGTATAGCTCGGGAAAGCAGTTAGATCTACAGGACCTTTTTTGCCAGTATCCAAAATGATGAAAAATAAGAATAGGTTTGACCCTTTCTACCTAAACAAAGACAAAACCTATGAGGGATTAGGGCACAACGATTGTTGTTGGATTAGCCTAGATATATGTTTAACAAAAAAAGCTCAACACGGTTATCAATAACACAGCGACCTTACAAGAAAACACATTAAATAATAGGTGACGATTCGGGAAATGGCCCTTCTTCACAGCGCATACAAACATCGCTGTCAACCCATACAATTTACCTGTATTCTTCTACAGGGAATTTTAGTTTTCAGGTCCATACGGCATACAGCTGTTTCAATGCGGGTAAAAAAAATCGTCTATTTGTTTTCGTTTCTCCCTTGTGATGAGACTTTGAAGGATGAACGTTGACATTTATAAGGGAACGGGGTGACCAATAACGTCTGAAGTTGTCTGTAATAAGGTAGGCACTGATAAGGGGTTGACAGGTATGTACAAACGAGAGGCCAGAGAGATCGAGTGCACAGTAAGAGTTGGAGACCACTTGTTTACACCATGGGGCCTCATGAGAATCACATTTTCAAGAAACGTTTTCTCATGATCAGTGTTTAAATTGGTATCAAATAGTTACACGAATAAATAAAAAACTATTACGAAATAAACTGGTTTACATTAAAAGTACACTGAAAATGTTGCTGGCACAGTGCATTGTATTCTTGTGAGCACAATGCACACTCTGCTTAAATGGCCCAATGAGCATTTCAATACAGGAAATGTAAGTATATATTGACATATGTTGATAGATTATTTATCAAAGATATTGATCATCAATTGGTGGATGAGGGCCTCTCCCCACACAGAATCAAAATGTTTGCTCATACTGGAGGAATCCGATGAGCTATGAAGCTCTTTTTCACAGATGCCATGTGAGATGACCATCCGTGCTGGTCAGAGGAGGGTGGTGAAGATGGGAAGCAGAGACATTGGGCTGTGCTGCACTGCCTTCTGCCACCAAGAACGTAACCCCACAACAACAACCGCCATTCGCCAATGAGTGGCGGTGACGTCACCACGACACTTGTACCAGGCTATGTACACTTTGAGGCCATGTGAAGTGTCGAACGCCCGCTGGCAGGTCATGGGGCAGACCCAGATGCCACAGGTCGACTGACTGAGACGACTGGCTGATGCACCACCTGTGCCCCCTACTGTCCCAACTTGCTGTGCTTTAGCCACCCGGCGCTCCGCTCGTTTTTGTGAGCGTCGCTCCTCCGCCCTCCGTTGTTGTTGGAGAGCAACTGCCTCCAACTGCCCAGTAGCGTCCTTCACGAGCTTCCTCCACAGAGGCTGATCTTGACACCGCTGGTATCAGTCATCGGCAAGTCCACTCAGCTCTACATCCTCCTGTACCACATCACTCCATCTCTTCTCTAGCTCGTGCTGTGCCCGTTTAGCCCCCTCGATACGGCTGAACAAAAGCTGTTTAGGCATGCGGTGGCTGGGCATGCGGGCTACAGGACCCGGCCAACGCAGCCTTGCCAGCCGGAGGAGCTCACCGATGTAACTTTGTCCAGATCTTTCAAGGATTTGTGAGCTCCTCACACAATCCAGCCTGGTTAAACCCAGGATGGATCATAGGCAGACCAGCCTAAATGTTTCTAACCGGCGAAGATGATCCATTAGGGGGGTCCACGTTTTGCAAGCATAAAGAAGGAAGGGAATGACTGTGGCCGAGAAGACCTGAAGCTTCGTGTGGAGCAACAGACCAGGTATCTTCCACACAACGTTATGCAACCGATGAAAAGATAATGCTGCTTGACTGATTCGGAGTGAGACCTCTGCTGTTAAATCAGAGCCGGTCATGAGCACACTACCCAGGTATGGGAAACTCTCCACTCTCTCCACAACTGCCCCATCCCTGTTGCACCCCAAGGTATACAGGGAATGGCTCCGACTCCCAGCCACATAGTTTTACCCGGGCCGCTCACCATCATGAAGGTCCTTAATGATCGTGAGCAGAGGGTCAGGTACTCAAAAAGCACAAAGAACAACCCAAGAGGCCAGGCCTACTGATTATATCATAGGCCTTAACCAGGTCAATAAAGCAAAGATGGAGGTCTTGTTGGAATTCCCTACACCTCAGCTGTAGCAGACGGACAGAAAATATGGCATCTACGCAAGACCACCCTTTCCTTAAACCGCATTGGGGCTCCGAAAGTCTCTCCTCAGCGTGCCTAGCGAGGCGATGTGGAATACACTGAGGAGTGAGATGCCCCTACAGTTGTTCCAGTCTGTGCGGGCCCCCTTCTTAAAGAGGGGTGCCACCAGGGCACCCTTCCAATGCTGCAGAACCCGTACAGTGGTCCAGACTGTTATTATGAAGTCATGTAGGGTAGTCTGTGCACAAATGCCATCCTCCCTCAGCATTTAGTTTGGGAGATCATCTCTGCCCGGTGCCTTTCCTGGTCTCAGACTCACCTTCAGTACTTCCTCAACAGATGGCACCTCAGCCAGCCACTCACAGGGGGTGGCTTCTTCTTCCAATATTTGAGGCACCGCAGCCTCAGCAGGGTCATCCCCACTTTGTCCCATGTTGTTTTCCAGGCTGAGGGATTTCCCCTCCCCCAGGACCTCACAGAAATGCTCAGCAAATCTGCAAACCTGTTCCTGCGGGTCGGAGATTGGATCACCGTTCTTTCCCCTAATGATGGTAATAGGTGTGGTGCTGCAGGTTTCGTTTTTATGGAATTAAAGAGCGATTTATTATCGCAGGCCATTAAGGCAGATTCCATCTTCTCAGCAACTTGCGACCACCACCCATCTTTGCAGCGTCTCACGGCTCTCCGAACCTACGAGCGAAGGCTGTGGTAAGCCTCCTCATTCTCCGACATGGGATGCTGTAGCCGATGAGAGTGGACCTGTCGCTTTTTCTCAGCCAGCTTGAACACCTCCTCTGTCAGCCAGGGTCTTTGGGGAGGTCTGGACCGGTTATCAAAAGCAGCCATTGCAGCTGCATGAGCCACAGTCCTAAACCTCCCCTCGACATCAGGAGGAGTGGGGGACGATGCCAACCCCAGCCGCAAGTGATGATAAAATTCTCGCTTGCAACTTTCATCACCTAGTTGAGACCATGCCACTAAAGGTTTTAATGGGGTCCTGGGTATACACCCACCACCAGAGTGGAAGAATGGCAGGTGCATCTTACAAATGACAAGTCGATGGTCAGTGGGCAGATCAGCTCCACAGTAGGTCCTGGTGTCAAGGACATGGGCCCGCATCTACTGTTCCATCGCTATGTAGTCCCACAGATGTTCTTGCTTGGACCCGGCATGCATCCATGATGTTGTGTGGATGCGCCGATGCCGGAACAGCGTGTTGGTAATTACAAGGCCATGGGCTGCACGAAAATCGAGCAGCCTCCTGCCGTTGTTATTGAGCTGATCTGGCCCATGCCTTCCAATCACTCCAGACCAGGTGCCAGCATCATGACCAACTCGGGCATTGAAGTCACCCAACAAGATGACTCTATCCCGAGGGGCCACTCTAGCTAGCACCTGTGACAGGAGGTCATAAAAGGCATCTGACTCATCGGCCTTGCCTGCATCCCTCCACGGATGTTCGTCTTCGGTGGGGGCACAAGTAATCACGACCACCACTCCTCGCCTCTGGTTGATGAAAAGGCGAGCCCAAAGTAGCTTGGAGCTTACAACTTCCCACACCTCACCGCCACGCTCCCATGCCCCTTTCATTCTTGTGTTCAAAAGAAGAGCCATTCCCTGTTGTTTGGCAGTCTCCTGCCTCGAGAAGAGGACTGTCCACCCCTCATGGTGGCAGGAGCCAGAGCCGGTCCACCAGACCTCCTGAATACCACAGAGATCCAGGCGGTACTGGTCTAGCTCCCTACAGAGGAGTGGCAGCCTCTCCTCTGCAGTGAGCATTCGAACATTCCACGTGGCCACACGTAGTGTTTTTTTGTTGTTTCTGGAGGAGCCCCGAGATAAGGATTCAGTCTCTTGGCTCCGCCAAATGCGGTTTGGCCAGGAGACGTCATCGACGCCTGTCCCCCTGGGGCCTCCGGCACAAGCTTATTAATAAAAAAAATCAGACGTGGTTTAGAGGTAATTAATTGAAGGCGGAGGGGTTACCAGCCCCTCGTACCCATCCAGAGCCCCCATTTAGCTGCTGTGGTGATTACAAACGCCATGAGGGGAAAGGCCAATTTAAATTGGCCCACCCTCCACGGCACTGCCCACTACAGCGTTTCCATCCGGCACCACGAAGAGGTAGGGGGTTGTTTTGCCAGACCTCACAGTAGCCTGTAACACCTGCCTTCTATGCATGGTGGTTGCCCATCATAGTACTGTCCAGGATTAACTCTGCTTAGTTTTCAGGATCTCACGAAATCAGATACATTCCGGCATATTTGATCATCGGTACAATGATCACGTACTCGAGGTTCAATTTGCGTAGTGCAGTCAGTGCAGGATTAGCTGTATACCATGTCCCTTCTTGTGTCTATGTAACAAAGAAACAAGAGAATATGTTTTTTTTCTAAACGTAATATGGTTCACTTTGAGCATTAAACAGATTAGTTGGTGTCGTGAAGTGGTGTCGTGAAGTTTTATTCAGAACCAGTTCAGATGCCACTCGCCACTGATGTTAGCCGTGGCTGGGAATCGAACTATAAGTATGCCAGGTACATAATGCAGCATGCTCCAAAAAAAACTATTAAAACATGTTTTTTATGTAATTGTGCTTCATCTGGTGTTATATGATTATTTGTAGTATTATAATTAACACGTGCATTTGTGTTCCTGTTTGAAATTAAGGAATTAAAATTGCTTTGTAATATTTACCATTCTGAAATATTAATTTCCTATGTTATTGATATATTTAATAAAGTACTGGAATTATGAGGTTGATATATTCCCCCCCCCCCCCAACCATTACGTTTGTGTCTGTAATATTTACTGTAGAGGCTATAATTGCAATCAATGAGCTGCAACAAATACAGGGCCATCCAATGATAGACATCCCACTGCTTTCTTATGGCCCTCTTAACTCACTCGTTCACAGCTGATTCTATATTGTGAAAGTGATGGCTCCATATCTTATCGAGGAGAGAATTAACATATTTCATCTTTGTATTTGCATGCTGTCATAGAGAAAATTACTCAGGCACGAAGAACCACAGACAAGTAGGAAGGCAGCTAAGCAATGAACCGGTGCCAACTATTGCCCAAGCTTCGTGGTCCTCTATATATTTAGCTATTATTGGCCAATTAATGAGTATTTACACGTGGGAGGAAACCAGAGCACATGGAGAGGGGGAAACACTCTACCCCATACATATGGAACAGGTGAAATCCACATTTTTGCCTTCTCCTGGCGTGCCAGGGTATGACATCTCAACGTCCACGGGAAGGGAGTTTTGCAACATTTGTGCTCTGATCCACCAACCCTCGCTTCCTCCACAGTGCTGGGTTACAGGTCACGTGGATAGCCACCGTTATCCAGCTCAAATCGGTGGGAGATGTGGAGAGGCTGTGAATTAAAACGTTGCCGTTCCCGATCATTTCACCCCATCATTTTAGTGTGGGTATCTATAAAACGAATAATCCATTTGTACATCAGCACTAGAGCCCTGTAAATGCTGACTTGCGTTCACAAGAGTGACGAGCACAGCCTCTTACCAGCATGAGTTTAAATGTGCGCGTAGTCCACTCCTCTTGCACGTACTCAGAAATCAGCTGGACCAAGGCCCCTCCGTGGCACTCCGGGTTCGTGTCCAGGGGCCAGTATCGGTCACATTTTGTCTGAACAATTTAATCAAACGTTTGCATGTTATTGTTGTGATGATTATGGATTGAGGATATGTGTAGAGATTCTGGCAGTATTCTTTTGGTGAGATGATTCTCAGCTCATTTCTCAGCTCATATATGATGGATAATGATGATGATTATGAAGATATTAAGATGACGATAATCAACGGTCTTTAGCAGCAAAGAACTACATTTGTGTCAATATATAAAATCGTATTCCTATTTATCCCGGGCTATCACAACAAAACATCATTGCAATGAACTAAAGCTACAGCACAAAACACCAAGCGCTGTCATTCATATCCTTGACATGAGATGTAAAAACACAGACTTTAATGATTACATTAAAACTTCAAGTAAAATGTATATATAAAAATCATAACCGTACTATATTGCAGTTTTGTTTCAATACAGGATGTTTTAAATCACAAAACCAAGTTAAGGATGAATGGTTGTCAAAACATCAGCTGCCAAACTTGGGACTCAACCTGTGAAATTAAATGTTAGTTAGGCGGTCCAGTTGTACAGCCAGGCTAGATGGAATATCACTCGTCGTAACTTTGGCATCGTAACTTGAACACGTTTTGAAGCTCAATATCAATTCGTGTCCTGCATGTCCGTGTCACCGTACCCGTCCCTTCTCCACACACTGGGTGAGCATGACGATGACGCGAACATTCTGCTCCCAAACCAGGCGCCAGAAGTCAGCTTGGGTGTTGGGTAAGGGTCCCTGTGTGGCTATGAACTCCCGTATCCAGTTTTGGCCCTGCGAAATGACAAGGCAGGTCTTTAAAAATAACTATTTACAGATTCATCATTTATTTGTATTCCCTCCACATTTAGAGACATGAGCCTAGATTATTTTTCTGCTGTAGATTTTCACGTGATAAGCCACTTCGTTGAGCTATTATTTGTGGCCAGGTTGCTTCTAAAAAAGAGCTGCGATATAGCTCAGTTGGCCTTACCTGGTAAGATAAAAAAAATTGTTTGGTTTTATTTGTATATAGTTTTCAGTGATGTATTTACCTTTCCTATACTTGGCACTCCTATCTTGTTTTTGTATAGTTTGCTGTAATGTTCTTACCCGCCCCTACTGGATATCTGTGAATCAGAGCATTATAGCTCATCGGATTCCTCCAGTATTAATAAATATTCTGATTCTGACACAATGATCTGGCCAAATTTTGTTGCGTAACCCTCCACCACTTAACAGGACAACATTTTGGACGAAGTATTTGGTGCTGCAAAATTGGCAATGAAGCACAAGCAGAGTTAACAATAAACTCAAAAGGTTCGTCCATAAACACTCCCTTATATTAAACATACATGTAACAGGCCACGGGCAAAAAGCTTTCTTCATAATGATTTATGTGCTGTAAAGAAGGGCCATTTCCCAAAACGTTTTTTCATCTTAAGGCCGTGTTATTATCAAGTGTGGAAAAAATTTTGGCCAGATGACTACGATGCCGAACTCAATCTATTTTGAATCATATCAGCTGTGAAAACCTAATTATGAAGTTCAAATATAGTCGTAACCGAGTAATTAAAAAAAAAACAACTATTTAGTATAAAACACATATCTAACCAAATAAATGCATTTCATGAGAACACAACATATATATTTATATATATACATTGTTTAGCACGATTGGCTACGTACGATGCGAAAGAAGTTCAACGTACATACATATGCAGACATTTATATGTATATAGATAGATTTTACCTTCAGGGGCATATAATCCAGTAGCAGTTTGTGCACATTACTCTGTATCATTCTAACCCCTTTGTGGGCCACATGGTCAAAACTACTGTGCATAAAGTCTAGGAATGCGCCTCTTTACAGGCTGCTTCCCAATGTAATGTATGCGATGTACGCATTCACGTCGCATTGCTGCTCTTGAAAGATTGAGCTTTGTTACCGAATTCGAAGAAATAAATGTATCTTCTTGTTATCTTGGTCGCCGACCCCTACGCTTAACCAATCGAGGCAGCTTCCCACACTCCGTTCCCGGTGCCTTCTCTGCTATCTCTGATAAATGAAATGCAGAGCACCGGGTGAGAACCACGTGGCAGGAAATCAGCAGTGCCCACTGCACAGGGGGACTGGAACTTGCACCACCAGCTCCAACAGTGCCCCGTTGCGCTCGGTACTTGCTAATGCACAAGACGTTCGGCTATTGAAACATTCGGGCAGTTTCTCCCTTATATTTTATGCTATTATGTGCTGATCAACAGAGGGGTATATTTACCTCCAAGTCTTTACAAAAGATTGTTGTCAACGTGTTATTGCGTTGGCGTTACAGCGTTCGATAATAACGGGACATTTTCGAGTACCTATCGTTGGGTAGCAATCAGCTTGGCAACGGTGACATCAGCCGCTCAAAATAGCAATTGCGGTTCCTCTTTCAATGCACTTGGTAATTATTCAGCGACATCTGTTATCAACAGCGTTCATGTAAGCCACATTCCCATTTTCTGTGACTGCATAAAATATGGCTCAAATTATTAAGATCAAATATATCTACTATTAAAACACAAATATAGCATAAAATGTTGACTTAAAACTTTCGTGACTGCAGGGAATTCATATTCTTAGTTTTTTTGGTAAAGTCACGTAGATATAAAAATAATAAGGGCCTCCAAGCAATCATTGCATCTAGCTCCACACACCCACACTGCTGACAGTGGAGGCTGACAAGAAAACACAACTCAAGTCATGACCCAAAGTGGTTGATGACATCTTTCCAATGATTTCTGAGTCAATAACCATCTTCTCGGTTGAAATTGTGTCTGTGTCTATATATATGGATGGCTTCATGAACGAATCTTTGTTGATAGCCAGTAGGCTTGCAAAGTACCATCGTCTTAGACAAATCAATTTCGTGTGAGCCAGCCGCATTAAAATAATGATCAGCCACGGCAGAAGTATTGGTCCTACCGTGTTTCAAATCTGCCTTATGCTCACGAACACGGTCCGAGACATGTCGCTTAGTTTCCCCAATGTTTTCTTGTCAACCTCCACCGTCAGCAGGGTGGGTGTGTGGAGCGAGGTGCAATGATTGCCTGGAGGCCCTTTTGGTGGAGACCCACTGCTGGCCTACATTAACATTAGCTGCCCCGCCCATGCTGCTGACACACTTGGGCTACGTCCATCTCTAAACCTTAATAAACAGTTTGCCTTTAGATGCTACCCCCCCCCCCCTTTTCCTGATGACGACTGCTTGTGTTGTGATCAAAACGTCATTTCAAATAATTTTAATTTATTGATTTTAATTTATGTATGCATTTTAGTAATAAGTAGTTTCTAAATTATTTTATACAACCCCATTAATGTATAATATGCCATATAAAATATAATTTCTTATACTCTGGAACGGATTATTTCCTTTCCCTTTATTTCTTATGGGAAAAATTCGTTTGGTATACGTCATTTTCGGTATAAGTCCTACCTTCTGGAACGAATGAACGACGTATACCAAGGTACCACTGTATCTTTATAACTAAGAATAATTTATTTTCAACATAAAGATATTTCAACAACAGGAAACACATGAATGTATTGAGTTTTGGTAAATTGTGCTTCTGTACCACTTCCAACACTGGACTGTATTTCATACCATTGTGTTACTCAATTGTAGTCAGTATGCTAAACAACGGTACGAGTTCTGGTAATGAAGAAAACTTTGACAGATCGAGATTCATATGCAATTAATACAAAACAAACAACGGCAAATAGAGGAATTATATAAAAAAAAAACATTTTCAATAGCCATCGATATTTCTACCGCTGGCAAAAAAAACCAGAACGCCAATAAAGACCAGATCACAACATCGTTAGCAGAGAGCTCGGGCACTCACCGGAATGAAGTTGGCGTTGATGTAATCTGAGCCCTCGTGGCTTTCCAGTGCCATCAACTTCACGCGGCTCGTGTCGTCTGCAGCCGACAAAAGTCGCGCAAGCAAACCGCGATCATTCCAACACAGGATTTGGCGATGCTGCTGCTACGGCCGCCACTGTGGTAGCAGTGGTGCAAAGTCGACGCCCCTCGATGGTCCGTCTTGACGCGCTATTAAGAAGGGGCCATTCGTTTCCCGAAAAACATCGCTGATGATCTTTCTCTTTGAAGGCAGTATTGCTGATGAGTGCAATTGCGTCAAGGGTACGCACATCGTGAAGATAATGGCGGCCATTTATCACATGAGCTTTTAATGGTTGATCTAATTGTGACGTAAATATAATGCAACATCTCTTTCCTGATGCACTTAGGTAATGCTATTGCCGAGGGTATATTATATATCAGGTCGTCAGGGTCGTGCCGGATAATGCAATGTGGGGTGTGTGTGCTCTGGGAGCGTGTGGTCGCTTCACTGTGTCGTACACGGCAAGATGTTGGAGTATCGATTTTTCTGGCGATTCACCGGTAGGCTGGCAGCATTGTGAGACATCTCCTGCCCAACCAACTTGAGATCCTAGGGGACAAGGGACAGAAAAAGGAGATGTGTCTTGTCATATTTATTGCTATAAAACATTTTTTTATTGGCACAGACCTTAAAGAGTGGCACATGAGTGGGGGATGATTTACAAACAACATTAGAACATGACATTCAAATACGGAGAGGTACATAGAAATGACCATACATTTCTGTACATACTCAGAAATATATAAATACATAAACATACTGCAATGCATTTACACATGTAGATAAATCCAGAGACGAAGTATACATACTTTTATTGACCCCAAGGAATGATAGAATGATTGGCAACCCATTCAGGATTCAAAACGTTTGAGTTGTGAGTTGAGCATATTGTCGATTCAGAGGTTTTTGTGGATTGAGCCTCCATCCGCTCCTCCGGGGGAATAAAAAAATAAATTGCTTCATGTATTGGGCGGATTCCCTCCTGGCAAATTCCTAATAATGCCAGAAGTTTCAATGAACATGAAAACAACCTCTCCATGAATTGTGCCCTGTGAGTGTGTGTGTTGGGAGCGGTTGCATAGCTGCGCTATGAACCCGGCGACCCGAGTTTCATTCCCTGTCCTGGGGCCCCTCTACATTGATTGAGCCTCAAATTAGTACTTTGTGCAATGCGTAAACATTTATATTCCAGAGATAAAGGCGGCCGGGCATGGTGCTGGTCACCCACCCCGTAGCATGCCGTGTCGGCCTTCATCGGTACTCGCTTACAGCACTTGCCCCAAAAGCCTGCGAAGGCTATATGGGGGGATATTTGTCTTTGTTTATTGTGAGCGGGCAAGTGAATGGGCCGCGTAGCAGGTCGGCGGTGAGTGGTGAGGCCCTCGGACAGTAGAGCCCGGTGGATGTGGAACAGGCGGAGAGGCCGTGAGTGAGCAGATGACAGAATCATCATCTCACTTGACACTCACGGGTATAAGGGCAACTGTGGAGTGCAAACCGGCTGCTGCTGCTGCCGCTGCTGCAACACCTACGACACGACCATGGAGACGCTTGTGCCCATGCAATGCAACGGCGGTCATGAGTAGCTGCAGCAACATCAAGTGGTCTGCAATAGCCACGGTGTTGATGATGCTCTTGTATGAATTACACAAATTGTATATATATTTTTAATGAAAATCGTGACTTCCAATATAACAGCGTCGTTTTTTTTTACCTCTGAGTACAATAGAGTTACATTAATTGCATTTATATTATAATTGGTTCTTTACCCTTCTATCTGGCAACAAAACTGACACCTTTTTGCAAGGAGTCATGTTTGCATAGACCGCAATACCTGCAGTCATAATACAAACAAAAGAACATAACTCTGATAATGTGCACTGTCCTTGAAGTTGATTGGTCCACACCCGAGACAGCTTTCCTTTGAGCCTAGTCTCATATGGGTTGGACCAGATGACGCCTTTTGACCAATCAACTTCAAGGACAGTGCACATTATCAGAGTTATGTTCTTTTGTTTGTATTATGACTGCAGGTATTGCGGTCTATGCAAACATGACTCCTTGCAAAAAGGTGTCAGTTTTGTTGCCAGATAGAAGAGTAAAGAACCAATTATCATATTTTTACTGGCAAATGAGGTCCCCATAGTGCATTTATATTGTAAAATTCATTAATATTTCTATTAATTATATATATAAACGCGTGTATATATAAAGAAAGTATATATTTACAGGAATGGAGCAACCAGTAAACATTACAAACCTCATATTCAAGGGAAAACTTGTAATCTGAGTCCTTGGACATTTCCTTGATGTACATTTCAAAGTCATCCAGTTGTACTGGCCTAAAAGTACAGCAGAAAACGATCAGTAGAATTAATCGTACCTCACTGCTGACCATGAACACGTATTGTGATTAATGTTTTTCTTAAATGGAGTTATTTCACTTTCATGGAAGAGAGCCGGAGATGAACAGGCACAATTATGCGAGACATTTTTTCTTTGAAAGCATCGCAAATTTCCAGGAACTGATTATATAACCTCGCATATTGGAATTATGAGAAAGAGTAAATACACATTTTTAATGTTTTTCAAATGCAATTAACAAACTATATGAATTGCAATTGAAATGTGCACACTTAAAAAATATTTTGATGTAGCGAGTTTGACTATTATTTTTATTCCTTCATATATATTTATTTCGTTGTGACAATTTGCAAACATCAATCCGCCAATAGAAAGTAAAACTCATCACTGTCAGCTTTGGTGTCACGTGGTTTCAAAAAGCACTCGACAAAAATATCGGGTTATGTTTTGATTCATCACTTCAAAAACCCCAGATGGCAATGTTCACCAGGCTAGGCTGGACCACAACAATGCATGTACCTCCCAATCAACAGTTACAGTATTTGCATTTTAAAACTAGATTTACATTCGGACTTAACAAAATGTATATCCTCCAATAAAACATTTTTCGGAAGACCTTAGTTCAAGTATAATGACGTTCAAACATTTTTCACGCCGGCTGTGGGTCACACAAAAGTGGAAACCCTTGTGTTTTGTCTATTCGAGTTATAAGCAAAGGCTCGAACACGTTCGTGCCATAAGTAAGCTGCACAGCCCTCCTACAACATCACTGGAATTTACATCCGGCACTCACACTTTTATGCCCAACTGGCTGTGTTCATTAGATGGCATCAAAAGCAAGACACATCAATAATCAATATGCAATGATCAAAGTTAAGATGCATTTTTAATATCATCCTTTGTATTTTTAGGACAATTGAGCTTGTAGAATGAAATCATGACAATGATATAAAGTATATTGTCTATGTGGCATACCAGCAAACTTCACAGGAAGATGTAACCCATAAATAGGCCGTGTATCGCAGTTTAAAGCTTCACTAATGAGAGCAAATAATTAAAAGTCATAGCTACATGACTTACAGTTACCCTGCCATAGAAACCTCGAGTAAAGTCATAGCTCTAGTAAAGTCAAGGCTGACATCGCACTGTGCGGGCTGATCCGTTCGTCTGTGGAAGTCGGTGAATGCTAGGAGGAATTTAAAATCCACAATAGTGGCTCTCCTACGCTTAGGTTTTTTCAGTAAAGTCACGTAGGTAAAAATAAATAATAAATAAGACAAATAATAGAAATAATAATAGAAATAAATTAATAAATCTCGACGTTTCGGAGGCAACACAAGTCTCCGTCATCAGGTGGGACCGTCACAGCTGAATTTACTGTATTAAGTGAGGAAAAAAATCCAAGAGACAAGCCCTTAAATACAAGTTAAGGGGGGGAGGGGGGGGGCTTGTCTGAATGTGGTAGCCAGGGGGATGGCCTGATGGTCCTCGGGAGCGGGGCTAAAAGAGAACAATGGTGCACATCGGCTCATAGTTATGGCCGGTGTTAGCTCATAATGAGCATAAAAGTAAGCAATACTGGTAAACGCTGGGGATGTCAACACTCGGTAAAGTAGAATAGTACCTGTCAGATAAGATGGTACACATATGTGTAGTTAAATCTGTTTTACATGGTTAATGACATCTTTCCAATGATTACTCAGTTTGTACCCATCATCACGGTTGAAGTTATTTCTGTGTTTGTATATCTGGATGGCTTCATGCACAAACCTCTGATGGTATCCAGAAGGTTTGCAGAGCACCTTGGTCTCAGAAAAGACAATCTCATGAGAACCCACAGCATTGTAGCAATGATCGGCAACGGCGGAAGACTCAATTTTGCCGTGTTTCAGATCTGACTTGTGTCCGATTCAGTACAGTACATAAAATCCGTGATCTAATTCCATCTGTGAAGGATGTCATTCCTGATTTGCAATACCCTGGAGTCTATAAACTGAGTTGCAGCTGTGGTGATTGTTACATTGGGGAAACGAAACGTCATATCTCTGATCGTGTCCGCGAGCACAAGTCAGATCTGAAACACGGCAAAATTGAGTCTTCCGCCGTTGCCGATTATTGCTACAACGCTGTGGGTTCTCATGAGATTGTCTTTTCCGAGACCAAGGTGCTCTGCAAACCTTCTGGATACCATCAGAGGTTTGTGCACGAAGCCATCCAGATATACAAACACAGACATAACTTCAACCGTGATGATGGGTACAAACAGAGTAATCATTGGAAAGATGTCATTAACCATTTAAAAAATATTTAACTACACATATATTTACCATCTTATCTGACAGGTACTATTCTGCTTTACCGAGTGTTGACATCCCCAGCGTTTACCAGTGTTGCTTACTTTTATGCTTATTATCAGCTAACACCGGCCACAATCATGAGCCGATGTGCACCATTGTTCTCTTTTAGCCCCGCTCCCGAGGACCATCAGGCCATCCCCCTGGCTACCACATTCAGAGAAGCCCCCCCCCCTCCCCCCCTTAACTTGTATTTAAGGGCTTGTCTCTTGGATTTTTTTCTTCACTTAATACAGTAAATTCAGCTGTGACGGTCCCACCTGATGACGGAGACTTGTGTTGCCTCCGAAACGTCGTGATTTATTATTTTACTTCTATTATCATTTCTATTATTATTATTTATTTATACCGACGTGACTTTACCGAAAAAACCTAAGAGTATGAATCCTTTAAGTAACGAAAGCTTCAAATCTAGTGGCTCTCCGTCCTGTAGCTTGGAGCTGGGGTTTGAGCGGTAAAGTTATTGAACATTTATACACCCAGATTTCATATGCCAAATGCCATGCATATTCTTTTATTATTTCGGTAAAGTCACGTAGATAGAAAATATAAATAAAAAGCTAGATCTATGGCTTTACTAGAGCTAAGGCTTTCAAATGATGAAGACCGCTTGTGTTGCGATCGAAACGTCGTGGGTTTTTTGCTTTTGTTTATAATTTTATTTGTCATTTTATTTTTATTTTTTATTTTCTATCTACGTGACTTTACCGAAAGAACCAATGAATGTGAATTCCTACAGTCACGAAAGTTTTAAGTCAAAATTCAAATGCCATGCATATCATTATGCTTTTTAATGTAATAACGTAGAACCTGATTGCTCGCACATTTCACACACCACATCGTAAACTAAGGCCACTTTAAACAGTGAACCATGCAAACTCAACATACATTATACCAGAGGTGTTATTACAATGAACACATAAATTACATTTCATGAGCAGTGTTCGTGTTATTTTGTTATTTAATGCCGCAATGTATTCAAAATTTACCATTTTATCTCCTCAGCCAAACACATATCGCTATAAATACACACACACGTATGAATGTTCTACCTACTTGGATAGTTTTTTCAATTGTCCTTGTTTTCTTGCCCTGCAATATAAAGATTGAAAATTAATTATGTACATTCCAAAATGTGACTCACTAAACACCTTTCAGAGATGACTGATTTAGAAATTACTCTGAAAATCCACAGTGGCTTTTTCCTGCAAAGGGGCCATGAAACTATTATCTGGCAGATGCCAGAATAATGAATAGACCCTTGTCCTTTCAAAAATGTTCACGGCTGGGTTTTGTAATAAAATATAATTTTAATGTTTCAATTTGTTTTTGAAAATGTTAAATTTTGCATGAATAAGCCATGGAAAAAAACAAATTGCTCTTCGGCACTTAAAACTATGTCATGAGTCGATTAGCTTTCCGCAGCGTATACTGCAAAGTAATTATATTTACGTAGCCAATAAAAAGTAAATAAATGTATGGATATTACATGTAGATCCCATGAGATATGTTACATTACGTGATAAAAACAGCCTTGGCGTGTCTGTCCATTTGTGCCCCACTGAAGCGTGCAGCGCGGCTGCTAAAGAGAAGTAGTAATCGCAACCAAGTAGTGACACAGCAGCCAATTGCATTTGTTTTATTTACAGGACATTTCTATAACGGAAAGATCATAGTTGTCACCAGCCTGACGAACGTAGTTAACACTCTCGCAAAATCTGTGCAAAAGTTCCTGTGCATGGCGGGGAGTCAGGGCAAGTCAGCGGCTCACAACAACACCAATCTTACTAAGGTGGCCCAAAAGATCTGCGCCGGTGTCTGCGTTTTAGAGTTGGTGCCAATATATTTATCATGGGAAGGTTAATAACTCCTTACAGTTCATATTGGCACTCCTACGATGTGCATTCGTGCTCAATTGTTCATTTTGTTAAAAAGGTTAGTAGTCGGCCGAAAGAATGTGTTTACACGTGATACCCTGCTGTGGAAGAAAGATTACCCATTGAAAAAAGAGCAAGATCTGTCACCGAGTAAAAAATACTTTTGTTTTGGAAAAAAATAGATACATTTTTCTGTTGTGATGTTTACAGCTTGTATTATGATTCGTATGAATAGGCAACATGGTGAATGCAATATAACCCCAGCGTGATGTAAAATGAGATAGGAAACCAGTGGCCATGGCTCGGATATTTGACATTACACGCCATGAAATCTGGCCATGAAATCTGCAGCAGACTACCGCACGATTTAGAGGCAAAAGAGTGATCTCATTCCAGGCATATGGCCCGCTGATATGATCGCTATTAATTTGTCTGTATTGGTCATATTTGGCATAACGATGGGTATTAAAATACACAGAATTCCACTGCTCCCCCCACCGCCACCACCATCCACTTGTGAAGCAGACACTCAAATGGCCAGAAATGTTTGAACTGAAAAAGGAAAACACAATATCTGACGAAAGAGAGCAGAGGAGGCTTACTCACCAAGAAACAAATGGCGGCACGAGAAAATATCCCGTCCGCAGACAGGAAGGCAGAGAGGCAAGGAAAGCGGGCAGAGTTCGACACCTGAGCAGGAGCACAGAGAAGAGTGCGCTCACGACCGCTCGCACACCCCCATCCACCCCCCCCCCCCCCCCCGCCCGTGCGCCGTTGCAAGGTGCATTCACAAACGACGGTGCCAACAAATATCGGCGCCAAGGGAAGTCACGAAACTGACCTTCGGAACGCGCTACCAAAATCTCCATCAATGGCAGCAAAATTCAGAAATGTTCCGCCCATGGCCTTGCTGGAGAAGATGATAAATTATACAAGATATTAAACGGCACTTAACTGTAAATCTTTCAAACTATTCAATAGCATGCTGCTATAACCGCTTGAAATATTTTTTTGAAATGTGTTTGTTCGTTGTACAACAATCATGGTTTATCTTCTTGGTTCTTTCGGTAAAGTCACGTAGAAGGGAAGTAATAAAATAATACTTCCCTTCTACGTGACTTTACCGAAAGAACCAAGAAGATGAATTCCTGCAGTCATGGTTTAACACGGTAATTTTGTCGCGCCCTTTGTGCATTGCTAAACATTGTGTTAAATACAAAATAGGCTAGGTTATAGCATTTTGAAATAATTGTGGAAATATTGTAACAAGTACATCTCAGGAATTTCTCACGTGGTTTATAATAAAGGATGAGTGTGCATATGTCAATCAGTCATCCGGTCAGTCAGTTTATTTCTTGTAAGGCCCATTGAGTAAAAAATTGATTTTATAATGACGACCCGGCCAAGACGGCTGGCACAGCAGAATGCACATCACATGGGAAGGGAGGCTTTACAAGAACAAAAGCAGGAACATACGTGCACACCATGACCAGTATGGTGTAATGCATCTTACACATGCAAAAATGTCGTGCCATATGCGTTATGAAACCCAGAGAAGTCTGGTGGGAAAACTCAGGGAGCAACTGAAAAGTGGCACCATTCCAATCTCACTAAAAAAAGCCTCCTAACACATCATGTCCATCACAGGACACGGTGGGAACACGTGGCTCCGTGATCCAACTTCAAACAGCCGGGGCTGGAAGAAGCAACATTCGTCTTGAGGCTCAGGATCAGCATGCAAAACCTCTGCTAACTACACGTATAAGTGTTGCATTTATCGGGATTACCTATGCAGGTGTAACACAGATCACTTACTCTATGCTTGTGTGTGTGTCAGGGGCATGTTACGGGTCACACATGCTGGGCATGTATTGTTTCATGAACAAGTGTCTGTCTACACATTAGGTAAACAAAAACACTTTAAAAACGTCAGTGAACATTCTAAGTAACACCCATTCACAATTTGAATGTTTTAATTGCAAAAGAATTTACGTACAACACAGGGTGATCCATTAAAACAGTGGTTCTAGTTCAGTGGTTCTTATTAACCCACTGGGGGTGTGAGATGCCCTTTCTCGGGGTGCAAGACATGGCCAGACTTTTGAAGAAGGTAAATCGCCGAAACGCAAATTAAGCACCGGCACGTAACCACAACTATTTATTTATTTTTTACGATTGAGAACAAAAGAGATGCATGGCTACAATAAATGTTTAGGAAACACTGCATTAAAACATACCCTGGCTGATTTCTAAATGTCCCCAGAAACTACTGTGCCTTGAGTTGGTCTAGATGGACCGATTTTGTGGCCCCACGTTCACTTGACACAACTCCACTGGATCTGGAGATAACAATGACCTCAGCTCAAGTACCATTGAATGTTGTAAGCAAATCACACCAGCTATGGTTGCGCGTAGTCTAAATCAGGAGAGCGTAAAACAGATTTAACAGCGTATTGAGATCGGTACGAGATGTGGAGGCTTTGAAACCAAATGTAGTTCTCGCTATAATTTTTCTCTATTATTATAGTCGAGGTCCCTATAAACAGGCCACCCTATATGCGAGCATCTCAACGTAATTGCCATTGAACTGCATCGAGTAAAAATAAAAGTCTGATATTCTATCAACAAACGTAGCTTCATCACCGACACAATTAATATCGTCTCCTTTAACTCGTTTCCGCGGGCCGATTTTGCATCAGGCGTCGCGCGAGAAGGTTCACGGCAACATTCGGTCGAGACCAGCAAACAAGCGGAGTCCCACGCCCGCAATCGCCGGGAGAGATCGCACGCCTCACCTCTCGACTCGCTGCTTGCGCCGGCGCAGCACCAGGTATACGAGCGCCAGGGTCAGCACCAGCGCCATGGACAGCACCAGCGGGATGGCCAGCACCAGGGTGTTCATCAGCAACGCTGCTCTCGCACGCAGGGAGCATCCCCTTCACGCTGCGGCGCGACGTCTGGGTGTCGTCTGGATCCCCCATTTAGCCACGACACATGCGCGGGTGACAGGATGCTGCCGTAGATGAGCTATTTAATTGAAAGCTATTGTTTTGTATTTTGCCAGGTCAGAGCTCAACGAAGTGGCTTATCATGTAGATATTTATAGCAGCCAAATACTCTTGTATATACAATCCACTGCTGGATAAGGGCCTCCCCGTTCCTTGAGGGACAATTGGCCACACTTCACCATGACGGTCAGTGCAAGCTAGTCAAGGTTGGAGGAGTGCAGAACAAGAATGGAGATTGCTGCAGTGCCCTCTACTGCCCACAACACCTATAACATGTCCTTTGTGCGTGGCAGTCACCCATCCAAGCACTATCCAGGCTTAACGGAATTTAAATGCAAATGTTGTACAACGTTTTGCACGCGTGCTGTTTAATTATGTTAAAGCAAATATTAAGCCCATTAGTGTTGTGTTAATTGTCAAAATCATTTTTCCAAAGCGCTCCATCCTGTTATTATTTGCCTCTATTTCATCGTTTTGATCAAATAATTATTCAATGTTTGCACTAAGGGTACGTAATTTCGCTGTAGCAAATCGGTGAGTTAGAATTCCAGATAGCGGCTGACTCAGCCTCTCGCCCTTTCATGACCAATATTACTTTTTAAAATGCAGCCAACGTTGTCATCATTTGAAAATGTTGGCCCCTGCCGTGAGAATGAGGAATGTCCACCAATGGTTCAGGATCACCATTTGAGAGGAGGGTCACCCCACAGCTCGTTTGAATCCAAATCTTTATTTAGACTTGATTAATTCCATGAGCTATGCAGCTCCTTTTCACAGATTTCCAGATTGGGAAAAGAAACCACTTTTACATAAATTTACAAATGCTTTAGATGACTTTGCTATACAACAGAAGTTCATTATTCGATTTTTGATGTATGTATGTTGAACTTCTTTCGCGCCGTACATAATCAACCACGCTAATCGGATGTACGGAGGAAGTGCAACTAACTAAAGACAAAAAAGCAGTTCTAGCGAAATGAGTTTCCAATCTAAATTTAAATGAGCAAAGCTCCAATGAATTCCTAATATCGGAAGCGCGTTCCAGACGGCCGCAGAAGCGTGCCTGATAGCGCGCGATGCAGTGACTTTTCGGTGGCTAGTCAAAAGCCACTGCGGGGATCACCGGTATTCGCATAATGATGGATGCTCCTGGACGACATCACTGCCAAGGTAATAAGTACTACCAAGGTGGTTGGTGAACCGAAACAACATCAATAAGTACGCTTGGCCACTCGACCTCCAGGGCTATGCGGTGACCGTAGATGAACGTACCGCAGCGTGCGGCTACCGGTCTCTCCCTGGATGTGTTGTCAGCGCGAACCCCACACACATGTGAGGGTGCGTGGGGTTGGCTCATTATCTGAGGGTTGGTCACTAACCCGGAGTTGTGATGAGCAGGCTGCTTGGAGGGCTGGACAGTTGATGGCTGATGCTGACCAGGCTGATGTTGTAGCGCGTGTCTGCCGAGAGCCCGCTGATCGTCATGTGCTCCTCCTTGCTCAGCTGCTCCAGCTGCCAAGAGACAGGTTTGTCTCTGTCGCAATGCAGGCTTTCAATTGTACCTTTGTTTAAGTGCCAGTTTACAAGTGTAATAAACGCCTTCCAAGACGATTCGTGTAGAGGGTGCTTTTGTTCTTTATTTCCCAACTGCAGTACAGCACAGACCCCGCTCCTTCCCCTTCCGAATATTCTCCCGGGTGACAACGCCCTTAGACGATGCATATCTCCGATCCGCTGGCATAGTCCGCCCTACTCTCTCGGCCTTGCCGCTGGCTGGCGGCGTGCCGGAGGGAAGACGCGAGCTCCGCTGGGGATCCGCCAAGTGGTCGGGCGGCGAAGAGAGGAGACGACGAGCAGCGATGTAGTTGGACCCAAGGCTCCCCACACTGACCACGAGTCCTCCTCCACCCCTGCTTATATTCCGCCGGGCGCAGCTAGGCTCCGCCTCTGGCCACGCCCTCTCATGGAATCTTCTCGATGGTTCCCGAAGCATCTCTCCCGACTCCGCCCATCACCTTGGGCCCAGATACTGTTCCCTCTTAGGATTGGATGGTTTTACATAATGGTGCCTGTACCGAGTTACCCTTTTACAACCAATGGATGGCGTTCTCTCATTACATCACCCCCCCCCCCCCCCAATAATAAAAGACTAGCCATCCCGGCTAAAAATAACAACACACGTACGCAATATGAGACGCGAACAAGGGAGAACTCGTGGTGTGCGTTCGGAGAATGAGCTCCAGGAGGAATAAGAATCCGACAAAATACACAACCAATAACAAGGGGACATGGGGTAAAGAGACCAAACCAACAACGTGAAAAAAATAACAAGAAGACCAACACGGTTCACTTCAATGAAATCGCAACATCTTGGAACGAGTCCGTGATGCCAGGCCGTCGACGGCAGCGGTGTCCTGCTCCAACCCAGTCGGCACGCCGGGCAGCAGAATAGGTGGCGGAGGAGCGCAAGGCTCCACCGCAGCAGGGTCGGTCTAGGCGAGGTCACAGGCTGCATCGGTGGTCACAGGTTTGGATACTGTGGACGGCAAAACAGAATATTTCGGGCGCCCACCCTGCAACTGCACTGTCCCCGGTCCGTCGGACACGTCAGACCCCGGCAGTCCAATCATTGGGGATGAAGAAGTAACCTGCGGAGGGATAAATGGCTTCAACCGAGAGGGGTGGATGAACCAACGTCGGGGGCCGGCCTGGAAATGCACACATTGCGGACGTTTAATCTCGACCACCTCCATAGGTCCTTGCCAAGGCTTATGTAACTTAAAGGAGGTGCCAACAGGCACCTGAGGGCAATGTAGCCAAGCCCTGTTGCCGACGGACCACGGCATGTCATCGCCCGACCTGCGCGTATAACATTCATTGCACGCCTGCGTTTTGGCGGTATTCATCCTGGCATTCTCCCGAGCCTCGGAAATACATTGCAAGGAAACGCGGACGTGTTCCGTCAGTTTAGATTTAACATTATCCAGCGGCGATCCCAATTGAGTATCTATAGGGGGCACATTTTCTGTCCCATACATAAGGAAAAATGGCGAAAATCCCGTGGAAGTGTGTGGGGCCATCCTGTACGCGGCCAGCGTGCTTGGCACATGCAAATCCCAATCAGCTTGTTTGGCATCCACCGTCTGACAGAGCATGACAGACAAAGTCCTATTCAGACGTTCAACCAACTCATCTGTCTGTGGATGGTATGGTGACGTTCTGATTTTCTTAGTGCCCAAAGCGTCACAGACCTCACGTAACAACTTAGAGGAGAAATTCCGATCTTGGACTGTAAGCAGCTGTTTGGGAGCACCTTTGTCCATGACATAACCGTTCAAAAACGTGTCACCAATAGGCCATCAAGAAAAATATTCCACTCCCACCAAAAATAATTTGTTACCCCTAGGAGTGACCAGAAAAGGGCCAAGAACATCGAGCTCCACCAGTTCGTTAATACGCGAAAGCGAAATAGATTGCAGCGGTGGATGATATTTGCACTGCGGCGGTTTCCTTCGTGCGCATTCCATATATCCTTGGACTCATTTGGAGACATTGGCTGTCATCCCCAGCCAATAATAATCACGCTGCAACGTCAACAAGGATTTTTGGACGCTGAGGTACAACAACTTCTCCTCGTGCAGCGTACGAACCAAGTTATTACGGAGAGCAACGGGAACAACAATCCGCCAGCGATTTAGCATCTCCTCTCTCCACATAAAAAGGCCATCGTGGAGAATCAATCAGCCCCTTTCATTCGAGGCGGAAGCTGCCTGCGCATGCTCTGCATGACGCCGCAAACTTCAGCTGCTCGCGCACCCACACAAAGCGAGGAAGCTGCAAAACACTGTCAACTGACGCGGCCGTGCCAGCAGGTCCCAAACCGGCTATCGCAGACATGGCACGCGTCTGCGGCACAGAGGGCCCACAACGGATCATCCCAGACAAACATGGACAATGAGGCGACTGTGGTAATCGCAACAAAACATCTGCGTTGAAATGTCGAGTACCCTTATGATACACCACGCAGAATGAGAAATCCTGCAAGAATTCAAGCCAACGAGAAAGTTGGCCAGCCGGCTGTTCGACTTTCAAGGAATATTGGAGGGCCGCATGATCCGTACTGACAACAAATTCTCTGCCATAGAGGTAAGGCCTGTATTGCCGAACGAAATAAACAATGGCCAAAAGTTCCCTCCGGGTGACACAATAACGACGTTCCGCAGGAGAAAGGACACAGCTGCCGTACGCGACCACCGTCTCGACCCCGTTTTAGACCTGAGATAAAATTGCACCTGTAATAACAGCTATAGAGGGTTCACGTGGGGATTGGCTTGCCGGTCCTGCTTTGTAGCCAATAAGGGATGAGCCAGGGAGCATGGCCTCGGCGTGATCGCGGCATGTTAGCAAGGGTGATTGGCCTGGCCAATCGGGGCCTCAGCTAATGGGGAGCCGGATCAGAGGCGTGGTCCCGGGATTGACAGGGAACCATCGGGAACGGTCAACGCTGTCTATGGAGGATTGGCTGGGGGGTACCACGTGACGAAGGGATTAAGAGAGAGAGAGCAGTCGAGAGCAGACTTGGGAACGAGAAGAGCAGGAGTCACGCGCGTACGGGGGCTCTGGGTGCCACGTGTGCGGTGGGGACTTGGCGGGAAGTCTGCCCTCTCTCCGTTGTCTGCCAGCAACGGAGAGTGTGTGTGTAAAGTGTAACTGTGGAAGTTGAAAATTAAAAGGACTGATTCCGGAAGCCGTCTCAAGAAGGTTTATTACACACCGATGCCCGTGTCACTAGCGTCGGTGTCAAGGATGAATGGCAGGGAGACATCGGGAAACTTGAATGTGGGCGCGTCAGACAGCCGTTTGCGGAGGGCTAAAAAGCAGCCTCTTCCTCCGGACCCCATTTGAATCTCTGGTTTTTAGCAGTCAGCGCATGCAAGGGTTTAGCGACCATAGCGAAATGCGGCACGAACCTACGGTGATATGACACAAATCCGACTAAACTGTGCACATCACCCACACATGCGGGGGTTGGCCAATCGTTAACACAGGCTGTTTTCTCCGGGTCCGTGGCGATGCCCTCGGCGCTGACAATGTGACCCAAATAACGTACTGAATTATGTAGACATTCAGCCGGTTTAAACTTCAAATTATCAGAGTGCATTCTATCAAAGACGGAACGCAGACGCCGGAGATGTTCGTCAAAAGTGTGGCTAAATACAATGACATCGTCTAAATAAATGAGACAAGTGTCCCACTGCAGGCCGGTCAAGACGAGCCCCATCAAACGCTGAAAGGTGGCCGGAGCCGAATTCAAGCCCATCGGAAGGCAATTGAACTGAAAGATACCCTTGGGCATGCAGAACATGGTTTTTGGTTTGGACGAGTCATCCAGGGGTCTTTGCCAAAACCCTGAAGACAGATTGAGAGTGGAAAAATATCGCGCCATGGACAGAGGATCCAGGGAGTCGTCCATGCGCAGGAGCGGATATGCGTTGGCCACTTAAACTTTGTTTAACTTACGCAAGTCAACACAAAATCTGAGACCACTGTCTTTCTTTTTGACAAGCATGACAAGTGCTCCCCAAGGGCTATTCGATGGAGAAATAATATTGGCGGTCATTGACCGCCTGTTGCACGCGTTCCTTTTCAACAGGGCTCAACCGGTACGAGTTTTGGCAAATAGGGCCGGCCTCACCTGTGTCAATATGGTGAGACAACAGGGATGTACGACCAAGATCAAATTCACTCTTACTGAAGACATCTGAAAACTCGCACAGAAGTGAATGCAATTTGTTCCGTTGCTCGGAAGACAAGAACAAATTCTCCCCACACAAAGCGACGGCCCACCGGTCATCCACAATATCACAAGGATGAGTCGCCCCCACAACATGTCGTGGTTCAACCTTGTCGCGGTCCTAAAATGCGGTGGTGGCATGAGCCAACACTGTACCAGACGGGAACTACAACGGCATTCGGGCCCCTGTTAAGCACTTGCAAAAACGGGGCCTGCTCGGAGTGAAGAATCGTCTGTGCGCCGACGAGCGCTAGACCCCAGGTCGCTGTGTTCGACGGGGTCAGAAGGACTCCAGCCATCGAATCGACACTTTCAATCCCCCTACGATAATGCAACGGCACAAGCATTTGGGATCCTGGTGGGATCTTGACTATGACATCAACGAGGGTTTGTACCGCAACGCTCAACGATGAACGGAATAGTAGTGGCGGCAAAAATAATAACTTGCGACCCGAGGGTATTTCCAGGCAACCCTGATCCACCAGGATTTTAACAGGCATCCTTCTGAGAAAATTATTACCCAATAAACAGAGTGCAGCCAAAGACCTCGAAATTAGAACAGGTCCCAATATGGCTACCTCGCCAATTTTAATGCGGGCATCCACCTGCCCAATGATACCCATGCTACCCCCATTCCCCGCGACACAAGCGTCAATGACTGGACAAATTTGAGTAACAGGGATCGATAGCAATTGAAAAATAACATCTGAAATAATGGTGGCGGAAGCCCCCGTGTCCACCAGGACGTGCACCTCCACCTCTTGTACTGAACCCAACACTGCCGAGGACCCCGCAGCCGCGGCAACCACGCGATATGCCAATTTCTTCCATTATGCTATCGAACTAGGCCATGCCTGCGCAACCGGACCCGGTCGCACGATGTCAACATGCGATCTGTGCCGTGAAGGAATGGCCCCCGAATCATGAGATGCCTGAGGTTGTGAAATGGGCCAGGTGTCCGACGTGTACCGACTCGCCTGAGGGGGTGGTGGTTGAGCCGTCGGAGGGGCAGAAGGCACCGGAGCAGCAACCGAAGTCGGAGATGGAGGGCGACTTCGGCATTCCTTAGCGAAGTGTCCCAGTAGTCCACCCCGGTCCTCGCGCTGACGTGGTCCCTCGTTCCCTAGGCGACGTGCAGCATCGCCCCATCATCGATTCCATTGAGGAACCACAGCAGCAAAATTACCATCAGAAGACGCATCACCAGGCAGAATCTCGACGACTTTACTCGGCAACCATCGCTGCAGGCTTTCGTGAGCGTGAAGACATCGGGCGGCTCATCGGGATGTTTGCATGTCGTGGCCACACGCAGGTAAGACCACCCCCATGTCCCTAGCCAAAGTCAGGATGCGTTCCATGGCAAGCGAGTCGAGGGCATCCGGATTCACGTCAGGGTAAGCGGCCACAGCCAAAGCCATCAGCGCACTACGGAATGTAAGAGGTATCTCGGAACTACCTCGCCGACATTGCAGAAACTTTCATCGTGTGTCGGAAGGTGGCTCGTAGACCTAGGCCATCTCGGCATATGCACCCTGCAGCGTGGACTTCTTCACCAGTGCCTCATCCTCCATCCCGAACCGAACGGAATGCCGCCTCAAATCTCCAAGTGAAGGCACTCCAGTCGCCTTAACTTGCGGGAATCGCACTTTGTGCACCACGCGGCTCGTCAAAAATGGCGGGCTCCGACCGCGCCCTTGCTGTGCCATCTGAAATGGCGGCGTCCAGCCGCGCGACCTCCTCAGCACGTGGAATGGCGATCGTCGCAGCTGCGGAAGAACTCGCTGCAACTCCGGCCTTAAAACCTCAGTCGCTACCACCCGGCGATGCATCAGGTGAACGCTCCGCCACCCTAGACATCGTCACGAGCGAAACCAACTGAAGGAGCACCGCCCGCAATGATTATAGCAGCTCCTCCACCCTCTTCCAGCTGTCTTCGGCCAACTGGGGTGTAGATGTTCCGTCCGCGCCGACCGCCTCCGGCGCAGCGACCTCACCCACCCTATAACCTGTAACTGGGACCACAAATCCCGGGGTCGGCAGGTCCTGGGTCTCCGCATCGTCGTCGGAAGACGCTACAGGTGGGTTCCGCTTTTTGTTTGGACATCGTCTGTAATGTTTTCTTCGTTTGAAGAACCACTTCTGACATGAATGTAATAAACACCTTCCGAGACGATTCGTGTACAGGGTGCTTTCGTTCTTTATTTCACAACTGCAGTACAGCACAGACCCCGCTCCTTCTCTCTTGGAATATTCTCCCGGATGACGCCCTTAGACGACGCGTATCTCCAATCCGCTGGCATAGTCCGCCCTACTCTCTCGGCCTCGCCGCTGGCTGGCGGTGTGCCGGAGGGAAGAGGCGAGCTCCGCTGGGGATCTGCCACGTGGTCGGGCGGCGAAGAGAGGAGACGACGAGCAGCGATGTAGTTGGACCCAAGGCTCCCCACACCGACCACGAGTCCTCCTCCGCCCCTGCTTATATTCCGCCGGGCGCAGCTAGGCTCCGTCTCTGGCCACGCCCTCTCATGGAATCTTCTCGATGGTTCCCGAAGCATCTCTCCCGACTCCGCCCATCACCTTTCGTCCAGATACTGTTCCCTTTATGGATCGGATGGTGTTACATAATGGTGCCTGTACCGAGTTACCCTTTTACAACCAATAAATGGCGCTCTCTCATTACACAAGCAAAGTCATTATCCATCTGCGAGTCCACATCACAGTCATGACCGTTATCAACTTACGTGACTTGCCATTTAATTTGTTATTCTCAAGAACGAAATAATAATTGTCATCTAGCATAAGTAACCCTCGTTAAATACCACATTGTTAATTTAGCACGCATAGGCAATCATTATACCAATCCTCACTCTTGTCATCTTACTTGATGCAATCACGAATGATCATAAATTGCCAGTGGTCTTAAATTTGTTTGTAATTAAATGCATCACTGTTATCACATTTTTTTTGGGTGCAATTGTGAACAACAACCATATCTGACATGAGTACATCTAATTGGTATAATCATTGGTTCACTGCAGCTCAAATACTCAGTCCTACAATGCATGTGGTGAAGTTATGAAATGTCCATGTGCTCAGCATTTGAAGGCCTCAAGACCAGCAACAATGTGTTCAGGGAGGCAGTTCCCATATCCAGAGAGCAGAGTGAAGGGAACTTCTTTCCAGGGAGCATGTTCTAGCAAGCTCAACCACTTCCAATTAGATCTACTCCTTGGGTGAAAATAAGCAACAATTTGTAGCTATCCATAAGAATCTCTCACCACTAAAGTGTCACTCCACAGAACAGCGAGTTACAGGCAGTTATCTATATAATTAACACCACATACAAGTTCAACACACGAGTCTCTCAACGCACGAGTCTCTCAATACGATCACCGTGTTGTAAACATTTTTTGAAATATTTAAATCACGTGACTCTAAGTACCTCCCTGCTCATTTGCAGGTATCCTCTTTTCATCTCTCTCTCAATTCCCATGGCCTCTTCAAATTTTTCGATAAATGAATTACTCTGCTGACATCATAATAGTGGGAGCCACTGTGGCGAGATGTTATGTGAGATCTCAGCCATTGTCAGGAGCAGTAATTGTTCTTGTTATCATTATAATTCCCCCTATCAGCAGTGGTTTAAATGCGATGGTGTACGACGGTACACGCCATGCTGGAACATCTCACAATCCCACACAAGCATGCCGGCACTATTGACGCTCGGGTCCTATTCCTGCGCTGCGATGTTTCCGCGGAGGGGAAACGGCAGTGGACGTGAGCTACTGCAGGACAAATAGGTTTCGTTGTGGTGCTTCTGCATTCCCATTCCTACCACTGCCTATCGGCATCAATCTACAATGTTCACTGTGTCATGCAGGTGGGGCTGAGCACTCACCTTGATGTGTTGATCGGAATCCAGACTGGAGTAGGTCACAAGGTAGTAGTCTACCAGCCCCTCGCAGCTCCACGCGAGGCTCACGGAAGTCTGCGTCACGTTCAGGATGTTGACCGCCCTGGGGGAATCTGGGCCTGCGGAGAGAGGAGACGGAACGCCGCTACAGCCCAGCCAGCCCAGGCAAGCCCAGCCAACATGGCCACCTCGGCCAGCCCGGCCAGTCCGGTTAGCACGGCCAACATAGCCAGCTCAGCCAACCCAGCAGCAACTCCCACACTCTATACTCTCCTCACAGTGCATACGCTGCCTTCATAAGCGGCTTCATGAATTAGACAGCAGCGTATCATTAGGTAAGTTGTGACATTTCGTTATTGGTGTTTCTATGCTTAAACCATAACGTGTTGAAACAGCTGCTTTGTAAAATATACCTTTGAGAGAAGCACAATAAAAAGTATTTAATCATCGGAATAATCATTCGCGTAATTGTGGAGAAAATAAATAACCAAATAAATAAGTGGGCAATGTATCATATTATCTGCTTATTTATTCAGATATTAACTAGGGTTGCTCTGATACAATTATAATGATGTGGCAATGCATTATTACAATATCTGTTTCCCATTACTTTGTTAATGTATTCCTAAATATTATTGTATTGCTTTGTGCTTTGCTGTGCTTCTAGTATAATGATTGTAAGTAAAACTTCTTTCAGCTTCAGGTCACTCATCATAAGCCTGCCATGAATCTTATAACCAGGACAATTTTACGATCTGCAATGCTTATAACATACATGCTGTTGGTTTACACAAGAAAACACAACACATGCTGTTGGTTTACACAAGAAAACACAACAATTACATGATCTATCGCTATTTATTTACAACTTTAACTACTGTGTTAGCAAGGTCACAAATATTTTGGCATGAAAATAAGCATTTTTTATTTAAATAAAATAAAGAATTGCCAGTATTTTGAAAAAACACAGTGTGATTATCGTGGGTCTTATATCGTATGATATATCAGAGTTAACATTGCATTAATCATAGCAACAACAACATGGTTTTAAAGCATATCCACAATTCTATTCCCTCATCTCGCTATTGTGTGCTGATTTCAGCCATTGGTGCGCTGCAAAGCGTAGAATATACAATTTTCAGAAGTAGCCAAAACGTTAATTATTTAGGACATAAAATTTGTAACATGAAATATTTATGTGAAAACGTCAATACAAATGCCATTGATTCATAACTGATTGATTTGTTTTTTTTACCTGTGCGACGACAAGCAAAGTTGTACAAGAGACATGTTGATTGATAGCCGTCCATTATGATGAACCTTTGTCAGTGTTCACTCCTCCCCCACCCACACGGGGGCCCATCCACGCATTGGAGGCCCAGCGCTACTCACTGGTGCTGATGACGTGATGCGCAGAGACGTTGTGCCTGTGCTGGGTAAAGGCCACTACCGAGATGTTGTACAAGTCCCCCGGCGTGACGAGCACGCTGGCCTCCATGACCTTCCTCTCCACCTGCGCACGGGCCACGACACGGCGCTCCCCGGCTGTAAAACATTTCTACCACTTCCAACGATTCACGGACCTCAAGCATTCAAATCTTTTTTTAGAGCGTGAAACATTCACCGATGCCCCGAACCCGATTGTTCCCCTCTGCCCATGATAGGGCAGTGAGCCTGAGTGCTCTCATAATAAAACGTTATTCTAGGTTAGATCGCACAAGTATAAATGTGTCGTTAACCCACCACCACCCGACACAATCAATTTGTCACTCAAACAAAACATGACAATTAGCGACTACTTCAGCACACCAGTGTGTTGGAGAGTAAACCCACAACATTTAAAAATTTGAATGCGACGTTTCCCTGGTAACTACAACCAGCTTCATCGGGCGAATTGTGCCAGAATTGTTCGGGATCAATTCGAATAACATTTTAACACGTAGACTTCCACGACCAATATCATCCATAATATAGGTTTTTGGGTCAGATCACGTAAAAACGTCATATTCAGATTGTAAATGTTGTGGCTTGGCTCTTCAACACACCAGTGTGCTGTACTAGTGACGAATTGGCACGTTCTGTTTACGTGACAACCCTTACTAGTTGGCTGTGTCGGGTGGTGGCGTGTTTTAATGACACATTTATATATTTACGCGATCTAACCCAAAAACCAATATTATCGACTAACATTGGTCGCGAAAGTCGACGTGTTATACGGAGTGCTCTCTTCCCTTCTCTGATCGTGAGGGCATACTAACGCGTAATGTCAACCGTTTGTTTGTTCTATGATGTCTCGCCCTTCCTCTGTTATTCCTTCTGTACCCTTGGATCTTGACCAACAATTAACAATTGTTCACTAAAAAAGATAAACATTCATTAATAAGACTCCCTAAAAATGAACAAATATATCCTAAAAACTATACTTAACAATTTTTTTTATTTAACCAGGTAAGGCTCACTGAGCAATATACCTCATTTTCAGAAGCAACCTGGACACAAATGTACGTGTGTTGAATTTATTTCACACCGTACATAGCCAACCGTGATATCTCAATGAAGTGGCTCATCATGTGTAAATTAACATCAGCCAAATACTCTAAACGCATGTTTATAAATGTGGAGGAAAAAACCCGAGGACCCGGAGAAAAATCCACGCGACCACGGGGAGAACATGCAAACTCCAAATATACAACAGGCATCAGGGTCGGGATCATACCCACGGCCTACTGTATATCAGGCGAGGTAGTTAACATTTAGCCACCGTGGTGTCCACGGCAACGTTAATAAATGCATACACTATTTTGTAAAACCATAGCTTTTACAAAAGTACTGTATTTGGATAAAACACTAAAAGTAAGCCAAATATGGTTGATAGATTTCAACATCATTGGTGAAACTTATTACAATGGAGGTTGGATATAAGCACATGTGCAGTGGCATCTGTGGATGCCACTGCAGGATATGTTAAGCCGGCCTGTGTGAGGCGAGACACGCGCCGCTCACGCCGCCAACAGCGGTGCAGGAGGAGCGCAGTGCCGGGCCTAGCAAGGGCCGGCAGAGATCGTCTGAGGAGGATGGAGAGCACTGCGCTCTGCGTGCAGTGCCAGCCTCTGTAAAGGGTAGGGGGCCCTGGGGCTGAAGATGAGACCCCTCTAGATAGCCCGAGAAGGGAGGCGTGGAAAAGGGCAGACTGGAATATAAACCGGACCCCCGAACAGGTTAGGGGGGCTGCCGATGAGGAGAAGCCGGAAGCCATCATGCCGGGAGAAGACCTGCCGTTAGATGAGACCCGGACCCAAGCCAGGGTCCGGTCGTGGCTAGCTACCCCGTGCAGCTTGGGAGGATTAGCCCGGAGGAGATACCTCCCTAGGGCAGCTATACACTTTCGTGTGTATGAGGGGAAGTTGTAATAATCGTGTTGCCTCCACGCCGTGTCTCTGACCTGGACACTACACGGTTCTGATTTAAGCCAAGGGAAACTTGGCTTATATCAGCACACCTGGCTTGCTCCCAAGGGGTTTGCCTCTATAGATCTTCTACTGTATTTCCTTAAAAATATATCTATAAATGATTCAGCACCATAACATATATTTCCAAGAATACAGTGTCCAATCGTATATAAATAAGGATATGTGTGCGTATTACGACGGATTGTATTGTTTATACAGCCAACAGAACATGTAATTTTAGACAATTATGGGAGGAGGAATTCCAAAGAGAAGCGTGGTGACCTGCAGTGGGGTGAGTGGGCGGTGAATGGGTGGATAGCTGAGTGCATTGTTGTAACCTGCATTGTGATGAGTGAGTGGGTGGGTAGCTGAGTGCGTTGTTGTGACTTGCATTGTGATGAGTGGGTGGGTGGCTGAGTGCGTTGTTGTGATCTGTAGTGTAATGGTTGAACACATTACGGATGAAATGAAACAGTCGGTTAGGTAAACCGAGTCCTCAACGTGGGTGAAATCATCAATGAGAACAGCAACCACGGTAGTAGCGACAGACGAGTGACAAGGAGGCCCACGGACCACCAGCAAACGATCTGGAAGAAAAACAACATTGGCGAAGCAGCGACGCAAGCACCAAAAAACAAACGCACAAAAGGGCGGCACGAATATACGAGATGTGCTCACGTCCTTCTTGTAGACGCGGAGTCCCGACACGACGAGCTCCCAGCGCAGCAGGCGGGAGTGCGCGGAGGAGACGCTGGGGTGGCGGTAACGCCAGCGCACCCGCAGCACTCGCCGCTCGTACGCCACCTCCACGATCTCAGGAGACAGCGGAGCTGGGGGGGGGGAGGCACTCAACTATTAGGAAAACACCGGGAGCTGTGAACTTGTAAGCCATGTAGATTGAAAACTCATTTTGTTAGAACTGCTTTTTGTGCTTAGTTTTTGTCCCCCCCTCCCCCCACACCTCCGATTAAGTATGGTTGGTGCGAATTAAACATCATACATATAACTATCGCAAAGGGTAACAGTTCGTAGAGTAATGTGCAGCATACATGTCATTCCAATTTTGAAACACCATCATTTTCTGCGATAGGTTGTCTGAAAGAATTAATTAATGCATTATGTAAGGTTGAAGCATCTAACTGATTTCATGAAATCACATTTCTAATGAATTTAACACATTATCTCTAAGTTATCAACACTCATAACGACAGTCATATTATCAAGAACATATAAATGATATTGTATATTTTTTTATGAAATCATATGTACTTTCTTATCTTTTTGAGATATTTTTATACATGTGTTTGAGTTGTATTTGTTTTCCCATTATGGTTTTCCCACGTGTAATTTCACCAGGGTCGTGACAGTACTGTTTACAGCTCAGATGCACATCCATTATTTGGGCACAACTAGAGATCAAAGCTTAAGAGCCTCCATGCCAAGATGAGCATTTAGCATTGCTCATTTCCATTGGCAATCTTGAGCTTCGGAGGTGAACATTACTTATTCATATGGCTGGAACCATTCTTCTCTGGAGGAAAACCATGGATTACCCACCAAGTGCCTTTCATCCAGAAAGTTATATTTGTGACACCCTCTGCACCGCTGTGATGAGGCTCTCATCGAAGTGCGTGAACAAAGCCATAATTCTGTTCTTACTGCCAAGATCTGACCCGTATGAATCGTAGATTTGTAAATGTATGTCCGTATAACATTTGCGTGTACGTATCACTCTGACGGCCTGGGAAACCATTGCAATCGTGGGATATTCCTCATCGAGGGATATTATCCAGGGCAAAACTTTTAATTGAAAACATATATATATATATACACGGTGCATTCATCGTGATTCGATCATGAGAAATAAAACGAGGGCCGCACTGTGGGGAATCTGCCGTGAGGTGTTCACACCGCTTGTTGTATATTTGGAGTTTACATGTTCTACCCTTGGTCGCATGGATTATTCTCAGGGTCCTCTGGGTTTTCCTTCCACATTTAGAATCAACATGCGTTTTGAGTATTTGGCTACTATACATTTCTACGTGATAAGTCACTTCGTTGAGCTATCATTTGGGGCCAGGTCGCTTAAAAAAAGAGCTATATAGCTCAGTGGGCCTTACCTGGTAAACTAGCAATAGTTTGTAGTCGTTTTTAGTTCAGTGTATTTTATGGACTGCATTTGGCTGCTGTGGTTTACTCACACGTGACATGAATAAGCGATGAATCTGGACAGCAAACCCGTGCCGTGGAATTTTCTCCACTCTGCATCATGACCCTAATGACATATTCCCAAGCAGGGATCAGATCTTCGAGCTCCTGGAAACACAAGCAGAGATGGGAACAAGCAGGTTAATAGAGACGTGGACATTACCTGCGTATGCAAAGTATCGTAGATCATGCACCACTTTCCACAATGCACGTAAGCCACAAATTCTCATCGCAGCCACAGAAGGCACGGCGTGGACCACAGCAATACATTTATTTTTCAATATAATTTAATGATCCTGAGGCTGTTACAGAATCCATTTCGCCTTGAATGGAGATGCAGCAATTACCATTTATATGTTTGCAGAATCTACATGTAATTCATAAGCTGTTAGATAATTCTCATCTCATTGGCGATTCCTAAAGGTCAAAAGTCACCCCCCTTCATCCCTCGTATAGCCCTAAACAGGCTGTCGGGGCAAAGTGCCCACACGGCACACGAGAGCTCATGCTTACACACCGCACCAGGTACTCGCTGAAGGCTGAGTCGACCTAGGGGAGGCACAAAACCGGTTTAGATATTCATAAACTCGGATCAACTGGGTGTATGGTGCATCGCGCTAAACGCTTCACTACCGCTCCCCACCGATTACCATTTATATCCGCCAGTGATTCCCAATGATATCTAGTAACACATGCTGCTGGATAACATGGGTCTGCAAAGCCAACATGTCGATGGACTAAAGTGTTATTTTATTTATCTGTGGAGATGCAGAACGGAGCTATGTTTATGCTCGCTGTGACCCATATTGTACACGCCTCACCAGTGCTCCCACCATCATTTTTTTTTCCTGCCTCAGCAGCTCTCCCGCTATTTTTTCACCTGATGGCGATTGCTTGTGTTGCGATCGAAACGTCGTGATTTGTTTTATTTCATATTTTATACCTACGTGACTTTACCAAAAGAACCAAAGAGTATGGATCTCTGCAGTCACGAAAACTTCAAATCTATATCTCTCTCTTTTGTGTCACTAGCCATCATTTTCCTATTATTTCTGTCTCAAAAGTTAAAACATTAACAATTTCTATTAACACGTTAACATTAAATTATTTAAATATGATTAAAACAATACTTAGGAATGCACTTTTTATACATTTAATGTTATACATTTGGGCGTGAACAAAAATTGTCATTCTTAAAATAAATAAATTTACTTTCATGAAAGGTTAAAGGGATTATTTAAAATACGAATATAGTCATACAATAAAACTTACATAGTGTATTTTACAACAAGCCATCGCAAGGTGAATTTTAATCTAAGCAAATACAAAAAAAAATTCCTTAAGACGGCCACCGATATCTCACCAGTGCGGTTTGTCTCTTGGTGTTGTTTTCCGCGATGTCGATTTGCCTCATGATGGACTCTTGTTGGTGCAGGTCAAAGTAGAACAGCTGGACAATGTATCTGGTGAAGAACACCACCTGAGGGATCTTCCACGACAGCTTCACAGTGAAGGGGTCCAAGCCTTCCGCCTTCAGTTCCTTTACTCCTGTTGGCACTTAGAAAAGAAAAAAAATGTAAACTGCTTGAAATGTACAATTCAAGCATTCTAACAGCAGACTCAACGTTGAGCATTAAAAGCGGGCATGGCTCTGAAAGAGAAGCATCGAAGTGTCTGGCCGGTTAGTTTGTCGTAGCTCACACGAAATACATACTTTCTCACAAAAAATTCTGAAAGCATGGCCACAATCAACTTGAAAGTGAAGCCCAACATTGTATTCATAACAAACACAAATCCTGACAGCAATTGCAATGCGCATGTGATATCTCTGCTGAATACTTCTACTTGCTCAGGTGAACCGTGTGTGTATGTTTGATGAACTTATTTTTCTAGCCAACCGTGATAATGTGGGGTGCGGGGGAAGGACAACAAACTGAACACAAAAAAGCAGCTCGAGAAAAATGCGTTTTTAATATTTTAATATGCAGGGTGGCCCATAAGGCTGGAATCATATGGAAAAATAACAAATTCATATTTTTTTGTTTCTGCATGCACAAGATGTCTCTGAGTAAGGAAGAACGAGTCCAGATAAATCTCCTCGTAGGAAATCGGAGTCAGAGGGAGGTCGCTGTTGAATTTAACAGACTGCATCCAGATCGCGAGCCAATAACACAGAGATGTGTTTTTCCGACTTGTGGGACACCCTGTAGGTGATTTAAAAGTGCATAGCTCCAGCGACTTCCTAAGATCGGAAGGAAGAGCGTTCCAGACGGCCGCAGAAGTGCATCTGAAAGCGCGCGATGCCAGTGGCCGTCTTTGTTTGATAGCTAGCCAAAAAGCCACTGCCAGTGATAGCCTAGCTGCAGGCTTCCTGGTGACTACCAACATTATTCAAGTTAAAAGTTTATTTTGTGTAACTGGGTGAGAACTCTGGTGACCAGGAGTCTCATTTACGAGAGTGGCCTGGGTCACCAACATGATAAAAGCAAAACCAATAAGAAATCAGCAAAAAAAAACCCCATCGCATCTTTCACATGGGAACTGAAAATATTGAAACGTAATTTCTTGCAGTGCAAATAGGCTTGGACAGATCATCTCCAGATTGATCACAGCGCGGTACAATACTCAGCTGGAGAAACGTTAACGTTAAGCAGATACAAATTTTCGGTGACTACAACACCAATATGTAAAACAAACAAGGACAGATTTCGAATGCAAATGGCAAGTGAGATATGCCAAATGCAATTGCGTTTTCAGCATTGCTCTTAGAAATGCATGCTCTTTCAATATTATATTACAGGAATATAGATTAAACGATACTCTGGGGTAGTGGTACAGGAACCCTTGTAAGAGGGGTCTCATCTGAAGCCAAAGGCTATGCTCATCACTGTGTGCTGTGTCTGCACAAACACTTTTATCCAGGGACACGCAAGAGCCAGTAGGATCAGTAATGTTTTTTTGTAATTGCTTGCATAACTCTATTACCTATACCAAGAAAGGAAGTAATCAAGGCCATTACTAATAGTTTAAAATGTAATTTTTTTAAAATAAAAAAAATAATTAATTAAATAAAATATCCACATATTAGGGGGGAAAAAAACTATCCAGATAAAGCAGATCCCTGAAAATTCAAGCCCCTTCTGTGCACCAAGCCAAAAGCCAGATCATACGTGCTTCAGGATATCGTTTATAATTGTAAGATAAGTCATATATTATATTTGAACGTGGATGGACATTATTTAAAGTGCAAGTTTGAGTAGGATGACTATGTATATTGAACTTCGTTTGCACAGTACGTAGACAACCATGCTAATTGGAGGTGCGGGCTAAAACTGAAATGTATATATAATAATACAAAAACTTACAGCCCTTTGTCAATTCACTGCTGGATGAAGGCCTCCTCATCCCACGTCAATTTTTTTAACCAAAATTCACCACGCTGATCAGCGTGTATTAGTGAGATGGCTAAAATATCACCGATTTTAGCTGTGAATTGAACTACTGTACACATGCTTGAATACAATCACATCTATGATTTCTCATCCATACTGTAAAGTGCTCCGTTATATGACAATCTTCAAGTTATTTCACTGATTCATCCCTGAATCAGATCAAATTAATATCTTGAAAATGATTTTCCACATTGTGCATACCTATCTCACCTTGAGTTATCTGTGGTGCCGCATACAAGTGTGGGCGCCACGGTCGCGAGATGTTAACCACCTCGCCTGGTAAACAGGAAGTCGTGGTTTCGATTCTGACCCTGACGCCTGCTGTATATTTGAAGTTTGCATGTTCTCCCCATGGACAAGTGAATTTTTCTCCGGGTGCTCCGGTTTTTCCCTCCACATTTAGAATCAACATGCGTTTAGAGTAATTGGCTGCTTTAAGTGTCCACGTAATTAGCCACTTCATTGAGCTATCAATTGGTCAGGTGAACCGTATCTGTTTCAGTTTAATTTAAGTGATCTGACCCTTTAGAGACCACGGTTGGGGGCTCGTAGTTTCATAAATTCCCCACTGGGTTGCGAGATGATGGTGCAATACATGGGTCCAGTGAACCTGCACTGTGCGGACCTTGCCCTCATACGCAAGGATTTTCCCTTGGCACATCGGTTTCTACCCACAAGTAAACTACCCAACGAAAAGGGATAAGGAAAACAACCCAGTGCGTAACCCTCCTCAAAAGTGTCCTGAGACTCAATTCAGGCTGTGTTGGATAAATTAATAAATTACCTTTCTAAACTTCATTGCCTTGCCCCTCGCCCCCTACACCATGAACTCAATTTCAATAACAAAAGCCAACATTACAAAATAACCTCATGTACACTTCTTTGCTCACAAACCGTCTGCAATTCTTTCCTATCTGTATTTCCCTCTCCTTCCATTCTGTGAAACTGATATTTATATACACCCGATTTAATTAACGTTCTTTCTACACCAAGTAACGATGCCCTTTTAATAAATACCTAATTGTATCCATACCTGACAATTGTATTGTTGAACTTGACATGTTGATTATTGCATAACATCCAACGTGTCTTACGCCTGAACGAAAATAATAATGCATTACTAATAATATCTTGACATAAAGCTTTCGTGACTGCAGGAATTCATACTCTTTGGGTCTTTTGGTAAAGTCACGTAGATAGAAAAATGATACAATTAAAAAATCACGACGTTTAAATCGCCACACAAGCAATCGTCTTCAGGTGAAACAAGAGGGGCAATCTGTTGAGGCAGGCTGTTTATAAAGGTTTAGAGATGGGTGGGGCAGCGAATGTAAATGTAGGAGCGAGTATGAGAGAGCGAGTAGGAGAGATAAAATGTACTTGTAAATGTAAGCTCGGTTCAAATCGGAGCAATCTTATTCTCTCTGAGATCAGGGTTAGGCCGGCCCTGAACAGGATCCGTTTAGTATTAGAAGTGACAGCAGTAGATGTGAGTGTAAAGGCAATCGGTATTACATTGGTGTCGCGGCATCTCAGAGAGAATAAGATTGCTCCTATTTGAACCGAGCTTACATTTACAAGCAACTTTTCTCTCTCCTACTCGCTCTCTCCTACTCGCTCCTACATTAACATTCGCTGCCCCACCCATCTCTAAACCTTTATAAACAGCCTGCCTCAACAGATTCCCCCCTCTTTTTCACCTGAAGATGATTGCTTGTGTGGCGATTGAAACGTCGTGATTTTTTTAAATTTTCATTATTTTTCTATCTACGTGACTTTACCAAAATACCCAAAGAGTACTACTAATATGTTACAGCCCTTTGTCAATAACGCCATGGAGGGGGGGGTTGACCATACTTCACCACACTAGTCATTGCAGTTTGAAGAGGGGCCCAGGTCAGATTGAGATGTCACTTGGCCACTGATGGTAACTGTGGGCCTACTAAGGGTTCAGAGTTCAGGACTCTGACCACTGCACAACCCATGTATGTATTGTCAACATGTAATTTTAAAGACCATAATCGCCAAACATTTTACCCAATTTCATTTTCCTCCCCCGACTTTATTTGAGGGTTATGCCTTACATTAACGATTGCAAAATGAAACTAAATATTTTTTTAATTTTATCAGGTAAGGCCCACTGAGGTATGTGGCTTTTTGTCAGCAGCGACCTGGCCACAAATGATAGCTCAACGATGCGGCTCATCGTGTGTAAATGTGTAGCAGCCAAATACTCTAAACGCTTGCTTCTAAATGTAGAGGGAAAAACTGGAGGACTCGGAGAAAAAGACATGCGGCCACGGGGAGAACACGCACATTCCAAATATACAGGGATCAGGGCTGGGATCGAACCGACGACCTCCTGTATACCAAGCAAGGCAGTTAACATCTTGCCACTGTGGCGCCCTTCAGACCTTGATACTTCAGGTCAAAAAAACGAGAGTAAATTTAACTGAAGGTGTTGCTGTAGAGACTGCCAGAGTATCATGAATGCCATTTTGACTAAGGGTGCTGCTGCAGTGGTGTAACGGCTAGCGCACTGGACTTTAAATCCAGAGGTCACCGGTTCAATTCCAACTCCCGGCGAGGTGGTTAAAATGATAATGCAAGTTTTTGAAATCCTCTGCCTCTGTCCACCCAGCTGTATAAATTGGTACACCACAGTTAGATGATCGGCAGGTGGCTTGTGGTGGGGTACAATGTGGGTACTGCCACCACTTCCAAGATGACCGGTGTGCAAGAGTAGGCTCACTGGAGCTTGCTCTGGTGGAGGCCCTTCTCTCTACACCGCCTCACAATGAAATTACGTGCAACGCGTTAACGAAATGCAAATCGGCCAAGAAGGCACACTATCACCAGGTCCGTTGACATTCGAAGTCGTTTTTGTAAAAAAATTTGATTGAAGTCTAATTAGGATTAAACATAGAGTATTACCCATCTCGGTCAGGCTGATGACAAACAATGGGAATGAACCTCAGAATATGATTTATCAACAACACATTCGTTTAGAAAATCATACGGAAGTTAAAAATATATATTAAAAGTCACGTACAGCAAGTTGACTGTTCGGGAAGGTCAATGGTGGTGAATGGGAGGGCTTAAAAATCAAAAATGCCACCAATGGGCTTTTCGTTGCAAACGTTGGGACGGGAATCACAGTACCGATTAAAATAACTCTGCTCGATCACAAGAGACACAAAACTTTATTTGGGCAAAGCCACGCCCAATGACTCCATATATGGGGCCTGAACATTAACATGCATCATTATTTCGGCGTGAAACAAATCCACTTATTTTATCCTGCAACCGTAACACTATCCATCATTAATTCGGCTTGAAAACAACAACAACATGATTTATCATTCATTCTGTCGCGGGATGTCCTGCGAGCCCCACCCGTGCGGAAGCTGTAGGTCTCCGACTCGCGACCCCGCACGCCGCCCCAGCGCAGCGACACGCGCACCCCGTAGAGCCGCCCCGGCGTGAGCCCTCGCAGCACGCGCTCCGTGCTGCTCCTCTGTGGGGTGGGTGCGAAAGGAGGGGAGGGGGTGCGAAAGGGGGAACGCGAGAGGGGAGGTTCGAAAGGAGGGGAGGGGGGTGTGAAAGGAGGGGAGGGGGTTCGAAAGGGGGGGAGAGGGTGCGAGAGGGGGGGTGCAAAAGGGGGGGGACCCCATGTGGTGGATTCAGCCGTGGGTTTTTGTACATTGCGAAAATACAACGTTGGGTTCAAACTATTCAAATATGACGACCTGGCCCATGCGTGGAATGATTAAGATCGTCCTACAACTCACCTGCAGGTGACAGCGGGCAGCCTCAGTCGCTATGCCCCCAGCCAATATCTTATTCAGAGCAAATCTGCAGAGATGTTGATTCAGCGATATCTCTGCGCACCAAAGCGATGCCTGTCTTAATGGTCTATCTGCCTCCACCTTGCACTTGTGTCCCGCCCACCATTATCTCTTCTTGCTGATTTTATCTGCGGTGCTTTGGATACAATGGTCTACTCCAGGGGTCGGCAAACCTTTGGCTCCGGAGCTGCATGTGGCTCTTCAAGGACTGCTTCGTGATGTTATTTATTATTCACACCCATTGCTGCTCTTGAAATAGAGCTTTTTTACGGAATAAAAAAAAAAAGGTCTCTTCCTGTTATGTTGGTTGCCCACACTCCACCCCCCACCAGTATACTACAGCACGGTGCATCGCAACGATAAGACACGCACAGCCTACCAGCGAACAGTCGTCGTGCTGCCCGCGGGCACTGCCGCAGTCAAGGGCCTGCAGCAGGACGAGGTAGGAGTCATACCGCGCCTCGCCGGGCGACTCCCAGAACACAGCAGCGGAGCCGGAGTCCAGCACCCGCACGCTCACGTTGCCGGGCTGCGCTGGCGCTTCCTGCAGCGAGCCGTTCGGGTGGCCCTCCGTGTCGATCGGCTCCAGCTGGCTGTGTGCTAAGGCACAAAAGACAGAGATTCAGATGATCGTCACTTGTGTTGGCCATGTAGAGTGGGAATCGAACTCGGGTCGCTGGGTTCGTAGCGCGAAGCCACCGCTCACACGCATGTACGCACGCACACACAGGAAGCAAATACAAATCTGGCGATTCAATGCGCTCCAACGTGAAAAGAAAATTCATCAGCTGGACTCGCTAAAACTACTCCATCTCAAGGAAGGCCAATAATTGAATATGAAAATGTATGAACTAATAATCGTGCAGCATGAATAGATGTCACTGTTTTACTTTTGAATAATGACTTGAAAGCTACATTATACATTGTAAATATGTATAATATGTTGTTGACGTTTTTGTTGATGTTTCAGAATCTGTGGGACAACGTTTATTGTATTTTGGATTTTTCCACCTCTTAAATCTGTAGTCTTCTTCTTTTGTACGGCTGCTGACGTAGATGCAGAACAACAACTACAATTTCACATTGAGGTGGTCAAGCCAGACTACCGCGTCAAATCTGTAGTGGATACACGTCATCACAAAAGCTATTTTGTCTCGTGAAAACAATCTTACTTTCAGATGTTTTTAATTCGATCAAGAATTCTCCCCTGAAAAAGGGTTTTATATTTAGATTAGCTCAGTGCCACTGCAACAGAGTGATGCTCTTATTGAAAGGTCAAAACTTCACAAATGGTGCTGGGAGTTGACTCACCCTTAAAATTCCTGTGATCAATAAAATGAGAACCATTTTCACGGATGAAAATCAACAGTTTATCTATGTACGAACTCATCGCTGTCATAGGAATGTGGAATTTACCACCGGTGTCGTTGAGCACCCGCACAATTTGCATTCTGGGGGACAGCGGGCTGCCAGCTTGCTCCTCCTCGGAGGTGAGGGAGGCTCCTCTGGCCTCTTTCAGAATCTCGTGGCATTTACGTTGGTAAACACAAATGTCCTTTTATCCCATGTCTTACATAATGCCATCACAGTAGGCCCTTGTCCAATGCCGCGGCAACTTTTCCCTTTCGCATACATCTTTCGCTCTAATTATACACCTGACAAGTTGCGCCATCCATGCACATCGTGGCCGTATCGCTGCAATCCATACAGCATCTACTGCCGCCTTGGACTGGTAAAAGGACCTTAACATTCAACTATGACGTATATATACAAACTGTTGCTTACATGCCATACGAAAGAAGAATACTGTTCATGCAGCATCAGTCACATTTATTTTTCAACAGCTCAGCAGAAGCATGACACACACCAAACTCCTGCCTCTCATCACATTTCAGACGTTTTACAACACTTTCACCCTGCTCTAAGATTATCACTTTACGCCGATCTTCAGTATTCTGTACTTTTTTGTAACTTACTTTTTGCCTGCTACCAGACATCTCACAGTGGTTCCACAGGCTCTTGTGATCCTTCCTAATCAACATCTCGCTAAATCAGCCACTCCTGAGATCCAGAGCTGACTGGTGCTCCTGCCAGCCATAGCGGGAACTCTTGGTAAATCATTTGCACTCTACTCAAAACTAAATTGCGTCGTACTATAGATGCCGTTTATATGGAGCATTCTGCTGCATCATTATTTTTCCTTTAATATTCAATTGTTTTATTGAATCGCACTTTCGATTAGCACGGTTGGCTTCGTACGGTCCGAAAGAAGTTCAACATACGTACATACATTATGGATGTAAAATACAATCATAAACCTTTAAAACTCCTTACAGATGTTGATGGGAGCAGAAGCGGCTTGGCTCTCGGTGCTCGCACATGGCCCGGCACGGATGAGTGCCCGGACGTGCACAAGGTAGCTGCCCGGGCCCTGCAGCAGCAGCAGAGCCCTGGAGGTCGCCGTGGAGCCCAGCAGGGTCACCTGGCCTGAGAGCAGAGAGTAAGAGAGCAGCAGCAACAGCAGAGCCACTCGCCGTCAGCGGCTTAGACACCGGGAGCCTGTATCCACAAAGTGTGTCACATTATCAGCTTGTTATTTTATTTCATTCAAAACACTGCGATGTGCTTTTGTTAATAGTGTTTTAAGAAGCAATTGTGCAGATGTTTCATTTGTAAAATCAGCTTGATTGGCAAAACAAGAACTGATTTTAGCTTTTCTGTGGTCTATAATACTGCGAGTTATTTGATTTTGGCTTATGGGGACTGTCTGCTCTCTGATGCCTTCTTAAAAATAAAAACAAGCCCTACCATTGCGATGAACAATTTTAAACAGATTAGTACTTAGATATACAGTATGTATAATATACAGCTATAAAAAAAAACAGCTGGTGTAATGAATGCGACAAATATTTTGGAACACAGTTAAAATTAAAACGCATTTACCTTGTTTCTCCAGGTAAATCTTGTAGCTGTCGATGAGATCAGCGTGAGCGACCGCGGGTGGGTCCCACTGCACCATCGCACGGGCCGCCAAATCTCCGGGCTTCACAACCGCCCCATCTAAGTCACGACCAGTGGAGCCAGCCACCTGCCGGGTCATCTCCACCTTCAATGAAGTTTCCACTCTCGCTGGACTCGCCATTTGACGGCGAATTCGGCAGTCGCCATGTCTGGCAGAGTACCGGTTCCTGACATCTGCTGCTCGAGTGTGTCTGTCGGGTCAGCTGTAGCAGCCATCGTGGGGTTTGGCAGCACGACGTTCGCAATGAGAACATCTGTCCTTTGGGCTGGGTTCTCGTCGCCGGTCAATATCACCACCAACACATTCTGAGGGGCAGGTAGTGCTGCCGTAAAACAACAGCACACACAACACACACACAACAGTGTTAGTAAACACAATCAATCGCAGGCTATCCCGTCAAAAGTCAAAACTAATTGGGGAATGTATGACCTTTCTGTTAGCTGTGATATTGCAGATGGTTGTAATCTGCATCTCAAGCAACTCACGGCCAAACATGGCAGATAAATAATCATTGAAGTTGTCACCAAATGTAGTGACCAGTTATCACTACCTTGACATAACCACCACTGACCACTGCCTCTAAGGTCACTCTCTCAGCACTTAAAACATGCCTCAAATATATTTCTTATTTATTTTCAAACAAGTTCACCGAGCACAGCTCATGGCAGAGGGCCATTACCCAGGCTAATGATGTGTAAGAACCCTAAGAACATAAACGGGTTATCATTTAGCTCACATTGAGCAAGGGTTTGCTATCTCAGGTACAAATAAAACATGACATTTTGAACACGTCAGCAGACAAATAGATACTGATGAGAAGACAGCGCTCCGAGCTGAGTTCCCAGATATCCAGGGAAGAGGACAGCTGAGAAGCTGCCGTCAGATGATATCAGAGACCGGCTTAGGCCGTCCCTGAAGAAGGGCTATTGTGAAAAGTGCAGACGGGGTGGCTTGGAAAACGTGTGCTCGCTGTAATGTCGACTGTCACAGCCGAGGCGCGGCAACAGTAGGGGAGAGAGGGCCATGAAGAGAGACTCTACCGGGACGGAAGAAGCAACTTTCCGTGGTGCAAGTTGCTCCGGACGTAATTGTGGCCATCCCGCACCACGCTTCGCACGGCCAAGTCCTCGTAGCATTTTCCAGACCATAGCCCATTGATAATGTTCTTGTTTACTGCTGGGTCTGAGAATACAAGAACACAAAATGATTTAACCTCATCGTTACAGCTTTCCATTAGTATTATTACGTACAAATATCACCACACAAACTGTCTTACTGTAGCCTACGGAGAAAACTACTCCAGCACCTGGTTACAGACGATAATCAAGTTTACCACAAGACATCTTGTTTCAATATGAAAATAAAGCCAGTTGCATTGGAGGCAGAGTTAAGATTGTATTAAATGAGTCTCTTGTCATGTCATATTTTTTTTAGTGATATTTATTTCAGCAGGAAGGGCCCAGAGAGCTGCAAGGCACTACTTCATGGGCATCTGTGACAGTACAAATGTTATTCACGAGATATCTTAGTTACGGTATTTTCATTGATGTCGAGTGACAACAATCGTATTGCTTGTTGGGATTTGTCCGAGCGCTGTGCGATGGTGCCATGCTGACGCGCTGCGCTGTGAGACTGCTGTGTTTGTGAGCGATGTGAGATGTGTGCCACTGAGAGGGGGGCCTGTCATGGGATGAACAAAAATGTGAAAAAAGAAGCCAGTGTCATGCAGGCTCAGTATACAAGAGTTGCTTCTCTCGACTGTTGTAACAATCATCTTGCCCAGTTTAACACGTAGGCTTTTGCGACTAATATCACCTATACTCGAGTTTTTCTAGGTTAGATTGCGTAAATATAAAACTGTCGTTAAACCCGCCACCACCCGACACAGCCAATTAGTAAGGTTTGTCACGTAAACAAACGTGCCAATTCATTACTAGTTCAGCACACCGTTGTGTTGGAGAGTAAACCCACAACATTTACCAGTCTGACGTTTTGCCGGTAATTATCAGTTATTGTGCTGCTCAATCAGTGCTACTTAATCAGAAAAGAATGCTTAGCTGGTTGCAATTCCAAGTTTTTACGTAAAAAATTCGAGTATGGATTGTGGGATCGAACATTCGCGATTCAAGGCCATGTGAGGAGATTATTCAACAGAAAACTTGACAATAAAGCATAGGGCAGCTCAACAATCTGTAAAAAAATATTTCCATACATCAACTCGCACTGACCAGCAGTAGTGAGGTATGGTCAAACAACCCCAATTTCCAACACGTGTGGATATGGAGGCCTTTGTCCAACAGTATATTGATAAAGGACCGTAAATTATTGAGCTACATGGATATTCATCATTGACTTTTTGGGGTTAGTTCATGTAAGTATAAATGTGTCATTAACCCGCCACCACCCGACACAGCCAATTAATAAGGTTTGTCACATGAACAAAACGTGGCAATTAGTTCATACTTTAGCCTACCAGGTGTGTTGGAGAGTAAATCTACACATTTACAATTTTAGTATGACATTTCATTGGTAATTACATCCAGAATCATCGGGCGATTTTTCCAGAATTACTTGCGAAATATCACTCTACTCAAATTGTAAATGTTGTGAATTTACTCTCCAACATAGCAGTGGGCTGAAGTAGCAACTAATATGCACGTTTTGTTGACGTGACAAACCTGACTAAGTGGCTGTGCCGGATGGTGGCGTGTTAACGGCACATTTATACTTTCACAATCTAACCCTAAAAACCTTTATTATGAATATTGGTCACGAAAGCCTGCGTGTATTTAATTGTGATTATTAATTGCATTGACTTGAGATGGAGCTAAACATTCAATGTGATGGTTAAAAGGTGAATAATTTTTTACCCCCCCCCCAACAAACTTCCAGCGCATCTCACCCATAACGTAAATGTGGACGATGTGGATGCCCTGTGTGTAGGAGATCTCGAAGCCATCGTAATGCGCCTCAGACGAGCGGTTGGGAGGGTTCCACGTGACGAGCGCCGCCGATTCACGCAGCTCCGGGATCTCCTTCACCTCCGCGTGCACGACACCCGGGGGCTCTAAGCCGGTCACACACGCGCACACACGCACGCGCACACACGCACACACGCACTCGCACACACACGCACGCGCACACATGCACACACGCACGCGCACACACACGCGCACACACGCGCACACACACGCGCACACACGCACACACGCGCACACACGCACACACACGCACACACGCACGCGCACACACACGCGCACACACGCACACACGCAAACACGCACGGTGAGGAATGAACCTTCAGCTGGTGACATTTAAGATAATGGTTTACATTCTTCACACCTTACCTGAGAATGGGTCAAGTGCAGTCTATAACGCTTAAAACAGCCCAAAAAGCATTTTCGCAAATTATTTGGTGATGCTGCTGCCAATGCCAATGCAGCAGCATCAACCAAACATAGACAACTGATTAGCATGGTTGGCTACGTACGGCATGAAAGATGTTCACATACGCAAATAGGGTGCACAAGCACAATCAACAAAAACAATTCTGCCTTTTTAAATATATTTAATTGCCAACGTTTCCAGCAATGGCCTTGTACATAGAACATACAGCTGTGAAGAAGCGCCATTGCATGAAAAGTCGCCGATTTTATACATGTTCTTTCAAGGCAGCTTTGTTGACGAATGTGTTGAGTTATTTTTATTTGCTGTTTTAAGTATTATTGTTTTGTTGCCTCTTCAGCCAATTAATCAAAGCCCATCATTGTCTAAGACAACCGGTGCGGATTGATGAAATAGCACAACATGCTCGGACATTACTCGATAACGCCCTAACATATCGCATTTGTGATGGTTCACAAAGTAATTGAAATGAGTCATGAGATAGCTTCTATCAATCTCGACAAAAAAGAAACATGTTACAGTAAAGGTGAAGCTGCATTTTATTGACCACCTGGAGCAGTCAAATACATTGCACCCGTTTGTCAATACGCCGACGGATGAAGGCTTCCCCGTGCAGTGCCACAGACATAGACCATACTTCACCATGCTGGTTAATGCGAGTTGGTGAAGGATGGACCCACGACTGGTTCGGTTATTGCTCGCCACTGTGGCTGAGGAGCGAATGCAAATCACCGAGTTAACTGCGAAGTGCGCTGACCACTGCGTTTCCACTCCCCCTGCTCCATTTTTCGGATTATTTGTTATAATAAATCATTTGTACACGCACATATGCAGCTTAACATTTCAGGGGGAATCAAACGAGGTTTCAAGCAGATTGGCAATAATGCACGTTTATGAGAAATGACTCGTTAAACTTGTCACCAAGCGCTCAGTGAACCATTCAACGAAGGCTGCGGCACCGTGCGACGAATGCAAACGGTGCAGCACGAGTGCATACTCGTGATGACGGTGGCGTTGGTCGACCACGCGGCGACAGAGGTGTTCCCAGAGGCGGCCCACAGGGAGACGGTGTAGCGGAAGCCTGGGAAAACGGGCCGCACGTCCAGAGCGGGGCCTGTCGGGATGTAGGGCAGCGGCGGCGTGCGGAGCACCTCCCTGAAGTTCTGCTGCACGGTCAGCCACGTGCTGCTCGCGTTGGCAGGCACCTCGCCTGCACGTGCCCAGACGCGCAGGCTCCGCCCGTCCTCATCCTCCTGCACTTCGAGCAACTCAACAACCTGCACGACGCAAGCACGGACCCCCCACAGGTCACATTCATCGTATATATCTGAGCATCCCATTGGCAGACTCCGATTAGCACGGTTAGCTATGTACGGTGCGAAAGAATGTCAAAGTACATCGCATGTTAAGCATTTGCCTAACTGTACAAATACAACCTCACAGTGTTCTTGAATACTGCCACAATAATGAATGGCAGGCTATTATTTTTGCAGAGTTCTGCTTACTGAGAGTAAATAGAGGACTGGTCGAATAATAAGACTTAGTTCAACCTAATCTTACAATTGTGCTATGTTGAAACAAAATGTGGAATTGTAAACTTGGTACGTGAATAGTTTCCATGATTGGATATTGGGTATTAAGCAAACCGTATAATTAGCAACCAGAATTCGAAGAACTACTAGAATTTGCATTATTTTGTAAAAAAAAGCCAAATGCCAGAAATAATGGATAATTATTATTAAAAAAAAACTTGCACAGGTATTCCTATAGTAAAAATACATTAGAGAAATACTCTACATTACACATTTACAGTGTAAAGTATATTTACAAAAGCATATGCATAGGAATGAAGGCTTGTGGAGGATGAAGAGGATGGCAGAATGGGACAAGGAGCACATGGCGAGGATTGCAGTAGAGGTGAGAGAGGAGGGAGTGGCGATGATGATGACGAGATGCATAGGGGTCAAGCAAGGTCAGCAGGTCAGTAGAGGCCAGGCGAATTGTATGTATGTTGAACTTCTTTAACATCGTACTTAGCCGACCGTGCTGATCGGAGGTGCAGGGGAAGTACAACAAACTAAACACAAAAAGCATTTTTAAAGAAATGGGTTTCAATCCAGATTTGAAATTGCATAGCTCCAGTGGCTTCCTAATATCGGAAGGAAGAGCATTCTAGACAGCTGCAGAAGTGCATCTGAATTGTCTTTGTTCGATAGCTAGCCGAAAGCTGCTGTGAGGATGACCGGAGTTCGTGAATTGGTTTATGTTCCTTGACGAGATCAGTAAATTGTCGTGGCCGTTAGTAACGTTTAGGATACACGCTATGTTACGTTTTATATTTTACAAAAAAATCCACTTCGTAAGCCGTGGTATATTACACTCAACAGTTGTAAGGTTTGGGTTTGAGAATCGGTGATGTGTGAATAAAAAGTGGTTAGTATACAATTATATACAGTATAAAACACTTGTCCACATACACAAGGACACACAGTTGAACAAATGAGAATGACTTCAACAATAATGAGGAATTGGCAGCTATTATTCGCTAAAGTGGTGAGGAAAAAAATTACCTCTGCCAAGAGTTGGTCTGGGCCACCAGCCAAATGGGCACTTGAATGGTCCTGTAATCAGGCCATCACATGGCCACCAACTCCCTTATATCACAATTATCGCAACATTCACTTATTTACTGTGGCTTTAGAACTCTCTCCCCCCCTTATACCAGCACAAAACATCTTGGCACCCATTACACCTGCATGGCATTGCCCACATTGTATCATCTTATACCAGCCAGCCACTGCCAATCACGTAAAAGCCTTCCATGAGTTCATGTTTTCTGCATCACATGCCCCATCTCAACCTATGTAACATGTCATGGGACAGCCTGCATCAGCCTCTTGCACATGCCGAGCACAAGCCATCCCCATCTATCCCACATTTGTAGAGATTTGTCCATCTTCATATATTCTGGCCACCTGACCAAATTAATTTAATCAAGCAGTCAAACGCTTGCAGGCAGTATACCGATGAATGTATGCAAATGCATTAAATTTACAAAGCTTAGCACATCTATGGTGGGCAGCAATAGTCAGTGCCGGTCGCCACAATATAGAAGTGCCAACTTGTTTTTTTGTACAGATAACATTTTGAAAGTGAAATGGCACACCAGTAATCCACCGTGGTGGACGTCTCAACGTGGGATATAGGCCAACGAAGCATGAACAGAGGCACTTCCAGTCGTATGTCTTTAAATGCAAACGCCTTTCCACTGACTTCCCGTTACAGTGGGAACTTGTTTGGATACACAATATTATATGTATGTTGAACTTCTGTCACACCGTACGTAGCCAGCTTAAAGGGGTCCTACTGACAAGATGGTATATCGACGCACAAGCAGAATTCATGGCTGAGAGACCCCCTGGAACGTGGCAGGCCAGGTTTCTGCCGAGCAGTTTCAGATAAATTTTACCGTGGGGTGACCATGAGAAACAGGTGGCTCATCTCGCCACGCGCTCCCAGGGCCTCGACGCAGGCACTGAGCGCTCTGTTTAAATTGGCCCTCGGCCAACCAGCCCTGCCCGCTGTGAACCCAGACTTGATGGGGACAGGCCCCCTGCAACATCACTCCCTTCCACCTGATCGGCTTGTATACCTCGTTAGCACACACCTGATGTTGTCTCAAGTCACTTGTGCGAGCTCATCCCTATTTTCTTGGTTCTTTCGATAAAGTCATTAAAAAAATATCTTAATTTGGAGCTTTCGTGACTGCAGGGATTACTCTTTAGTTCTTTCGGTAAAGTCACGTATAAAGATACAATAATAAATTAAATAATAGTATGCTATTATGCTATTATTTAATTTATTATTTTATCTTTATACGTGACTTTACCGAAAGAACCAAAGAGAAAAAAAGAATTTCATAATAAAAAAAAATTTAAACTAATAAAAGCAAAAAAAACATAATAAAAATAGTAAAATGAAATTCCAATTAAAATTATAAATAAAAAAATAGAAACTAATAAAAGCAAAAAACTCACGACGTTTCGATCGCAACACAATTAATTTTAATTCACTATTTTTACTGGGGTTTTTTGCTTTTATTATTTTCAATTTATTATTTTTAGTTTAATTTTTATTAAAAAATGTTGTATTAAGGAAAAATTGTTTTTCCATTTACGTGACTTTACCGAAAGAAACGAGAATATAAATTCCTGCAGTCACGAAAGTTTTAAGTCAAAGCTCATCCCTAATTGGTCAAATCTTTTCAGAAAACTCCTCTACCTCTGAGACCTCCTTTACCAGTGGCAAAATATATTAATAGGTTTTTATCCTTTCAACTGGCATCATGGTTATTACAAGGCATCATGTTTGCAATAACCACAACACAAGCAGTCAAAATGCAAACAAAAAGAACAACTCTGATGATGTTAATGATATGCACTGTCCTTGAAGTTGATTGGTCCACTGCTCAAACCAGTCTTCATTGTTGTTGTTGGACCAGATGACGCCAAAAGTCGTACCTGGTCCAACAACAATGGAGACTAGGCTCTAAGAAAAGCTTTCTCGGGTGTGGACCAATCAACTTCAAGGACAGTGCATATCATTATCATAATCAGAGTTGTTTATTTTTGTTTGCATTTTGACTGCTTGTGTTGTGGTTATTGCAAACATGATGCCTTGTATAAAGGTGTCAGTTTTTGTACCAGTTGAAAGGGTAAAAACCTATTACTACTTCTGTACCTCTCTCGAGGCTCCTTGAGTTAGATACCCAACCCCGGTTGACCCCTCAACCTCTCACTTTGCGGGCCCCAGCTTGTGTCATACATGGCACTCGTGGTCCATCACACGAGTATGCAAAAACTATTGAAGTTGGTAAACACGGTTTGATCATGGAAATTTCTACTTCTAAAACAATTTTAAAAAATCTTCTCGTGTTATAGTGCCATGCCAAACTTATGGATTTAATGTAGGTTAATCTTCGTTTGGTGATGTTGTAGAGCAGCAACTGTAATTTGACATTGAGGTGGTTGAACCAGAACATTGCATGTATCACTGTCATGTCTCCTTTGTATATACGAATCGGGCATTGAGTCGCGTTATGTTCCATGGTCTGTTCAGGGTGACCACAGTCACACCGGAGAGTTTTTAATTTTACATTCATCAAATATCCTCATCTGCCATGGTTTGAGCAGTGGATGCTTCGTATAAGATCAAAGCAAAAGATTTGCACCGGGTCTTTCATGATGTGTGTGACTTCTTGTGATTTAATTCCACTTTCCAAGGATAATTTTAAGTGCCTTATAATTAATAACAATTTTGATATATTTGAGCAAAGCAATATGAAAGAGTTATTATTGATATATACATGTACAGCAGCGCTTCTGTCAATTCAGATTGATGTTGTATTTATATTTAACTTAATTACCTTTAAAAAAATAGATTTAATATTGCGATTATGATTTGCTAGCTATTTTTTCTTTCGCGTATGTGTTGTTTATTATTTATTTATTTCACTGTTATTTGTTGGGTATGTCGGAGATGCGGTCGTGTTTTTGTTCATGAAACCCCATTTAAGAGTTTCTTGGCTCACAGGGTAATTGAAAATAAATTGAACTGAAATGTAATAAAAGCTAGCTCAAGGGGAGTGACTACAATCAGTCCCTCCAGAAAAACGCGGAGTTTTTTGGTGATTGTTGCGGGCAAAAATCGTTGATTATGCGGCACGTTTTCTTAAAAAATGCGATGGAATATGCGGGATATTTATGCAATTTTATGCGATAAAATTGCGGGAACTTGCAAAAACTGCGGTTTGATGAAAAAGAGAAAAAAAAGTGATTCCCCCAACACCCTATTCACTAGGCTACTACTTTAATGTAAAGAGTAATTTCTTATTACTTCCTATGATAAGCAAGCATACTACATCACAGAAAGTGCTGGGAATATTTAAGTTCTCATCTTGTTTTATTTCAGACCTTAACAAACAGATGGCTCAAACTTACAAAACATTGAGTCGAACAAGTTCTGTAGCTTTACAAAATGAATATGCTACAACTTCTGTAAAAATGAATAAATAAAATATTAAAAAATAAAATGTGTGCTTCCTGTTTTACAGAGGTAGCTATACAAAACAGACATCTTCTGTTAAAATAAGTGTTTTCAGTGCACAGTAACGTAAGCAATACAGTAACAGTACAGTCTTACAGTAATGTAAATTTACATACTACTAACAAAAAAGTGCAATCTTTCAACTGTAAAGTTGCATAAACTACTGAATAAA